TCCCATCTACAAAGAGAAGGGCTAGCACCCCAAGGGTGAGAAAAATCATCTCTTCCTCAAAGATACTCTTTCTCAAATGCAGTGAGGTCGCTGATTGGACCTCCTTCAGTCACGTGTTCAGCCTTGGACCAAGCATTGCACCAGGGTAATAGGCTTCTAAGACAGGCTAAATCTGACTCTGAGCAATTTCCAGAGTGGGGATGGGTTCTGGGTTCAAAAGTAAACCATGAATCACATAAAATAAAAGTAGAGAAACCTAAACTTAAAGGAAAGGATAGCTGACAAACTACTGAAATAGGAATCTTCCTGCAAAAATTTGTTTTGCCCTGTTATTTTTATAACCAGAAGCAAGCTTATCTCATAAACCAAGGTTTCTACTAGTTAAGGTATAGACCAAGGTACTGTAATGTAGAGAACAAAAAACACAAAAAATCAAAAAAACAAGTTGATTTCTCTCTAAGGTAGCCATCCATAGGTAGGTCACTGTGCTCTGGGGGTGCTCGGGGGTCACAGGTTCTTTCAGCCTCCCCAGAGGGTTGTTCCTCTGCATGATCAAACACCTCCAAAGCCACATTGCTGCCCATAGAAAGAGGGCGGGGGTAGGGGTGGAGCCAAGTAACTGCCACTTGAGGATGGGCCTGTTTATCCTAAATAAACAGCTGCCTAAGTCCAATGTGTATGTATATATCATGAGATTATTTGTACTAGCAAAAGACTGGAAACCCCAATGTACATCTTTAGGAGACTGACTGAATCCCTAGGATATATCCACACAATTTAGTGTCTGGCAGCCATAGCTCTGTGTGCCTTTTAACTCAGTATTTCCTTAAACTCCATACTTCCTTAAACTTTAGTGCATTTCTGGGGGAGATAGTGGGGACAGTTTCTGTATGCACAGAAAGCGTCTAGCTCAAGTGTCTGCCTTGTAAGGTTTCTGATTTTCTGTCTCAGGGCTTTTCTGAAAAAAGGATCTCATAGAGTCCTTGCTCAGGATAGTCCGAGAGTATAGAAATTTACTGGACCAGCCCCCTACTTTTAGGAGATGGGGATCATTGATTAGGGTCCCAGCCTCCCACTTTCTGGAAGAACATGTTCCTCATGGTTCTTCAGAGGCTCACCAGGGATTTAGTTATGGTGTTTCACTCTGTAACCAGCTCAATAAATATTCTTTATTGAATTTTCCTCCATCACTATCTATTCTCTTCACCTGAATCCTGAAACCACCTTCCATATAAGACATCTGCTTCTAGAACCTTGGTTCAGCTCTACTTTGTGAGAAACTCAAACTAGGGCACACACTAAAGAATATTAATTTCTTTAATATTCTTTAAAGAATATTAATTTTCTTTAATTTGGCATAGATTTCAAGATAAGTTGTTGAGTAAAGAAATGCACAGTATACACAGAATAGTATATATGGAACAGTATAATCCTATGCTATCTTTTATGTAATAAAGGTAACACAATGGGTTAAAGCAGTAGCACTGCAAGCTAGTGCAGCCACTTCAGTGCAAGTTCGATCCCTGGCCCTGGAAGCACATGGTGTGGCAAAACTCTCTTGTCTCTTCAGCTGTTCCCCTCAGCAGTGTATTTCAGTCAATCTGCCTGCTCTGCTCCCTACTCTGTCTCTGGTGAATCCTCTGCACCTCTGGCCTATACCCCAGTTCTGTATGCATAAATAAATAAAACTTAAAAAAAAATAAATAAAGGTGACAAAAGGAATACATATAATTATCCGCTTATGCATGCAAAAATTAGCAGTGGCAGGATATACTAGAAATTAGAAGCTGTTAGGGACAGCAGGAGTGTGGAACAGAGTAGAAGTAACTGGGATGCAAGAAAACTTTCCTGAGCTTTTATATACTTTTAACTTTTGAACCTGTATATTCTACGTATTTTGAATAATCTCTACATATGTAACAAATTTCAAACAATTAGCCTGCTAAATAATGGGCAAAGGAAGTTAATCAACTCTATGAGTTATTAGTTGAGACACCTCTGAGCCTGACAGAGTTTGAAGGTCAGGGTCATGGTGAGACAATTCTCGCTCAGGCACCAGCAGAGCTAGTGAGCAGCGCTCTTTCCTAGAGACTTTCTGAGCTTGTGTGGTATGCCAGGCACCATACTGCTCTGCTCCACTGTCTACCATGTCCTCATGCACTTCTGTATTATTACATATCAATACTATTGTTTCACAACTATAAGATTGATTAAGAAACTAGGATTTGAACTCAGGTTTTATTAATGCCATTATAATTAATTCCAATCTGCTATGTAATCACTGTCTTAGGTCCTAAGTCTTTATTCTACACTGTGAAAACAGCCTTATACAATGCAATACAATGAAAACAGCCTTCTTTGCACAAAATGGGAGAGGGCAAACTTGAGGTTGGCCTCCCTCTCCCCTGCCATGGTAGATGTTTAATATTAGAGGTTAATCACTTTAGACAAACCCAAATTAACATGTAGATAACCTCTGGGAAGATTCATACAGGAAGCCGTCAATCAGAATCAAAATACATCTTTGTAGGTTGGTGTAAATAACAAATTTCAATAACCGGAGGCAGTAAGTGTGTCTTTTCAGTGTTTGAATTTATTTATTTCTCTGTAAAGCAAAAAGATTGGATTAAAGTAGGTTTTCTCAATCTTGGCATTATTGACATTTTGGGCTGGGTAATTCTCTGCTGTTGGGCGTTACACAATGCTTTGTTAGATATGTAGCAGTACCTCTGGCTTCTCCCTACAGCATGCCAGCAGCCATCTTCACCCCCACCCCCACCCAGCTGTGATGCCAAAATGTCTCTAGACAGAGTCATATGTCTTAAGTGAAGGGAAGTAGTAATATGTACCCCATTCGAGAAACTCTGAATAGGATGATTTTCGAGGTCTCTCTAATCTCTGACAGTTTATGACTCTGGGATCTGTGGACAGGGCATGGCTAAGATTACTAGGGGCAAATAACAAAGGATATGAAGGGGCCATGGATTGGGAGGTTTCCCTCCCTTTTGTGAAGCAGGACTGTTCAGCATAGTGACTGTGCTGGGAAGGGCCTCTCTTGAAGTGGAGCCTCCTTAAACTTATAACTCTCCTCCCCATTGCAGCATCTGTGCCTAAGAAAGTGACTCCGGAAGATGCCAAACCAGTGTCTGAAGCAGTGAGGACAGTGGAATGCAGCAAAGGCCTTCCTTTGGAGCCAGATACCCAACTGGAGAAGAAAACCTCAGAAATCCTCATGGACTCTCAACATTCAAATGAATTCGAAAAGAGGCTGAGCCCAGATAAGGCAGTGAAGGAAGGAGGAGAGGTTGACCAGAAGGAATCCCCTGCTCCACAGGAGAGCCCCAGGGCCAAAACTGAAGCAGGATTTTTCCATGAGATGGTAAGACGGACTCATGACCCAGCCCAACCAGTAAAGCCCTTTGTTCCCCAGAGCTCTTTGTACTTCTTCATACAGATTATTTTTGCTTTTTAAAGAACCAGTGTCTGCTTTAGAAATGTTATGAGACAACCTTTTAACCAAATTTGGGATTTATCTTACAATGAATTTCCAGAGGTGCTAGTGATAGGAAGGAGCTATCTAGCTCAGAGTCCGGAGACAGATTCAACTCTAAATATTTCTATCCTGAAGTGATATGTCCTTGGAATATAATGACATTCAATCCTGGCAGCAGCCCAAAACATACATATTATAGCCTACCCCCAAATAGGATGACCATTTATGAAATCCAGGTCTCCTCCTAACATCCTAGATACACAGTTGTCTATGCTTGTTTGTATAATTTTCTGAAAGCTATCCAAGGATCCCATCTTTCCTCTTGTGGCTTCTAGAGGAGTTAAAATATGGTGCGAGAGTTTACTTCCCCCTCTTCCACTTTTAATGGGTGGAATTAACTGTTCAGGATCTTATGAGATGTATTTTCATGGGATGAAGGTGTGAGGAAGTTTTCTAGGAACATCCAGAGAGGTGTCTAACACTTGTGAGGCAGCTCTGTGACCTGAAGGAGTATGCCAAATGGGAAGATGAAGCTTTCTGTCTTTTGGCTAGCTTCCAAGGCCTCGGTTTCCAGAATATGCACAGAAGACCCAACTTTTGGGAGTTAGAGCAGTGCATGGGTGCCACAGTGTCCTCAGGAACACTGAATAAGGGGGGAGGTCCTGAGAAGACTTTTGCATTATGACTTCCAGTAAGAGAATTGTAGAGTAAAGCTACAATGAGATTGCATTTCACAACCAATGAAACAGTACTTTAAAAAAGCCAGTGGACATATTAAAAAGATTTCCAATGACAACAAAAAATCTCCAACAACAAGTCCTGTAGATAAAAAAAAAGAACTCTGTTAGTACAGATGTAAACTGCTGTAAGTAGCCATTATGGAAAGCAATCTAGATTTACCTTAAAAAGTGAAAATGGGGCCCTGTCTGGTGGCGCACCAGAGTGAAAGCACAGCACTGTGATGCTACTGCTTCAGTACGATCTCTGGCCAGGGAGGTGACCCACAAGGCACAGCAGAACTATCCTGTCGCGCCCACTGCTCCCCTCAGCAGTGGGCGAGACTTCGTTGATCTGCCAGACGACTTCATTGATCTGCCAATTCTGCTCCCCACTCTGTCTGTGGTGTATCCTTTTACCGCCCCTGCACCTCTGGCCTGTATCCCAGTTCTGTATGCATAAATAAATAAATCTTTATTAAAAAAAAAAGTAAAAATGAAAATTCTGCATGACCCAGCAATATCACTCTGGGCATCTATCTAAACCACATGAAATGATCACAGTAAATCACCACAAAAAAAAAAAATCTATGTTCCACAGTGTTCACAGTAGCATTATTTGCAGTAAGTAACACACAGAAGCAGCTTAAATATCTACCAGCCCATAACCAGATCAAGAGAATAGAGTATTTCCACATTACAGAATACTATTCAGCCGTAAGAAAAAATGAAATGCAGCTATTTTCAACAAGTTGGATGAAAAGTGGAGAATTTTGTGTAATAAAGCAAATCAGAACCATATAAACACTAGACATTTACATGGCAGACAATTTGATAATGTGAAATACTTTCAACAACTAGGAGGCATCAACAAACACAAGGAGGCCTCAAAGTTTAAGAGGGGGATAAGAGGGAAACCGACAAGGGACACAGTAATGGGGGGGATAATAAAGAAATTTTAGAAAGTTTGTTGTAAAAAAGTAAACAAGGAGAAAATTAATTTTTAATTATCCCATCCAAGACATTAAGAGAACCACTGTCTTGTGCAATTCATTAAAAAAAAGTGAAAATAAAAAAATGTAAGTTATCAGACTCATGCATTTGTTCCATATGTAACAAAAAGGAGTGAGTAGGTGTGGAGAGAAAGAAGAGAAGAGAAAAGAAAAAACAACACTTACTTTGTACACTCTGGTGAGCACTGGGTCGCTGTGCGCGCAAGAGCGTCACTGTCCCAGGCATCTCAGAGGCTGGTGAGAAGTGACGCTAAGTTGACAGCAGGTCACATTTCTCAGAAAAGCCTGCACACCACTTTCTCATGTTGCATATTTTCTCCTTTAGTAATAAGAAGAAAATGCTGTGTTTGTTTATTCAGAAAGCAGATGGCAAGGCAACGTCTTCATGCCTTTTGGGAGTCTCTCATTCTCGTGTGCCACCCATAAAGATGAGGTTAAGTGACACCACGGGGGTTGTTTTATGAGGCAACAGCGCACAGGGATTAAATACTTAAATCCTGGTGTAGACAGAGATGGAGTTTAAGCCTGGTCTATTGCCTTGGGTAAAAATTTAAATCTGTTTGAACATAGGTCTCCTCACTTCTAAAAATGGAAGCTAATTATAGTATTTCTCTCTTAGAGTTGTTGGGAAAATTAAACAAGAAAACAGTTCAAGTATGTTATGCCACATGGTTAAACACCGACTACGCACCCATTATAAATGCTGAATTCCTCATTGCTGGGGTAGTGCTGCCTTGCACAGCTCCAGTTTCTTATTATTACTGAGAAGCAGGGCAGATGTGAGCACGAAAAGTCCTTGGTACTAATCTAATCAGTTTCTTCATTTTTTTCAGGATGAAGATGATCTAGCTAACGCCCTGATCTGGCCCGAGATTCAACAGGAGCTAAAAATCATTGAATCTGAGGAGGAGCTCGCCTCGTTACCACCACCTTCTCTGAAGACCAATCCGGCGCAGACAATCCTTGAGCCCAGTCCTGAGCCCTCAGTTTCCCCGGAGCCTCCCGGAAGCACGTCTTGCTCCTGCGCCCTAGCCCTAGGCTCCACCCCCCAGGGGGAGCGCACTAGGGAACCTACCAATCAGAGCGCACAGGGGGCTGCTTCCGTGACCCAAGGTGAAAAGCAGGCGTCTACCTGTGGGCTCACTACACGGGAACCGGACAAGGGCCGGCGCCCAGATCCTAGCAGCCTGGCTCCCCTGGAAATAATTCCCTTTGAGATGGACTTTCCACGCGCAAGCGTGGAGGTGGGGGACCCAGGGAATCTCTCTCCTCTCCTCCCACCTGCTCCTCCCCCTCCAACACCACTGGAGGAAGCGCCCTCAGTCCTGCCAGCCAGGGGCGGCCTGGAGAGAGAAGATGCTTCCAAGAATTTGAGGACAGACCCGTCTACCGATCAGCTTAAGTCCAAAGGCAGCCCTGAGATCCCCAGCCTTTGCCCAGGAGAAGACACCTCTCCAGGACCAAGTGAAAAGGGAAGTTCAAAGAATGCAGCTCCTGATGAAAAAGACTCTGGTTTTCCAAGCTCTACAAGGGTGGCAGAGACCACCCGACAAGGAGAGGGAGATGTGGCCCATTCAGTCCAGGAGCCCTCCGACTGTGATGAAGATGACACTGTGACAGACATTGCCCAGCATGGCCTGGAGATGGTAGAACCCTGGGAGGAGCCCCAGTGGGTGACCAGTCCCCTTCACTCCCCCACCCTGAAGGATGTGCAAGAGGCCCAGATGCATAGCCTGCAGGGTCACCGACTAGAGAAGAGGCTTTCCCACAGGCCCAGCCTTCGCCAGAGCCACTCCCTAGATAGCAAAACCACTGTCAGCAACCAGTGGACTCTTGAGGGCCCGTCTTCCAGCAGCTGTGCTAATCTTGAATCAGAGCGGAATTCTGACCTTCTGCAGCCACTGGCACCCCGAAGGGAAATTACTGGATGTGACGAGAAAGGCTTGAGGTCCTTTAGGGAGTTCTCTGGCCTGAAAGGGACAGAAGCTCTTCCCATCCAGAAGGGACCAGATAGTTTGCAGCCCAAATCGGCAGAAACTAGCCCTGTCAACCTAGCAGAGGGTAAGGAATCAGGCACACACCTGGGGCACGGCAACCCTCAGGTCGAGCAAAGTAGTATGCCTCAACCAGAGAGCAGCAAGGAGAGTTTACCTAGCACACAGGACAGCAACTTGCCTGGAGAGCATCTGCCGAAGTTACATCTGAAGAGTATTGAGTATGGGCCCCCAAAAGGTAAAAATAGGCCTTCTTCCCTCAACTTGGATTCTGCCATCCCCATTACTGACCTCTTTCGGTTTGAGAACATGGCCTCATTTGGTTCACCTGGAACGCAGCACTCCGAGCCAGGAGACTCAAAAGTCACGTGGATGGCCTCACCTCACTGTAAGGTAGACCCCTGGAGGGCTTACTCCCAGGACACTCAGGACCTGGACATTCTTGCTCACGCCCTGACAGGCCGCCGTAACTCAGCTCCTGTGAGCGTGTCAGCTGTGAGAACCTCCTTTATGGTCAAAATGTGCCAGGCTCGGGCAGTCCCCGTCATCCCCCCCAAGATTCAATACACACAGATCCCACAGCCTCTGCCCTCTCAGAGCTCGGGGGAAAGTGGTGCTCAGCCTCCAGAGAGGAGCCAAGAGGAGCCCAGCTCTACTGGTGGCCCTGCTCGGAAGCATGCTAAAGACGATTCTCTCTGTTCCTCAGACGGCCGTAAGGAAGAGAAACCAAAGCAAGACACGGGAGCCGAGTCCTTGCCAGTGGATGCCTCTGCATGCCACATGTGCGAGGGGCCCATCCTTGCTCCAGACCCAGGCCTGGCTAACGTGTTGTCCACCCAGGATGCAGCAGTGCAATGCAGAAAGCGCACATCAGAGACAGAGCCATTCGAGGACAACCTATTTTCTTCCAAATTAGAACGACCATCAGGGGCTTCTAAGCCATTCCACAGGTCAAGGCCTGGAAGACCTCAGAGCCTAATCTTATTTAGTCCTCCCTTCCCCATTATGGACCACCCAGCCACCTCATCCACAGATTCCAAGGTCCTGCTGTCCCCTATCAGAAGTCCCACCCAAACAGTTTCCCCTGGTCTTCTTTGTGGGGAATTGGCTGAAAACACTTGGGTCACGCCAGAAGGAGTTACTCTTAGAAATAAAATGACCATCCCTAAGAATGGTCAGAGACTAGAGACCTCAACCAGCTGTTTTTACCAGCCCCAGAGGAGATCAGTGATTCTGGATGGAAGAAGTGGGAGGCAAATAGAATGACATTAGTTCACCTGCTGGTGTTTGACAGCAAGTCATGATTCATCTGGAAACTCACAGGGCCAACTTGTTGTTATTCCAGACGCAAGTTATCCAAGTGGGCTTATTTTGACCTCTTCTTTCTTCAGCCTTTTGACCAATTATTAATTAGTCATTTGTCAGAAGCAAGGTCAAGGGAAGCACCCAGAGATGGAATTTAGTTGTCTATAGAGCAGGCAGAAGGTCAGGCAAAGGTAGACGATGCAGGGCTTGCCTTCATTGAGATTTAGGGCTCATGTGAGTTGTACTATTCCCACATTATAGGAGAGGATAGGGGTGAAGCCTCAGCAGATGAGGAAAGACCCCCAGATGGGTGTCCATCACTACTACTTGGTCATTTTAGCCAGTGGGTGCCTTCTTTTCTTTCTCTCCTCCCATTGCTGAAGAACAGATTTGTGGCACCCATCTACCACCCACTCCAGACTCTCAGACCATTATCTATTACTGATGAGTATTGGCTATGACGTCTCCTGAAAAAAAAGAGAAAACCTTTGCCTGTGTTAGAAACTGTTACTATTGAAGTTTAAAGACCTTTTGTTTACTACATGCTTTCTAATGCTCTTTAAAGCATGGGTTCTTTTGACCAGTTTTCTGACAAGCTTTGTAAAGGTGTACTATCTAGAATAGAAGCAGATTTGGAAATGCAAACTAACATACTTTGATATCCAAGTGGGTGTGTTCAACATATGCTCTTCCCCCAATTCCTCATAAACCTGTCCGAGATAGTGCCATACACCAGCATAGAAAATCAGAATTTGTACTCAAGAACAATCTCGGAGGCTGGCATAACCCAAGACTTTTCTGCTCTTACTAATTTGAGCCTCCAAATGCCATAACCTGACCTCTGATTTGTACACTTAGTTGCTGGGCAGAGTGGGGCGGAACTGAAGGTTACCTCAGTGGAGAGTGTTAACTCCTTATTCAGGTGTGTAATAGTGATGTGATCTGTTTTCTTTCCAGTATCAGGCCATGGCTGGGATGAGATCGTAAAAGAGAAGACTCACACATAGGCAGAACTCTACTCCACACTGAATGTGTTCAAATTGCTGCGCTATTGGCAGGGAACACCTCTAACTCAGCTTCACTCTCCTATGCTAGGCCGGGACCAGCCGTATAGGAGAGGATAGGGGTGAAGCCTCAGCAGATGAGGAAAGACCCCCAGATGGGTGGCCATCACTACTACTTGGTCATTTTAGCTAGTGGATGCCTTATTTTCTTTCTCTCCTCCCATTGCTGAAGAACAGATTTGAGGCACCCATCTACCACCCACTCCAGACTCTCAGACCTTTTATTCTCCTTTCTGTATGCAAGCAGAAGCAATAAAACCAATCTGATTTTATTCTAGTTATTCAGAACTTCTGGTTCCTTTTCAGCTGAAAAGAGGAAGGGAAACTTATATAACCTGCTGGCAGATTTTGGTGCTCCCTGAAAAAAGGGCTTCTAAGGAACCCTTCTCAAAGCAAAATCTATCAAGGTATCGACACTGTACAACTTAGTAAAATAACTATCTTGTTTGAGAAACCAGGAAAATAGGACCTGTTTTTAGTCCCATGTGTGCCTCTTCTCAAACTCAACTCTGGCTAAAACTCTTTCCAGACGTCTGAGGATTAGCAGTATCTGGGCTGACTTTACAACAAAAGCTAGAGCTGGCTGGGTGGGGAATGAATTAAAGTCATCCTTTGAGAAACTGGGAGCTGCCACCTATAGCACATACATATTTCTTTTTCCCTGTTCCCTGATAAGCCTTACCATTTTGAAATCTTTTCCTTTAAAGCCAGAGTTTATGACAGAGATAAATTCATTCAGATGAGTCGCTTTCGGAGGGCCCTGAGATGAGGGAGCAAGGCAACAGTTCATATGCCTTTGCTCTGTGCTTTCACATTCTCCTGAGATGAGCAAGACTCACCCAACAGCCAGTGAGACATCAACCATTAAGTAAAGCCCTTGGGAAAAGCATTTCCCCCCCAGGCAAACAAGGTGAAGAAATATAGTGGCGACAGATGAGAAAAGCCATGTTCAGAAGATTTGGAAAGTACATTCCTACCTTATCAGAAAATGTGGGCACATGGCCTTTATGTCCGCCTCCGTGCACTGCGGTGCCTACATTTTGATAAAGACCATGAGCCAGTGAGACTGAGAGAAGGAAGGAAGAGCTGCACTTTGTCTCACCACCAGAACTCTGAGCCGAGTAGAGAAATATTTAAGCTATTTTATGATCGTTGGAATTTCTGTTGGTAACGCAGGATATATTTTTATTTAGAGATAGACTGAGAAGCTGCCAATTACATATTAACATGTGAGTTCAATACTAATGGCTAAAGCGTACATGTAGATTTCTAAAATAGCTGCCATCTCTTCATGTGCTGACATCTTTGTCTCATCTTCAGGACATGGGTATGTGGCTGTCATGAGACACAGTGACAACTATGTGGAAACACCTCCTACCATTACCTTTCCTAGACAATCCAGAGGGCTTAAAGCTGGCTCGCCTTCTCAGTCAGTGAGCCGCCATTGGTGTGCACCTCTCTAACTAGCTCCCAGCCTGTCATTTGTCAATAAACATTCCTAAACTTACAGGCTGGGCCTAGGCTGGTGCTGCTGAAAGAAAATTCATTATATTTTTCCCTAAATTGCTCCCCACAAATATCCTGAAATAAATCCTCTGTGGTCGCCTACTCTGGAATAGAAGTGCAGACCCGCTGGGAGTGGGTGCTGGGGAATCAGATTGCCTGCTTCCATCCAAGTGAGAGACAGAAGAGGCTCTGCTGTCTTTAGGAGGTTCTACCTGGTGCCCCAGAAAGGCTGCAGACTCCAACTTTCAAAGGGCTCCTTTATTACAACTGTCAGTCTTCAACACTGACAGGGTGGCTGGTTTCAAATGCTGCATTTGAAGTGAAATGCACAATGTCCTAATGTTATGTTTTAGCACTAGTAACCTATATTTACTGGCAAAATGGCCCTCCTGAGCCAACATTTTTGGTCCAAGTGGACCAAATACAGGGAATTTAGTTTTTGTTTAGTTGCAAATGGAATATGAAGACATCTGATCAAGAGTCCCTTAAAATTTTTGAATCTACTCTAAGCCCTAAAATTCAAGATACTGCAAATCTAAAACTTTGGGGTTCTGGGAAAAATTTTTAAATGTAGATTATCAGCATCTTAGGAAATAATTTATCAGTGGCTTAGGTAATACTACACTGGGAAACTTACAGTTCTTAAATCCTTGAAGAGTCTAATGAAAAAGTAGTAAATGAAACAGTCTAAACAATTGAGCAAAATTTAGAACCATTAAGTCACCAAATGATATCAGAAGGTAAAAAAATGTATATGGAAATTGTTATAGGATTGTTAATGGTGTTCATATTACCGACTTTATTAAAGGTTTCTCAATTTAAAAAATAAGCTACTTATTGACTTAAAATAATGAAATTAAACAGGAGTGTAAATTGAAAAGCTGCCAGTGTGACACTCAGCTGTTGAATTTGCTTTGATCATTTAAAACATCAAAGTGGCAACGAAAATAGTCCTCAGGATTTGACATGGCTTTAATTGGTTTGGCTGTGAAGCCCTGAGGGATCCTGTGCAAACGAGTGAGGTAATACCAGTGTTCTACACTCCTTGAGATAGGCTCTTAGAGACTTCCTTCATCACAAAATGAGCTAACTCCTGCTGATGGTGAAGCATAGGTCCAAGATAAGCTGTCTAGTGTTTAGCACATGATACTCATATTTATTTGATAGTCTTTTGCCTTGTACTCCTGCTGGTAGAGTTCCTGGAGAACTTAAAATTCAGTTGCCTAAGATTTGGTAGGGAATGGTTCGTAGTAATTCCAATTCCCACCATAATTGATTAGGGCCATACTCTACCATGGCTTGTCCCATCTGATGACAACATGAATCTTGGGATTCAGATTGCCAAAAGTATGTCTTTAGGCACTTCCAGTAGAAAGGCCAACTCAAAATATGGAATGATAAAGAATGTGTCCTTCTTTATCAATACCCTTCCTAAAGGCCAGAAGAGCAGGTGAGCATCTTTCTAAGTATGGAGAAGTGGGGAAGATGGCAGAGGATGATTGTGAGGTCAGTGTCCACAGTGTCAAAATTGGGGGCCACCAGTGATTGACTGGTACATAGTAGATAATCTAGTAGCCTTGAGATTCAAGAGCAAAGCAGGGATCATTTCTTTATAAGGGTGAGAGAGGATGCAGTTAATATAAGAAACCCATGAAGTACGTTAGTGTGTGTTTTACTGGATAAATCACAATGCTTTGCAATAACAATGCCATAGTACTTCCTGGTTTATAATTCTGCAAGGTAAAGCACTTTTTCAAACGAGTTTATTAGAAAGTCACGTGATTTCAGCTGTTAAGCTCAACAAATATGTTTCCAAAGGTATAATCAAAATGTTTTTCTATTGATTAAAAAAGTATAAATATTAAACCTATCAACAGACATTTAAGTGTAATTGAAACAGATTGTTACGCTTTAAAAATGTATTCTAATAAATGATATAAAGTATGCTTACAATGGCAATGTGAAATAGGGGCGGACATGGGATGATCAAAATTAATTAATAGTTTAGCCTCATTGTTCTAGTTTACTCCATTTGATGTCACTTTTGTTACTTCAAGGATTGGTCTCAAGCAAAATTGCTGATGTAAAATTGCTCCAGTAAAATTTTGTTACTTTATGTCTTAATAATTGTCAGATATATGCAACTCAACCTTATTATTTGTATAGCCACATCACCTGTGCTGTCCAGTATAAATCAGTGGCTAATGTATGGAAACATGAGAAGGAAACTATTGCTTCTCAAAACTCCTCAGCTTAAGAAGTTACAGGGTTGTGGTCCCACCTACACAAATGTGAGAAATCAGTTTTTCTTTTAGTTGAATCAATCAAGAAGGGCAATTCTTTCATTTGCAAGATTACGTTACTGGTACTCTGGGAGTCAAAACAGTAGAACTTTGTTACCCTGCTACATGATATTATAAAAAAAGGGGTGGGGCCACTAGTAGGATTTTCAATGAAAAATATCACTGCCAAGGGGCCAGAAATACTTTGGCAACAATATTGTGCTTAGGGCCTTATACCACAGGTCTGTGCCTGACCACTTCCACTGTTGCCCCAAATGCCTTGTCCCTTGTACTCTGGTTCCCACACTCCTATTGTTCTCGCCTAATCTCCCCTCCCCACCCTGACACATAGTTCCTCTCACTCCTAATTCTTCCTATAGCTGCCTTGGAACTCTCTCCCTATAAACTCCGCTACAACCTAATCTCTTCTCTAGATGCTGCTTCCCCTTCCTGGACTTCAGTAACACTTGACACCCCCCAGGACACTTTCCCCATGCATGAAAGAGTGGACATTAATCCCACTTTACACATATAAGAAGCCACCACCTCAGTGTCCTTCCATTAATACTACCTGTGTCATACAAAAATGTGTGGTGTACCCCTCACCAAGATGTATGACACCCAGCCATTTTAACTTCTGTCATTCTTTGTGACCACATGTATTCTGTGTCCCAGTTTTTCCAGTTTTGGGGATTCCTCTTTCCTCTCTATCTCATGTCCACTGGCATCCCAGATGACTTTGTATTCCCAAAGAAAACCCACTGAACAGCTTTTTGCCTCTCCTCAGTGTTGGGCCTTTGCATCCAGGGCTATACATCTGGCTGTTGCACATTCCAGAACTCTGATCCTACACTCCCATGTTTCATTCTCAGTATCTCGTATCTGAGCTCCTTTATTCCTTCTGTTTTTTCAAGATTACGAAGACCTGGTCCACCTACTCTTATGACAACATACACCCACCACACTGCACTCCTTTCCAGATCTCAGGGTAGCTCATCAAAGCCATCCTCCCCAGCACCACAAACTTCCTTGACCCCAGCCGTCAGTCATACCTGCTTGGCAAACCTCCAAGCTTGGAACAGATAGATTACTACCACTCATTTACTTTACCCTGTTACTTTGTCTATTGAGTCAGACCAAAGAAACTCACAGAACCCTGGGATGAGAGCTTTAGAAACTCATGACCTACCACCACATGGACTCATCCCCTGAATTCACAAAGGCTATTATTCACTCCCTCACAATAATTGCTCATTTTTCCAGTTTACACTGTTTCCCTAACCTCCCACTGTCACTTCCCTTTATCCGTATATGGTACATAACTCCTCTTGCTCAGAGGAAGGGCTGTCCCTCTTCTCAAGAGATCCCAAGACTCCTGTGTTCTCAATCTCTGCATCCCTTATTCTTTCATTTCTGTACCATTCAGCCTTGTTCTCTTCAGACTTCTATCAGGCAGCATATAAACATGCTTAAAAAAAAAAAAAGTCTCTGCTATCTTAAAAACCTTTCGGCCCTCCCTGGTGGCACAATGGGTTAGAGCACAGCACTGCAAGCTAGCTGCACCTGCTTCAGTGCAAGTTGGATCCCTGGCTTGTGAGGTGATCCACATGGCGAGGCAGAACTCTCCTGACCTGCCTACTGCTCCCCTCAGCAATGTACCTTGTTGATCTGCCTGTTCTGCTCCCCACTCTGTCTCTGGTGAATACTCTCACAGCCCCTGCACCTCTGGCCTGTACCCCAGTTCTTGCATGCATAAATAAATAAATCTTTTTTAAAAAAATACCTCCTCGCCCAACTCTGGCCCCCTTTACTATCTTTTGGTGTCTAGTTTCTTTCAAATCTTTAACTTTTACTACCTACTTCTTCATTCATTATTCTAGACCACCTGCAACCAGAACTCCATCTCCCTTACTCTGTTTAAATTTGTTTTGCTACAGTTCCCCAATGATCTAGCAACAAGATCCAACAGTCAGTTCTCTTGATTTCCCTCTTCAATACCATTGATCTTTTTTCCCCTTTGAAACATGAATTCATATCCTCTCTTGGACTTTCATTTATTAGTCTTGTTCATTTGAGCACTTCCTCTACCCTTGTGTTCTGTTACTGACCAGGATTCTATCCTCTTTTCACTCCACATACATTCCATTATTTTATGCCCATGACTTTTCTATCATAAGTACTCACCTCTCACTTTCCAACTTTTTTAAAAAAATAATATAAGTTTACTTTTACATCACTTTGTGCCTTTTTCCATCTCAATTGTTATCCCCATGGGCTTCCTATCACCAAATCACCCATGTGCCATAACCATAGTCCAGTATACTTCCCTTCCCCACCGTTTTTTTTTTTTTTTTTTCATCAGCACATTTTTAATCAGATGGAGGATACCTAGGACTGTTTCAAAAGAAAGTGTGACATTTAGCAGGTATTCCTTCACAAAAGAGAGGGGTCATTCTAGGATGTGGGGATGAGTATGAATCTCCTGCTTAACTTTGACCAGCCAAGAAACTCTTCCCCTTGACACTCAGTATCACCAGTGCTGTTGTGAAAAGATTTGCAATGAGCTAGTTCAGCTTGGACAACAGTTCTTCCTGTTCTGGCCGAGCTTTGAACCTTCCTTTGAAGTCTTCTTCAGTGTGCTCCTTCACTGACAATCTGACACCTACAGGAAGACTGCTGTGGATTATTTCCAAGAAAAATCTCTGCATATGTAGCGCTCAAACCACTTATCTGAATTACTCGCTCATGAGTGGTAAGAATTGAGTCCATGAACATTTTGTTGTCCTGGAGTTGCAACACCTCCATGGTTTTCGTGGGCATAGCATAACTTTCCTGACCTTTAATGGAGAGATGGTTGCAGAGGTTGTGAACATACTGGGCATAACTCTCTGCCAAGGACATGTCATATGCAGTCAGGTGAACATTTAGAACTCCATATTCATAATCAGTCCCCAAATTAATGGGTCTCACTTCCACTTTTCCCCTCTTCTTCTTGGGCTCTTGTTCCTTAATTAGGTGCTTATATCTTCCAATGCCATGAGTGGGTTTTGACCTCTATTGCCGACTGGTACTCAGTAGAATCCCACCTACAGAACAGATGGGACTGTCTCCTGAAATTCTTAAGAGGGAAAAGGCTTGTTTAAAAATGATATCATTTTGCAGATATAGCACCTTTCCTAAAGTTCTGCTCATCCTTCGCTGCTGCCACCTGCAATTCTGAAAGTCGAAATGCGCCCGGAGCAGCCTTTTTCCTTGGTGTCTGAAAACACTCCCCCCACCGTTTTTTATCCCATTTCCCACTCCACCCCCGTAAAATGTCTCTGGCATATAGTTGTTCATTAGTACTATTTTCTCCCCTGGTTCTTTATACTCCTGCTATGCCACTCCAACTTTTCAAGCATGCTTTCAAAAATGATTGGCTAACTGGTCTCCCATATGCCTCATTGACATTGTTCAAACCTAGCCTACATATTATTGGTGCTTAAGTTGTCTTAGACTCTCAAACTTCGCATACATCAAATTTAACTAGCGAATGTGTTGAAACAAACTTCTAGATTCCATCCAGAGTTTCTTAGTAGGTTTGGAGTTGGACTTGAAAATTCCCATTTATAACTAGTTCCCAATTAGATGATGCTATCAGTCTAGACATCACATTTTGAGAATCCTTGACTTGAGAACCCTGTGAAATATTGCCTTGTTATTTCTAACACTTTTCAGTAGCTATCGTCTACCTTCAAAAGTTCCAGATTCTCTCACGGGGATTACAACTGAGATGGGAAAATGCACAAAATGATGTAAAAATAAACTATTATTTATTAAAAAAAAAAAAGTTCCAGCTTCTGCCTGGTAAAAATTACTTGAAAAGCTTGTGAAAAGTGTCTATTAGTGTCTCACCCTCAAAATTTGGACTTTTCCAAAGCAATCTTCAAGCATGCCACTTTAAGAATGTTTTTTAAAAATCCAAATATAATGCAGAATTCAACTCCATCTGTAATCTAGTCCTTGCCCTATTCTCTAGTATGATTGTACTAGTTATTTGAAAAAAACCTACTGCACACCTTGAGTTTATTCTCACTGCATGAGCCCTCTTCACCTTTGGGGTAAACTCCTTGTCCTGGTCCTTCAAAACACATCTTGTTATTACTACTGCAGTGAAGCCTTCCCTGACACCACAGCTTCCAAGCATTCTTTCTCTACTCTATATCCTTTAAGTATTTGCTTTACTAAACCCTGTTTTTACAATTATTTACTTGTCTGTCTCCCACTGATAAACTCTGAATATCACTATCTCCAGTACCCAGCAGTGTGTCACATAATAACTGCTCATTAAATAGAAATTGGGGTGGCAGTGGCAGTGGTGAATAATAGGGAAGAGAGAAAGTACAGGAAACTTAGCATGGAATCAGAGCAAATGGGATATTGAGAAATATTTTCCTTAAGCTTATGCTTACGAACTTCTACCTACTCCTGACTCAGTCATCATAAATCACACAGATAGTTATGCTTCTTCCCTTTTCTATTAATCCAACTTCGGGCAACTGTTGTTTTACTATCTACCATTTTTCCACATACAAAAAATTTCCCGTTACAAAAATTATAAAAAAAAAGTAAACTGTAATGGGTATGCATGTCCTGTCACTAAGGATGGTGTCCTTTCTTTCACATGACCCTCAGGTAACCAGAAACTTGTTGACTGTCACCTGAAATAGCTGAAATGGCAAGAAGCACGATGAGCTCAAGGGTTTTAGCCTCCTGTCCTATCTGGAAGGAGATGGGGGCACTCTGTAATTCCAATAGTTGAAAATAATTTTTAGTTCTTATATTCATGCATCTGTTTAGCCTATCTGGCACTGCTCCTCCTCTGCTACTCCTTCAAGAGTGTCCAAAACAGGTCAAACTGGAAAGAAGTCATGTCAGCTTACTAACACCACCCGTTGTCTTAAACACATTATTTTGGCTACTTTTCAGTGACAGAACTTAGTTGGGGTCATCTTGCTGAGATCTTAAAGCCCAAGCCACACATTTCTTTTGTCATTGTCAAGTGATTTCCCCAAAATGTTTGCTAGTGAAAATAAGTATATAATAATAAGTCCAAACAATAGTGAAATGGCAGATTTCCCAGCCTCCCCCTCAGAACATTACAAAAAAACAACCAATACACTGGTTATCTCGCATCTTCTAATGTACCAGAATTGTTGCCACCTCAGGGAACTACTGCTGTTACTGGAATGAGGATGTCCCCCTCCACGCCCCCATAAACTATATACATAGTTGTCTGGTTTCATCTGATCTGTTTTCAGTAACTAACTAATCAAAGATACCTTCTAGTAATGTCATTTTAGTATCTACTTCCTTGGCATTATAATTTCTCTTTACATTTAGTACTACTACCAAGAGACATTATAAATTTATTTAAGGAACATCATGGAGCCCCCATTTTGTAATCTCTGTGAGTGTGTTTGTACTTTTCACTCACTGTTATATATTCCAATACCTAATATATATAGTGCTTGGTGTTCAATACTTGTTGAATGCCAGAAGACTCAAACTTGTGAGGTTATTTTTTTTTTAAAGTCTAATATCAAAGTATTTTAGGAACCAACAGTTAAATTTAAATATAGCAACCACAAAATAAGATATACATAGCAATCACCTTGGGGAGCTGTACACATGCCTAACTCCTCACATGCTGTCTTCACTGAAAATCTTTTGGGAAAACTTAGGCAAGAAGAGTTTTCTTCTTGCATGAATTTATGAACTATATGATTGGCCTTAATACTTCATGTCATACTGTGTCTCACTACAAGTTTCACAATATGAAAAATCCAAACCAAGCACAAAAACATGAAAGAATATATTCAGGCTCTCAAGACAGGGCCTCAGAAGTTTAAAATACTAGTAACAAAATTAGCTGGCTAAGTACCACTGTCAAGAACACAGATTGAAAAGGATTAATGCTCACAAACATGAAGGTTCTGGAATAAAATTCAAACTATATGAGGATAAAGAGGTAATTTCTTATATTTTACTTTCACTCATAACCCCAAACAGACCAGTATAGGTGGGCTGCTGGTAGACTGTATTTGAGTTTGGCGGGGGACTCATCAATTCTCAGTTACTCAGTTTCTTCACTTGCTAATACTCTAGCCCACATGATATCCACAATCATCTTTTCTCACAGATCCAACCACACACCACTTCTTTCATGTGTTTCAAAACTCCAAAAACTTTGTCTAAAAATTACTATTGCAAGCAGCTAATTAGTAAATCTTTGGAGTCGAAAGAATGAGAGAACAGGGAAAATAATAGCAATTGTCTGAATTTTAGACAGTTGCTTATTTAAAGGTCACAGTGCAGAATAAAATACTGAGTTCCTGTCTTGAAATGCTTCCTTTACAGCAGGCAACAAAGAGAATCCCACCTAAAGAGCCACACACTCAACACCCAAGTCTTGCAACACAGAAATCAAAAGAGAATGGGGGCTGGGAGGAAACTCCACTGATTTCCTTTTCTGTAGCAGTAGGCCAGATGAAAACTAAAGATGAGAAGGATTTGAAGAAAAGCACTCACCCCAAAGGTGCTACATCGAGTGATATGCGAGATGTGTTCATAAATGAGTTATTCCAGAGCCATACAAACAAATCAATGTCTTTACTGGAGAGGTATATCCCTCGTATGTATATTTTTCCAATATACTAACACAGGAAAGTTCACATCACCTTGTTTATGGATACATTTAATATCCCTTACCCTTCCCACCTTTCAAAACATAATAGTATACAAAATATAAAATATCTTAAATATTTATAAAAATTACAAGAAAAAAATAGAACGTATGAAAATATTTTTATCTGAGTTCTCCCTCATTGTTGAGAGGCAGCTTAGTTTGCCTTGAGTTCGTAACTGTTGAGTGGGTAGGAGTATGCCCTGCCTAATACTATTCTGTCACGGAGGAGTTTAAATAACACGTAATAGTTGCAGAAGAGGATGAGAGCCATGGAAAGTGTGTGGTTCCACTTCTCGGATCGCAGCAAGGAATAGAGCTGGTAGAAGACGACACTGCCCTCAATAAGGATTAGCAGATTTAACAGCCTTAATGGACGATGAAATAGGAACTGTAAAGAAGTTAAAAAGCACAATGTTATTTCACAGAAAAATAAATTCTCACATCTTTCCCTAAAATAATTTCACATTTAAAGGTCCCTATATGTAATAACATAACTGTTACAGATCTGCTTACTGAACAACAATCAGGCTACATCTTGCTCTAGATGCTCAAGCTTTTTCCTTTAGGCTCAAGAAATAATAAAACAAATTTTATTTCAATGCCCTTGAGGCATGGAAAGGGATTATTTCCCAAAAAGCCTTCCTTTAAAAGATTTTTCTTAGGTTATTTCTCAGGTATGCATTTTATTTGAGATAACCGAAAGTATATTTATTAAAACAGGGACCAGATAAAGGAGTTTAGACTTTGTAAAGCAAGAGAAAAAGGTGGTCTTTCAGCTCAAACCGCCAACTTCCAGTGAATTGCCAAAATGACTCATACAAAGGAAAGAAGCGAGGCCCCTGTAATGTGATCTCTAGGCCTTTCGAGGGCACAGAGCTGTTCCTTTGGCCACACACATGGGCTTCTACAAGAAAGCTGATGCCGTAGCCATCAAGGGAATGGCGGGCACTGTTCAAAAAGGAGTGCCCCACACTGTTCAAAAAGGAGTGACAAAACTGGGGAGCCTACAGCATCACCCAGCACTGTTGCAAACAAAAGGCCAGATGCATGCCAAGAAACTGAGTGTTCGTACTGAACATATTAAACCCCTGAAGGACAGAGACATCTTCCTGAAACGTGTGAACGTAAATAAAATAAAAGGAAGTCAAAGAGAAATTGAATTGTTTCAATTCAAGTGGCAGCTTGCTCCACTCAAAGAAACATGGGTAAGAACCACTGGAAAGAAGCCTGAGCTGCTAGAACCCATTCCCTGTGAGTTCATGGCATGACAGATGTTGGAAAAAAAAAAGACATCTGAATTTTAATAACAGAAAAAGGAAAAAAAATGAAGACGTTATGTGGATAGTTACATAACCATTCAGAATATAACCATTTGTAGGTATAAAAGTCATTATTAGTTAACAGGCTGGTTTTCAGACATAAACACATAAGGTGGGCCTGAAGTGAAGCTGAAATGTTTTGTTAGTATTTTATATATATATTTACATCATTCTTCATTTTGTACATTTTTTCATCTCGGTTGCAATCCCCATGAACTTCCCACCACCAGTTCACCCATGTGCCATCACCAGAGTCCTGTGCATGAAGCTGAAATATAAATGCAGTAATTTCTTGCTTTTTTCCCTTATACTGTCTACCCCACCATGGTCAATGACTTAAGTCCTCTGGACCATGTATTCCTGCTGTTTATTTTCCTTTGGATATTGAGAAGTAGGGTACAAAAAGACAGGACATTGTGGAAGAAAGGAAAATTAGTCACTAGAGTTTAGCTAAACCTGGCTTATTAATAAAAACATATTATGACAAGAATGCTAGCGGTAAAAGATTACAAGGAAACATTACTGAACCACTTGACATAACCAGTCTAGTCTTAACTTTAGGTAGAGACAGACAGATCTGTAACACAGGTGATGCATCAGATCTAAAAGAACTAACTTAGCAGGCCTCATTGCCCAACCTGAGAATTAGCCAAATCATCAGGATAGTTTGGAAAGGGAGCCAGGTTTCAAGGGCTCTTCTTTAGGAGGAAGAAAATATTTAGCCTGGTTTTTACTACATGATTACTCAGTCATGTTAGATACAAAAATGGTTCAGAATTAATATTCTACAAAGATTCAGAAAGGCTATTTCAGATTCTATGGCAATTATAACAATTACAAGTAAATGCTCTAGCAAAACGACTGAGCAGAAAGTGAGAATAGGTTTAAATTCTAACAGCTATAGATAATATGCATGTTTTAAATGAAGGTTCCGTTCTTCAGTGTGCCTAACAATTACTTCCAAATATGCAAATGATACAAATTCCTGTGGTCTTCAACTATTTTCACTATATTCTGGGGTAGGGAGCTGTTTTTAAGAATGAGATGCGATTTAGAAGCAAGTGGCCCAAGGACATTTTGAGAAGTACCAAATTAGCTGTTTGGTTAGGCAAAATCAGTAATACTTAACTTGCTTACTCCTCCTTCTATGGATTTGACCTGATTCTTGCACTCTTCAATGCTAACAAGGAACATACTTATTTTTTCAAGCATAAAATTCCAACAAAACATCTATTTATTACAGGATTCAAGAGGATATTTAATATTAATTCAGCTGGCTGAATTAAATATTCTGTATAAAAAAAATGCTTAATGTAGCTGTGACTTTTCCTCTTTAAAGCAATCCCACAGAAGTCTAGGAGAGCCAGTTTCTTCACTGAGGGGGCTTTCACCTTCCTCATGCTCCTCACAACCTCCACCTTGTCCCACCTTCCTCTACACCATAGTTATTTCTGGACATTCTGCCTAATGCAAGTTCTCAGTATTTAACCGAAAGGGGCCTTAATACCTGCAGGAGCTGAAAGCCCATGTACACTTACTTGGAACTGGATGGATAAAGGGATGGAGAGAGAGGGTGAAAAGCATTCAAGTACTCAGAAAGAAATCTCTACTTCTTTTGTTAAGAAGAACTTTTAACTTTTAAGCCCTTTTCTTAGTCCAGAAGACTAAAGTGAAACTGTAGATCATGACATTTGTCTTTCACAAAGGCAATCATGGTATTTTAAGGAGATGATATATATGACAAATACCAAAAACATTAAAAATAAAACAATAAAACTAGCTCATAATACTACATTAAATATTGTTTAAAGGTATAGGTGTATTAGGATACTAGTAAACCAAACCACTCTAAATCAAAATTGTACGATTAAAAAAAGAAGTCTTAAATTTGATAACTGTCTTGTTTCAAATTAAGACCAGGCTCAACAATTTCAATGTAACGACAGAAAGCCAGCTAAGTATAGAAAAAAGTTGGGATTATGGTATGTGACCTTCAAACTATCTTTCAGAAGATATTTCCAAAGGACTGTGGCCATTATCTTAGAAGCAATAGTAATTACCATGTGCTGATTTCCCAGGATGTTCTACACACTGTAAAAGATGCTCACACATAGAGGAGCTCTCTAACACTAACCCCTACATTTATTTTTTAAAGTAAACACCACTTACATAAAAACGGGCATGGGATACATCCGAAGGCACTGCCACGTTGTAAGGCCCCATGGCTCTATATAAGCATCTGCTGTGTCGCACCAGCACCCCTTGAGGCCATATTGTATTTTCTGACCAACTAAGGGAGAAAGAAAAGCAATGTCAGCATATTTACAATGACAGATAAGATAGCATCTAGGAAGGCCTGCTTATTTCTATAGAATGGATTAAGTATTCAAGGCTTCATCTGCCTGAATTCTGAAAATACAGTAATTCCATGGTAAAACTAGAAGGAGTTAGAAGGGATTTGTTATTATTACTTCATTACTACATAGTAAAGAGTGGGTGCAAAGCGATACAGTGAACTCAGTGTCCAGGGACACTGAGCAGAAATGAATGTGTAAGCAAGGAATCTAAGGGTCACAAAATTAAGCAGGTGAGTTTTCATCTCAGTCCCAAGTGAGCAGCGTTTACTGGTGGAAATGCTGGAGGGAACAAATAAGAGAAAGTAGATGGCAATAGTGCAGTGGAAAAATTAACATGTCACACTAGCATGATATTTACTACAGAATTGTATCCCTAAAAGCTAAAAAAATACTGGTTTGTTTGTTTATTTATATTTCAAATACCTCATACATGCAAAAAACTATACAGAAGACATAGAGACACACAAAGTATTGACAGACAGACTTTTTACCGCTTTCTTGGTTTATTTTTATAGAGGTTTCTCTAGGAAAAAGAAGTTACAGAAGTTTCATTCTTTCCAGCACCAATGTAATGGAGTTGGGGTGGGGATGGGGATCTTCAGGTTAAGCTTTGTAAAAAAGTCTAAGTTAATTCATTTCTTCCTGATTTTGGAAAGGTTAGTTTCCTAGGGTAAGAACTGGGACAGCATTTTAGATATGTTAAAAAAAAAATTTAGCACCCTGAAGCTTTCCCAGTTCAGAAAATGTTCCATCAGCCTTGCTCACACTTACCAGCATTAAAGTGATGATACACCTCATGGCCATGTGCCATCAGGAGCCTGAAGATGTACAGTACTAGTACTGTGGATTGTATTTTCAATTTTTATTGAAATTTGTCCTTGCCCACAGTCGGGTTTCTTTTCAGCCTGGCCCAATCTCTTTCAGTTCCTGGGCTTGAAGGCCTGTGCTAATCTGTATCAGACATCAAGGCAGATAATTGAAGGGAAGACTCAGACGGGGAGAGGGCAAGGGAAGGTCACCTCAATCTGTCCCACTTAATTAGGAAAGAATTTCTAGGTGATGAATTTGTGAAATGTTCAAATTATAAAAGGGAGAAAGATGAAGATGGTCCAGATCTAAGAAGAAGGTATGATAAACGGCTCATAAATGAGAGAATATAAATAAGGTTTCTAAAGTTAGCTATTTTGAATCATAGGAACCATGCAGAAAAATAACTGGTGAGGGGACACAATGAAAGGAATACTCAGAACTCAATTAGGGGCAGTTTTCATTTAAATATGAGGAAAGCAGGGAAACATTAACTATGAGCTTAGGAAGAAAAGGAGAAATAGAAGGTGTAGGCAATGAAAATTACTAGAACAAATCTGTATTTATTAGAAGAAAAAAGCGAATTTCAGCTGCCTAAGTGTGAGATGATTAGCTAACAACTGCTTAGCTATGGCAATGAAGATGAGGAGATGAAACTTAAAGCCTTCTAAAAAGGATTAAAAATATATCATGACTCCTTTGAATTTGGGTAAAGGGTTAAGACCAAAAGAAAACTCCAAGATTATTGTTTCGGAAACAAATTACACACTCTAGAGTGACTGGGTAGCTGAAAGAAGGGACTGGGAATGGTGGTGGAAATGAGTTAATGTTCCCTGTGTTCAGTTTAGAGTGATTGCAAGCATCCATGTAGACAAAAACTAAAAATTAAATGTCAAAGCCAAGAACAAGAATGACATACAAAGCAAATAAACATGATCAGCAGCATGTAGAAAGATGTGACATGGTTTACCCTCCAGCCTACTCACATGTGCTGTGGAGCATTGCTGTAGGACCCATGTTCCAGCTTCTGCCATTTGCCCAGGTGAGCAGCTGACTTATGTAGCAGATCACAGTATTTGGATGGCAGGAGTTGTGTGGTCAGCATGACAAAAGCATTGATCCACACCATAATGAGATGCTCGCATGACCAGCGCATGTCATAGTACTGGGTACTCTGCAAAAGATCAGAAGAGACAGGAATGATCCAAGCACTGGGAGTAAGCAGGCAGAGATGGGTGCGTGTACATACGCCCTGCAGACATATGTTACACTGAGTCACACATGCACTGGTTGTCCTGCTGTCCGCGGAGAAAGTTCAAGAGCAGTTTTCCAAAATCCTTCAACCTGACTTTCTGTATGAGTTAGGCCTGGGAGGGAGAGGCGATTATATTTCAAGTGCTTCCTTTCTAGAAGAAATAAATGAGTGTTCTCTGTGAATGACCACTCCGGCTGCAGATGTGCTGCTCAATGGGTGAAGGAAGGGCACTAAAATGTCCCAAAAGATTTTGTACCCAAGTGACATCCAGGACCGTTTTCCTTTTATACTAAAGTAAATTGAAGTTTAGATAAAGGTTAGATTAATTCAAGGAAACTCTTGATAACCATGTTAAAATCAACTACAGTAGGCTGAACTGCAACGAAACTTCAGTCCTCTTAAATTATCACAGTGATTCTACTTTAAGAACAAGTTTTATTCTCCCCAGAAACAAACAAAAACAAAAAAAACTAAAATAGAAAAGAAAAAGAGGGGACCACCACGGGTGCATCACATATATGGAAATACCTATCCGCCAACCAGGAGCGGTATTAGTGCACTCCAGATGCAGCCGAACTCCACCATCCAGGCTGCCAAAGGGGAGACAGAGAAAAGGGGGATTAAATAAGAAATACCCAGTTTATGTAATTCACACAAATCCAGGAAGCTCTTAAAAGCAAGGTAACAACTTACCTTCACAAAACACAGGGGAAGAAATGCAACATAGTAGGCACTGAAGAGGGAGTTGAAGAGAACTTCCTTGATTCTGTGGTTGAAATCTGCTTTCAAACATTCTACTTCATTGCGAATAAGGTCTGGAGAGAGGGGGCAGCTGTGGGTGGGTATGGGCGTGGTATTATTAAACTGTTCTTTTAGAGACTCCAGCAATAAGGAGAGGAAGTCTTTGGATTTGGCCAAACCACCCACAGTCGAGGCACTTTCTTCCACTGCCTGGTGCTGAACCACATAGTTATAGTCTGTGAGGAGAAGATGAGCTCTACTATCTTGATGGAAACAGCAGAGAGGAACATAAACACCAAATCTGTAAAGAAAAAGTGAATATGAAAATCAGACTACAGATATCATCTAAGATCAGATCTTATAAAACTATATTAGTAAAATAGTTGTGATTCATTAAGAGTGAACACAATGGAGACTTTTGTTGATGTTAAATTCATTATTTGAGTAGCTCCTTAATATTATCTATGTTCACTATACAATAGCGAACTACAAAAAAAAAAATTACAATAACAAAATATAAATCACCTAGAGATAATAGTTTCTGTAATTTTTATGACTGGGTATAAGACTTCATACTCTTTTTTTATATATTTAGCCTCACACACAGTATAAATTTATATCCTGCTGCTTAAATTTTGCACTTAAGTATGTAAGTACTAAGCATTTTCTTGTGTCATTAAAATATTTTTCAATAACAATTTTTAATGATACTATAGTATTATCGCACAGATGTAACATAATTTACTAATTTCTTTATTACTGGAAACTTAGGCTGTTTTTTATTTTCTACTACATAAGTAATAATGTGTGAACAGTTTTCTACAGATTGTTGTGTACACCTGGTAATTTCTGAATGGCTTGCCTTTATTTCAAATCTGCCCTTCTTAGGTAGGAGTCCCCTGCCACCCACCTCTGCACACCCATAAGCACGTACACACACATCTAGTATCCCTTGTCTGCCTATATTTCCCCATAGATCTTACCACTTCAAATATTTTACATGTTTATTTGCAGTTTTATCCCATTTGCTCTTTCTTCCTCTCATTACAATGTATGCTCCATGAAACAGAGATTTTAGTCTAATTCACTATTGTACTATTGGTGCCTACACCAGTGGCTGAACCATACTAGGAACTCAATACATATTTGATTAATTAAATTTTTTAAATTTCAGAAGTACAATAAATAAATTTCCATTAGTGGAATTACCCAATTAAAGAACTGAGTTATTTTTGAGACTTTTAATAACTTCCTGTAAGTACTCCAACCTTTGGTTCCTTAATTTTTTAAAAATACTTCTCCCAGTATAAATTAGGTAACTTTCATATTGTGGCCTAGGTATTATTATGAAAAGTCATTTCACAGACATAACTTCAGACACGAAAAACAGGAAGTAAAAAGATACATATTTAAGTTAAAACATTACTAAATGTCATTTGTTCACAGTTTTCTAGAGATCAGAACCAAGAACAATTTTTGGTTACCAAGCAATGCTTTGGTTTTTCCTGAGATGTTTATATTCCAAAGATTGACTAGGCAACTTTAAGAAACAGAAAACTGAAATCTTTCAAAATGAAAAAAAGAGAAATGGAAGAGGAAGAAAGTACTAGCTTTCCTAAGAGTTTTTTTTATTCTGTTATCTAAAGTCTACAGTAATTGCCATTTGCCTGATACTTCTACACTTATTCACATCTAACTATTCCAGGACACATTCATAGTGGATTCCAGCACTGCTGCTCAAGCAGAACTCACATGCACAAAATTATGAAGACTAGAGAAGCTGAAAGTTAAGACTGCTGAAATACAAATCATACACATAGATATGTGGTCATGAGGTTGGGCTATGCAACAGATGGCAATGATGACCCCATTTCTTCTTCTAGTCTTACCCACTGCCAATGTAACTGCACAGCCTTTGTTCTGTGGTGAGATGACTTGTCCCACCCCCATACCAGGCTCAACACTGTGACTTATTTTGGCCAGTGGTATGTCAAAGGACATGCTGCTATCATGAAGCACAATGAGGTTTGCCACTCTGTCACTTCATGAGGCCATGTGCAGCAAGCCTGCCAGAGCATGAGACATATGTAACTCAGCTGAGTTCTCCTAGTTGCCTAAACTGATTTCCAGTCAATCCCAGAATTGCAACTGAACCCAGCTCAGATTACGAGAGCATCCTGACTTTCAGATGACCCCAATACATGCACAATAAATACATACTGTGGTATGCTATCACGGTCTTGTGGTTGTTACATTATTGTGGCAATAGATTAAGTGATACAGGCTAGAATGGGAGAAAGTGAAAAGGTAGCATCAAAGGTTTAGACAATGGAGGGCTTTGTAAGGTAAAAAAATCATACATTAAGGAATTTTAAAGTGGGTTAGTAACATGATTAAATTTCCACTTTGATAATCATTCTAGACACAATGAAAACTGGAATAGAGAATGGCAAGAACAGACAGATGGAGATTTAGAATGTAATACCAAAGATTATAGATATGTGGCAGATTCAAGTTAAATTTAAGCAATATAATTATTAATCTTTGAACTAATTTATCCTACTTTGAGAAGATATTTGAAATCAATGGGGAAAAAGGGCAAAAAGCATCCTTTTTTTAACCTATAAATAATACAATAAAGCTGTACAGTTATGTGTCACTTGACAACAGGGTTATCTTCTGAGAAATATGTCTTAAGATAGTTTTTTCATAATGTCAGAGTTTACTATACAAAATGAGAGGGTGTAGCCCAAACATAGCCAGGTTGCGTATAGGGACCACCTTTATATCTGATCACGACATTGTTAGATAGTACATGACTAAGATTCCTACCACAATCTAATATTTTAAATTTCTCATCTTTAAAGTTTTTAAATTAGAACTAGATAAAAGCTTTATCATATGAGCAAATTTTATAAAGTAAAGGTAAATACATATAAATCTAAAATTTGTTTAAACTTACATGCTTATTTTACTGTTTACTGGGGTACAGAGTGCCTAAAAGTCTAAGTTTCTTATGCATTTACCTTGAAATAAAAAAGTCTGTCAGCCATTTTGATGATGGTATCCTATTAAATCTGGTCAAAATATTCCTTGATATATCCATAATTAGTCTTTCAAATAAAATATGGCTAATTTTCCAATCTGTTTAACCAGCCAGTTTTGGTATTAAAAGTAATTAAGTTATTTGTTTTCAACCAAGCAGTTGAAATAGTTTAGAAATACCGTTTCTCAGCCTTTTGGTTAAGATTAAGTGTAGAAATATATAAACAACTGATGTAAAATAGATACCTTATAAGAAATGTGAATCACAAAAAGGAATTTCTATGTTTATACCATAAAAAATTTACTTTGATGGAAAAAGAATAGTATTAATGAGTTGAACTGATGAGTGTTTTGAACAATGACATTTAAACAATGTCATCTGACCTGCCATAATACATGTAACAGGAGTCTCCGCATCCTTGCCATAATGGCTGATTATGTCTTGATTTTACACTATGTGACTAGCCATCTTATACTTCAGCAACATAACAGCATAAAATAATGATTCTCAAATTTGAGCAATATCAGAGTCATCTGGAAGGCTTGTTAAAGACAAATGGCTGGGTCCTTCTTTCCAGAATTTTTTTTAATAGGTTATGGGTAGCCTCTGAGATTTCTAACAACTTTTCAAGTGATGCTAGTGCTGTGCTGGGAATCACACTTTAAAACTCAGTTTTAAAATAATGGCTAAGACAAGGATTCTGGAGTCAAAAAGACCTTAGTCTTTTTCACTAATTGTCTGAGCACAAGAAAGTTTTTTTGTCTCTCAGGCTGTCTTTATCTTTGGCAATGACTACATAATAATGATTGCATAATAAGAATTTGATAAATGGTAGTTATTAACAACCAATGATGGTCAAAGGAATACAAATATATACAATTAGAGAAATGTATATAAGTTAAACTATGAAAGCAGTTTCATAATATGTATAGTAAGATGCCACTATAGATCCATAAGAATTGTTAAAATTTTAAATTTAAGTTTTCATTTGCCAGAAAGAACAGTATTGATTGAGGCAATTGATTTAACTAATATCAACCACCATTTGTCCCAATATAGGAAATACAGGGGCCTTCAATTGGTGAAGAATTAATTAAAATATTCTCCATTGGTAGGGGTAGCCATACCTCTCCAATTTCTTAGAACAGTCTTGTATTAAATAATTATTGCAATTATATTCCTATTTAGAAAATGAATTCTATGATTATGCCCCACATCAATTTCTTAATTTTTTGAAAGACTGGTTTATACTTGAAGAATTTCATTTTTCACTTTTTTATCATTTGCATGATCTGTATAATTCCTTAAAAGATTTACTAAAAAGAAAAATTGAAGTACTCACGGATAGCCAAGGAAAAGGAGATTGAGGACTGAATGGCTTCGGAAGAGGTTGACGAGGGTCCAGCAAAGCACCCATCCACACAAAGTAAGTAGCACTAAGCGAGCTGATATCAGTATCATGTAGTGAATCATAGAGGCTGCACCTGCTTTGGTGGCCTAAATGTGGAAAGAATCAAAATCATTTTATAAATGATCCTATTCAAAAGCAATGTGACAAATAAGGACTTCTTATTTTAGAGGAAGACAAACTGTGAACTTAAAAAAAAAGGTAGGAAGGAACGATCACTTTCTCCTTGTTGAAGGTTCAGATTTTCCCAAGCAGCTAGTTTTTCCTCCTTGCATTCCTAAAGTGCCTCATACAGATACTTCCTTTAAGCTTTTATAATACTGTCTAGTTTTGTTAACATTAGGGTCTCTCAAAATCTGGTCTATAAACCACATTAATCACTTGAGCTGTTTATGAATATGTAAATTTCCACCAATTTTTCTAAAGATACATATGGAATCTGTATTTTAACAATCCACCAGGTAATTTTTAGTGAGACAGTGAGTCACTAATTTATCTATTCTAGTGCCAAATATACTGTAATGGCCTCAAAAGCAGTTTCAGTGCTTCTGTTTTTCTTTGAATACTCACCCCAATCTGTTTGCTGAATTAATGTTTAAAGAATTACTGAAATTTCAAAAGTAATTAGATTATCTTTAAGAGATCCCTATATAAATAATTTTTTTTACTTTAGCAAACATGGAAATGATGCACAACCACTTCCAATTTTTGTATCACAGCTGTTCAAATATTCTTTTCTTAAAACCAAATCTTTAAAACTGATGAAATATGGTAAGAAAACAGACTTGTCTGAACATGAAGCTTTGCAATGTCATTTTCTTTCAAAATAAACAAGTAAGGGCAGAATGAACAAAATGTTAGGGGAAATGGTATATTTCCATAATCCAGAGGCAAGGGAAAGTTATTTGGAGTTAATAGCATATGGGAGGGGATGAAGAGTCTTTAGATCCCTCCTGTATATGTCCATTTCTTAGTTTACCCAACATACTACATAGCATATATAATGTATATGCAATATGTAATATTTAAATAGTTATTTGCAAATACAAAGAAGCAATTAAAATTAATACCATAATCAACTACTTAATCCTCAAACTGTGAAGAAGGTACAGTAGTCCTCAGTCCCTGCAAGGTAAATAATGCACCTCACATATTTCATGCAATTATTCCAATGCCTCCATTCTCATATCGTTAGGGCCAGAAAAACAAACAAATAAACAAAAAACTACTTCTGTCCAATGTCAGAACAAGGACAGTAGAGCTTGGATATATGTATCATTTTGGTCTTATTTCCTGAGTCTAAGCTGTTTCTCACTGTGCTATGTGTGACAGATACTGTACCAGATCCTGGGGATATAATGGTAACCAAGACAAACAAAACCTCTGTCTTTATAAAGCTGCTAAACCAAAACAGACAAATATTAAAATTCATACAAATAATCAATTTCACAATCAATTTTACAATTGTGATAAGTGCTAGAGGGAAAAAGTAGGCTTCTATAGAGAGCAAAAAACTGAAGACTAACTTAGGGAAGACTTCTGAGTGAAGTGATATTTCAATTGAGAACTAAAGGATAAGCAAGAATTAGCTGGGTAAGGCATAGAAAAATATTCCAAACACAAATATTCTGACAATATATAGATAATATCCCAAATATATATGTAAATATTGCAAAATTACATATATAATCACAAGTATATATAAAATTTCTACATGCATGTAGAGACTAGAAGGAAATATACCAAAATGAGCTTCTTTCAATAATGAGGTTTTGAATAATTTACAATTTGTTCCTGCTTCATATTTCAGTGTTTTCCAATAAAATGCACTACTTTTCTACTTAGAAAAACAAGTTTTAAAAAGAGAGTTGCCTCAAGTTGGTGAAAGAATAGTTGAATTTTTTTTTTTTTTGATTTGTGAAGCAAGAATAGTTGTAGAGTTGACCTGGAGGTGAATAAACAATGTCTATCTGGTTGGAGAGGTATTCCTCCCAGAATAGTATACAGCTTTCTAAATAAATTACCTCCAGCCTCTCCTTAAAAATGATTGTTCTTTCTCAGGGTAGGGATCCTTTCTTTCTGTGTTACAAGTAAAAAGAAAAAAAAGAAGGCAAATATATTTTAATGGAAGGAAAAATAATTTACAAAGGGTCTTATCCACCTAATTTAGTTATTTTAGAAATAGAATCACTATAAAGCACTTTTTTAAAAATTTGAATAGGTAACATATTCACTTGTTCAAGCTATAAAGCATAAAACAGAATGTGCAGTGAAGTTCCCTTTCTACTGGTCCTGTTTCCCAACTACCAACCAGGTAGTCCATTGCAAGACAGTATGTCCTTTTAGAGAAAATGTGTTCATATATTTTGTTCTGTCAACCTACCTTATTTTCACACTGTCCTGCATCTGGCTTTTTCCACTTAATATCTAGCTTGTCAATATATAGACATTTTCATCTTTTTAACGGTTGAATGCTATTCCACTGTACAGATATACCATGATTATTTAAACATTCCCTTTTTGATAGCCCTTACTCTTTGTGTACTTTAACTCTTTGACTAGAAATCATTTAATTTGATTAAGTATTCTGTTCTCAGTAAGATTTTCAAGTTTCTTTAGGAAACAGCTGATACACTCTCCAACTACAGTCCATAAAGTATACTAAACTATTAAGCATTAGAAAAAGAAACAAGACAGCACTTCAAGCTAACGCCTTTAGAGATCCAAGGTAGAAGCCTCAATTACGAAGCATTTACATAGTGACTGAGCATATTAATTTGATACACAAATACTAGTTCTAAGTAACTGAAAGGATAAAACAAAATCATTCTGTTTTAATAGATGTAAATATAAATCCCACTGAGATCCTCTACAGAAAGAAGTTTCTCAATATAGTCAATAGCAAGCATCTATCTTCATGATCGAAATAAAAAGCCACAGAGAAAAGGTTACAGGTTTCCCTACAAACTTTCCTGTTAAATTTTACCTGATTTATAAATTCCAAGATTAAAATCACTTGCCATTTTAACTCAGTTAACATTTTCTGTTTTTACAATCACTTATAGGGCATATGACAACAAAATCTTAAGAAAATGTTTACCTTCCTCACTGGAGTTTAAAAATGTATTAAAAAATTATACCAGTGGCGAATCCTATCAACATTTAATTTAAAAATCATCATCACACACACAAAAAAACACTTTAATGTCCAAATTATTTTTTCTACTGCCCACTAAAATGTAAGATTCTAATCTTCAAGATTATTTTTATGTAAATTTGAATGATGTTATTTTAAAATTTTAGCAGTCCATTGCTAACAGCTCCACAGATGGCACATAATTTCAAGTGGGTGTTACTTGAAGCAATGTTTGAGATGCAAGTGCTTATTTATATATAACTTTTCATATCATATCAACAGTTAGCTATTGCTACATGTCAATAATCATCCTATTTTTACTGTAACTATTACTATTTTAAAGGTTGTGGTGAAGAAATCAGAAGCTAAAAACAAGCTCCAACCAGGCAAATGAGATTCTTTTTTTTAAAGATTTTTTTATTTAGGCATACAGAACTGGGGTACAGGCCAGAGGGGGAAGGGCAGTGATAGGATTCAGCAGAGAAAGAGTGGGGAGCAGAACAGGCAGATCAACGAAGTACACTGCTGAGAGAAGCAGCAGGCGGGTCAGGAGCGGTCAGCCACACTAAGTGGGTGAGCTCCCTGGCCGGGGATCAATGTTTTGCTGAAATGGCTGCAGCCAGCTTCATATTACTGTGCTTTAACCTGTTGCAACACCAGATGTTTTAATAGTTCTCTAGAATTATTTCACATTTCGGTTTTAAATAGACTGTAGGAAAACCTTAGGGATGAAAAAATTTATTATATATTCAATTATATTTGAACGTTTCATATTTTCAACCTGAACTCATTTTAGTAACTAACTCTACCTACAAGTGATAGAATATAGGGAATGAGCTGTTACCTCTGAGATGAGGGCCCATACGAGCCTCCTCGCAAGCATCACTGTGATAAATGCTGCCAGGTGATAATCAATGAGATGAAAATTCTATAAGAGAAACAAATAACTGCATCAGAAAGAAACATGTGTATCCAAGCGGAACTAGTACAAGAAAAGGCTTGCCCCCTCAAAAATCTTGTATCACCTTGTACTTACAGACCATGGCAATTTGAGAGATCGTAAAAGAGATCACCTACCTTCTATTTCTTTCACGACAAATTGCTTTAGCTTCTCAAACACTATTTAAACTACATGGAATGTATTCCTTTTGTTTTTTGAAAGCTTACTAAATTAAAAGGAAAAGATTTAGCTTTGGCTTAACAAAATGCAGAATTATGGAAGAGGATTCACCTAAAATGCTATATATTATAAACCACAAATTTAATGGATCAGTTGGAATTCTCAGTCTTCAGGAGTTAATGCTGTTGGCCTGTCGATGCAAGTTTATGTTAATCAAATTGGGCATCTACTAACCTAAACTGCCTACTAATTAATACATCAATTACACTGTCTTCTTCCTTAATTTAGAAGCATGTCTTCCTCCTTTAAAATGAAAGCATTACCTAGATGGTGTGTATAGTTCCTTCTAGTTCTAAGTCTAGTATAAAATTTTGATAAAGGAAATGAAAGCAGTAATGAAACTGGAATGTATTTTCATTTTGATAATCAAAAGGCCCACAGTTTCCATAGTCCTTCCAGAATAAAAAATTGAATTTCTCAATTAATTTTATTCAATAAAAATGCAGTAGGTATCCACAATGTGCTAAGTACTCTTCTTCACGCTGAGAACACAGTGCTGAAGGATGATAAACAAGGTTCTGCCTCTCCTGGATTTTAGTAGGATTAGTAAGATTACTAGTTGTTTCTTCTAGTAGACACCAACTCCTAGTTCATTAAATGTTCATTTCCCAGTCTCTCTTGCAACATCTACTTGCAGCCAAAGAATGTGAGAGGAATGTGAGGAAGTGATGTGTATAACTCCTAAACCACCCCTTTAAAGGAAGAAACTCTCTTTCTTCTATTCCTCCCTGTTGGCTGGATGTGATGACCGGAGCTGGAGCAGCTACCTTGGACCATGGTTTGGAAGAAGCATATTGGGGGTGATACAGAAATAGATAAAAATTAGTCACATTGGCCTTATCGTCTACTACTTCTTATTTAATGGGGAAAAAAGCTTTCACTCCATTTTAGCCACCCTGTTACAGAGGCTAAATCTGTATCTTTAATACATTTATTTAAGGGGGAAGAGTAATGACAAACCTTTGGAAAGCATTTCTAAAATTATAACTGCTGGCAAAAAAAAAAAATGGTGATGAATAACAAGAGCAGTAAAGAGCCAATTTAAATTAGATTAGGGAGGGTAGCTCTGAGAGCTAAATGAGAAAAAAGCATCAGTCATGATAAGATCTGGGGGCAGAGTCCGAGGTAGAGATCATAATCACAGAGAGCCCAAGGCAGGAAAATATGACTGGTATGTCTGAAAACCAGAGAGAAGGCTGAAGTGAAATAATGAATAACTGAAGACTGAGTTTGTCCATATTTCTTCCTAAAGCGAAGTCCTATATGTTTTAGGAAAGGTACCATGATTCCATTTATATTTTTAAATGACCCTGCTGGCTATTATGTGGAAACTATATTGTAGTAGAAATAAGATCAATTAGGCTATTGCTTTTGATTCAGGTGAAAAGTGATGGTGCACTGACAGAGGGTCAGTAACAATGGACCAGATTTGGGATATATTTTAAAGATAGAGCAGCAGCAGGAGTGGCTTATTAGTCCTTAGAGCACTTCCCGGTCCTCCTGAATATTTTGGATTCTACCAATATTTATGCTCTTACTTTTCAGACATCTCATTATTCACCTTACTCCTCTAAAACCTTCCTGTGATATTATAATTAATTAAATGTTTTTTTTCATTTTCATTCCCTCTGGTCATAGACTAAAGTGAGATTTATACACACACACTAGTACATACATACATAGTATACTAAGAATACAGAGTATATATCAAGAATAATATATAGTATACTAAGTATAAAAGTATGTATTTTTATTTATTCATTTATTTATTTATGCATACAAGAGCTGGGGTATAGGCCTGAAGGGAGGGAGGGGTGAGAGAAGAGAGGATGCACCAGAGACAGAGTGGGGCAAACAGGTGAACTGGCTGAAATACACTGCTCAGGGGAGCAGTGGGCAAGACAGGAAGGTCTGCTGTGCCATGTGGGTCAGCTCTCTGGCTGGCTGGTGTCGAACTCATGCTGCAGTGGCTGTGGGTAGCTTCATACTGCTGAGACTTAACTTCTTATAGCACCAGGGATGTCCCTGAGATATTTATTACTTTAACAATCTTATTCTGACATATTTCTGAAAGTAATCTGTAGTTTAACAAATAGCTCTATTAGAAAAAAATTACTAAGAAAAGTAATTCATACACATACACTTTCCAACTTTTTCTTTACTAAGTAACATGAAGAACTTAGAGGCCTATTAAGACTTACCAGTGAAGTACAAGAAGCAGGATGATTGTAAGGATACCACCACACTGTTTTATAGATGTTGATGTACTGAATGAACAGAGCAACCAGCAAGTAGATGAAAAAGAGAAATTCAAAGAGCAGGCTCCCATCCACAGGCAAATCAGGTATTTGGCAATGACGAACAGGACCTGGTGTGATTAAGGCTGTGATAGGCGGGACCGGAAGGCCAATAGCGCTACCATTCCTGAAAGAGAAAACTATGGTAAAATCAAATGGTAATACCACTCAGTGTCACATAGTACAAACGGTTCTTGTTTCCTCCTCCACCTGCCCATTAACTATGGGCCTTCCCAGACTGTATCCTGGGATCCTCTTCTCTTTTCTTTTTCCTCTGTACTCTCTTATTCACTGATCCAATAGGTGATCAAAGCTTCCATTCTCTCCTGCATGCTGAAGACTAGAATTTCTCTCCAAGGAGATCACTAATGAATCTTAGGCCTATGTTATCAAGCTGCCTTCTGGAAAGCTCTGTGTTCTTTCTCCTATAATCCTGATCCTAGTCACAGTTCACCCATTTAACTGCTCATATTGGAAACTTCAGAGTTACACTAGGACTTTCCTTCTGATGCAATCACTCTCTAAATCTTTACAGTCCATTTTATGAAACTTTTCCAAACTGTACCTTCCTGTCTAAACCCTAGATGAAAAAAAAACGAGGGCTACATACATGTATAATATTTTATACAATCCTGGCTATTAAACTTCAAGCCAGAAGACAAAGAAACAAAGCTCGCGTAAAGTGAGCTAGTATATCAATGGCAAAGAACAACAGTAGTTGGAAGCTTAAGAAGAGATTATGATCAAAGTTTGTAAAACCAAAAACTATATGGCTAAACTAAACTTGTTCAATACATTTCAGAAGATTAGTAACAGAGATATTATTTAGGAAATGTTAAAGTACTATTCCTCTAAGAGCATATTAAAGCAGATTCAAAAGCTAGAAAAGTGAAACAACAAATATTTGAAATACAATGTGATATAAGTTCTGGCCCCAGATTTTTCAGTAGCCAGGTGTGGTCTTTAAGAAAACTTTATAACCCTGAGTCTCAGATTCTTCATCTATGACACAAGGGGTTGCACACAGATTCTCCTTGAAGAGTGGTTCTTGATGTTAACACAGAATGTTGTCATTCAAATTGAGCTATAGGTCCCCAAGGCCATGCCCAGGCTTCATGATTCACTAGGACTCCTCACAGGATAGAGTACAGAGCTGTGTTCATAGCTAAGATTTATTATAGCAAAAGGATACAAATCAAAATCAGCCAAGCGAAGAGGTAATGGGGGCAAGTCTGGAGGAAACCAGGACACCGTTCACTCCTTTAGCAACTACTTATAACAATACAGGAATATCCTATATACCAAAAAGGCTCAAAAGAGATTCAACTCTGAAGGTTTTTATTGTGAGCTGATCTCACAGGCACACCCTGCTTCTAGTACCAAAATCCTAGATTTCTAAAAGGAAAGTAGGTGTCCAGCAAAGCTATCCTTAGAAGGGCCTGCCTGCAGTGCTGGCATCTAAATTTGACTGGTAAATACTTCCTTCTGCTGATATAAAAGTATTCGCAAATAAAGACTGGCTTACTAAACCTAAAATGAGCAAAAATGTGTTCAAATATATTCAATACCTGCTTTGTCCTTGTATATAAAGTTTGTGTGCAGGGAAGAATTACTAAAGTAGGCCTGAAACCAAGTTTTATGAAATAAACAGCAATAGAATTTAGTTAAGCAAATGGATAAAAGCAAGAAAGATTCAAAGATATAAAGAACTAGAATAGGGGTAGAGAAAGCAGTTATTTACACATGATCATGCAAGGAGAAAAAGAGAAGGAAATCAAGCAAGATATTCCTTCAAGTAAATGCTTTCTAGGACACACAGAAATTCACAGAATGTCCTCCTCTAGAAGACAATCTTCTAAGCACATTGTTTCAAGAACAAAACCTACCCTCCCACAGACTGAAAGCAGGAGAGGGAACCATAGATTTCAATCTTAATTGTGTCACCAAAGGGGGCTCATTGATATTTGCAAGCTTTACTTTACCAATCAAGCCACAAAATATCTACCAATTGACCTGGTAGCAGTATCAATTATCCAAAACTCTATCACACTTAAGCAAATACCTATTTCTATCAATAATCTACAGAAACCCAGAAATGATTTCTTCTCATCTAGGCATTCTTTCTACACATACTTCCTAAATCTATATTCTAGGCTGTCTATCTCTGTTTTACCAAATTTTTATGCCCCTCCCCCATAATCTAACCACCTCTTCTAGCAGCTTCTTTCTTATCAAGAACCAAATATAGAATGTCTAATAAAAATGTTACAAAGTAATTATTCAATAATAGTTTTAGTAACTTTTCAAAACATAATGATCACAACCACATTTTACTTTATCCTAATCTAAACATATCTAAAATATGTTCTTTCCACCACTCCCAATTAATTGCTAAATGACAAGAGCAGGTAGAGAATAGTAGATCAAGGCAACCATGACTGGAAACTTGAAAGTCAGGATAAAAGAGATACAAAAAAGCACAGAAAAGAATACATGATTATAGCTAAGATATATTTTCCAAATGTTATACATGATTATAGCAGAGATATTTTCCAAATGTTACTACTTGCCAATATATTTGCAGACTTCAAGTGCAAGCAAAACCATCAAGGAATTTGGCTTTGGTCCATTTGTAGGAGCAGCGCATTTTATTTTCCCCCAAAAGATATTTCACATGATATCCCAATATTTAAAACACATAGCAGTTAGTCTGATTAAGACAGGGCTGGGAAGCCTGAGGTCTGCACTGCTAGGCCTATTTGCCTTTTTCTCCTTTCTAAGATCTCCTAAGGAAGCCCATGACACACTGAAGATATATTCTATGGGTCAGTTTGAAAACAATTATCTAGGGGAATTGTCAAAGTAAAAGTAGAAGAACATGAAAAAAGAAGTGCTAGAGTAGAGACAGAGGCAGAATTAGAACCGTTTTAAGAATTACTCTGGGGTGCAGGCCAGAGTTGTGAGGAGTGAGATGATTCACTGGATACAGAGTAAGGAACAAAATAGGCAGGTCTACTTAAACTCACTGCTGAGGGGAGCAGCAGGCAAGACAGGAGAGGTCTGAGGTGCCAAGTGGGTAACCTCCCCTGCCAGGAATCAAACCTGTGCTGCAATGGCTGCAGATAGCTTCATATTGCTGTGTCTTAACCCATTGTGCCACAAGGGAGGCCTCAGAATTATAATTTTTTGTAGCCAAGAATCTGAGCAAAGCTTGGCTATGATTTTCTTGTTTCTTTTTACACTGAGAACACTGGTTTATAATGTTTTCTAGAGAGATAGGATCTCCCTTCAGATGTGGCTTCCACACTCACCTACCACCCAAACACTCAGTTCACCACCATAGATGATATTTTATTGCAATTTCACCTCAGTATCTATGTATCTTTCTTCAAAAGCATATTCAGTCTCATTCTCTTTATTCCTTTAAAGATAAAATAACATATATTGTAGAAATTTTTAAAAATTCAGAATAAATTTATTAGAATAAAGTTTTTCAAAGCTACTGCAATGTACTACTTCCTTTATTTTGAACATCCTCATATAAAGCTCATGGTATGGCTGTTTTTAAAATGAGCAAATCCAAAGCACAGCAGAATAAGAAATAATCTACAGTAAAATCTAAGTAGTTTGCAAACATACATAACACATAAAATTAGTCTGAGAATCAGTCTCTAGAAAAATCCCCTCAAACTGGAATTTCTGGGAGAGTCCCACTGAAGTGATGAGATCAGAACTGATTTTAAAGAGCTTGGATTGGAATTTCAAAAGGGCAAGCCAGAAAGAGAAAAGTACACAAATATCATCAATAGGACCAGAAAAGACTAAAATCAGTCTTAGTGATTCAAGCTTTAAAAAATAGAAATCAGCTGAAAAAGTAAAAGGAAAGAAATTGGAAGCCCAATCCATGCTACAGCAAAATCACATTAATTTTTTCTAATTTTGAATTGCCTCTTTTTTGTAGCTTAAAGAGATCAAGGTAACTGTCATCTTTTTTTTTTTAAGATTTATTTATTTATATATACAAGATCTGGGGTACAGGCCAGAAGTATGGGGTGGGGTGAGGGGGTGAAGAAATTCACCAGAGACAGAGTGGGGAGCAGAACAGGCAGGTTGACTGAAATACATCACTAAGGGGACCAGTGGGGGAGACAGGAGAGGTCTGCTGCACCATTTGGGTCTCCCCCACCAGCTGCGCATAGCCTTTTTTTTTTTTTTAAAGATTTATTTATTTGTTCATACAGAACTGGGGTACAGACCAGAGGCTCAGGAGCGGCGAGAGGCTTCACCAGAGACAGAGTGGGGAGCAGAACAGGCAGATCTACGAAGTACACTGCTGAAGGGAGCAGCGGGCGGGTCAGGAGAGGTCTGCCGCGACATGTGGGTCACCTCCAGGGCAGGCGGGGATCGAACTCATGCGGAAGTGGCTTTAGCTTCTCACTGCTGTGCTTTAACCTGCTGCGCCACCAGGGAGGCCCCTACTGCCCTATAGACAAATCTTGTGTGAGCTCCCTGCCGTGGCACAGTTGTAGACATGCTTCTTCACTGACAAGAAGTATCTGATAGATGATATTCCCTTTTCCATCTCTGCAACCTTAGTAACATCATCTATAAATTACTGGAAACCAAAAATGTGGAATTTGATTTTATTGCCCAAGGTAAGTTTCTGCAAATGCCCTTAGTCAAACACACAGAATTGGAAAATATCTTATCAGAAGAGGCTGTGAAACATGAATACATGAATACACTACACCTCAGGGCAATGCTTGTTCCAAGTGTCTGGATAAGTTTAATCAATTGGGTAGAGGAATGGATCTTAACTGGTTCTGATAAGATTTCTTTAATCTGGTTCTCAGAAGTAAAGTCAATAATGATAATTATGTGTCCACACCTGTGCTAAGTGTCAAATGCTTAGCACCTTTGACAGCACCGATATTGTCAACGATGTGGCCTGGTGAAAAAAAAGAGTATGTCTTGACTGCTCCTGAGTGACATTATGGATCAAACCATTCTCTTATGAGAACGGGATGTAGAGAGAAGCCAACTGGAAACCCTACAGTGCTGCAAAGGTCATGCTGGAAGTGGATTCTAGTTACTGATAGCAAAGGAACTAAATTACAGTGAGTCCTAGGATAAGAGACTAAAGATCTGATCTACAGTCCATACAGATGAAGAAGTTGAAATGGAGGAATCCACAAATTGACTGAAAAAGAAACAGAAAATAGAACAACTGGGAATAACGAGGATGCCCATAATGACCACCTCTGGGCATATGAAGTAATTTTCTCCAGCCTATGGTCAGATGTTGAAGAAGTTTGTAGTGCATCTTGGGGTCCCAAAATTAGGATGTAGGATACTGAAGCTAGCAGTAAGGACAACTTTGACAGGAAAAAAGTATTTCAGTATACTTCCTATTCTCTACTTTGCAAATGCTTAGCACCTGGATGCACAGAGAATATATCAGACTGTGGGGTCCCTGAAGCAAAGGGGATGGCTCTTTGGTGCTATTGAACCTAACCTTACATACAGGATGGGTCCACACAGTAAAGTGGTCTCCTACATATGAACAACAGCTTTAGATAACACTGTCAAGTTTTGGAATACAGAAGTTGTGATGCTCCCTCCTATGATGTACTGCTCATTAAGATAAAGTGCTAAATGTAGACTGGATGGACACAGGTTACTTCTGAGTAGAGGAGCATATAATAAATTGTATTCCCTTAGGTAACTACCTACTTTTTCCCATCTTGGGGCATGAAAGTGGGTAAGTTTGACTAGAGATTCTAGACATGAAATTCATAGAGAACCCTCAAATTATATCATACAGATTCAGAAAGCAGCCTTTTAAAGTTTAAGTTTTCAACCTTAAAAATAGCTATCACTGTCACCTTTATTGTGTATTTATTATAAACTCATTTTTATTTATAAATATAAAATGGCCTACATTTGTCTACCTTATGCAAGCTCATAAAATTAAATGAGTTTTTGTGACTTAAAATTATTGGTCTGAATTATGATTTGCTTGTGAAATATTATAGTTATATTAAAAATAAATGTGAATGAGAAAATTAGAATCAAAGCAAGAAAAAACTCTATACAGAGAGGAAACAGAAATTATCTTGATAAAACAAGCATCAGGTAAAAGTCATCGCCTTCCACTGCTACATGATCAAATATCCTGATATCCTGGATCAGGTTAGAAATAATTCAGGAACAGAGAAAGAGGGAAGGGAGCACAGTGGGCTATGGGTTGACTGGTGATATGTACTAAAGCGGTGATACTTGAGGGGGGTTCCTATGTTTCCAAAGTAGCAATGATAATGTAAGCCAATATTACCTCAATAAAATAACTTTTACAAATGGAAATTAGGGACAGAGATAAATTTCCTTTAAAAAGATCAAATGCTTTATTCTCATAAGACACAAATCTTTAAGATGTATAGCTTATTGCTGACAGTTTATTAATTTTATTAAAAATATTTTGAACAAATTTTTTTAAGATCACTGATAGGATGACATAATTTACAACCTGTTAGCTATTTTAATTTGTCCTCAAAAAGAATACTAGTAGGTAGGTAAATCATATTGGCATTATAATTTTATTCACTTTACCCTTCTTTTAATAACTAAAAAGAACTGAATTACTCTCATTTTGTAAGCCCCACTGGACAACTTTTACCTTCAAAGTATTCCAAAATATTGAATGTTCAGTTTTCTTTTCTCTTTTTAAATTTCTTTTATTCATAGAGAACTGGGGTACAAGCCAGAGGTACAGGGGCGTTGAGAGGATTCACCAGAGACAGAGCTGAGAGCAAAACAGGCCAACTAAGGAAGTACACTGCTGAAAGGAGCAGCGGGTCAGTCAGGAGAGGTCTGCCGCCACATGGAACACCTCCAGGGTGGGATCGAACTCACACTGAAGTGGCTGTCACCAGCTTGCAGTGCTGCGGTCTAACCCATTGTGCTAACAGGGAGGGCCCTGAAAGTTCAGTTTTCAAAAGCAATATTTCTACGTCAGTGTCAAGAAATGTTGATCGCTTCCATGCTAACTGATCATAGGTTATTACACATTATGCTTTATTTCTTCTTTACCTGTTTCTCAGGCCTGTTCCATTGCCACAGCCCCCACCAACCAAAGTCTGTAAAGAAGGTAAAGCTGAGCGGCTTAGCTGCTGCCGACTAGGGCCCCTCCTTCCACCGGGCATGTCCGGGAACCAGTCTACTTCCAGTGCCACCTGTAGTTGCAATCCAGGTTAATGGTTATCAACCTGTTTCAACTCTGAACAACAACAACAAAAAAAATTAGTATCAGTTTACCATTGTTAAAGTAAGCAATGTTAATAAAACAACCAGAAAAACTGAGCAAGTTTTATAAAGCCAAATTTCCAAACAAATGCTCCCAGTGTCTATTACCTGCTCTATTTTCATGAAAGGACTACTCAGACTCTGTAGGTTAGAAGTCTAGGTTCTGATGAAGCTCGGTTCAGCATAAAGTCATAATTTATATCTTTTACCCATTGAGTTGTATCATATGAACAATATTACGATCAGGTAGATATTTATGAGAAATATCTAGCACACACATAACCAATTCAAATGGAGTATTTTACAGTAAGTCACTTGAAATACAGAAGAATCAGCACTGCCCAAAATGTTAGATTTTCTCATCAAGGGATCAGGGTTCCGAAATCAGATGTATCATGTGTTTTCTGAGTTTAACTTCTCAAGTCTTCCAGAGGTGGTTGTCAGGACAAAGATGAATGAAAGTACACTAACAGGCCTTTTAACCCTTAAAAGCAAATTGTTCAAGTGTATTTCCGTATGGTAAAGTGAAAATATTGGGAGAAGCCCACATGCATGCCCACTCCAATATATGTAAAATCATTTAGAAATGTCTGAAACGCCAGGATTAAAACGATAAGTAACAGTGACGCTCACTGAAGAGACATCATTTTCATTAAGCTATGACAAAATTATGACTCCGCCAATATGGATAACAATATGGATAAATATATGGATAAATCTGTTTTCTAAGCAATACAATTTACAAGCTGAATGACAACAGGAAACACCCTGGTTTCAAAACGTTACTACCGACGAATCGATTTTCCCTATTCCTAGCAACCGTCGGTCGTGGACTCACTAACGCCAGGTGAGACAAAGCATTCCTACCATTGAGTGTATGTGGGGCTGCTCATATTTACTCAATTTACGGGCAAAGAGAAAGTAAAGCGGAGCAAAAAACTGGTGGCGAGAGGGTGGGGGAAGGTATATGGCAAGGGATCACGAACTTCAACTGTCTGGTCCCCAAGAGGGGAAGACCACGCAATCTCCGCCATACACCCCGACGGCAAAATAGGCCAGGGACACCCGAAAGCCGGCAGCTCCGTAATACTCACGCATGGAGGAGGCCCGGCCGGTGGGGCGGGATCCCTGGGAGGAGGCGGCGGCTTTACAGGCAGGACCCCAGGGAAGAGAACTCCCTCTCGCGTTGAGGAGCTCCTAACCAGCTGCTTGCACCCAGGCCGTCCCCACTCCGAGAAGCGAGAAAAAGTATCCAGTCTTCAGGCTGCCAGACCTAAACCCACACCAGACCCAGACCCAAACTCCGAGTCCGTAACAAGAGTCAGAGCCACAGTTAAAGCTAGAAGCAGAGCCCGGCCCCGTCAGCACTCAACCTCAGCCTCCATTACCGCGGAGCAGAGCAGACGTGGCAGCGCACAGGGATGACGTCAGCTCCGCGACCGACGGCTGCCTAGCCGCGAGCTGACCCCCGGAACTACACTAACAGCCCAAGAAGCGGGCACCCTACCCCCTCCTGCGTGCACCTGCGCAATGGGACCGTTCTTCTCTGCTGAGCTCGCTGTCGCGTCTTCCTGGACAGCGCTGACCTGCTTCTTTTACCCACTCCAGTCCTTGGTCACCGCGCCCGCAATTTACGCTTGCTAAGGTCCTTGCTATCTCCTGGATTTCATATAACAACCATGTGCCAATTACAGCCCCCATTTTACAAGTGGGGCAGGTTGGGAGAAGTCACTTAAGGCCAGGTCACTCCAGGTCCCGAAGTCCTACCTCAGCATCCAATCGAGTGTTCACTCAAACAGTAAGTGAAAAATTAGGTAGATGCTGGATTTACAAAATGAATACCACAAAGAACACACAATATAGTGGAAGAAAGAAAATACCAGAAAAGTACAGGAATTGCAACTTATTATAATAAATGAAACATTAAAAGTATGCCCAAGGTCAGAGACAGCGAGCAAGACAGCGTAATAAATTGTGTGGGATGATGGTGGTGTCATACCAAGAAAAACTTAGCAGAATTTTTGATAATCCAAGACTCCAAGAACAAATAGTTCGTGGAAGAAAAGCTTTCTACTAAAGGAAGTGGCAGATGAAAAGATAAGGAGATGGGCAACATCATGAGGAATTCAGAAACTTGGAATAGTTACAGGAGTGTCAAAAAGGCCTTATGTGAAATCTCTTTCTTGCCAGAGATATTTTAAGCACCCTAAGAGAAGCTTTTTGTCTTGAGTATATGATTAGTTAACCTTTATTGAGGTGTTTTTTGTTGGTTGCCAGATATTATAACTTCATATTTCATTTAACTACCATAATGTTTCTGATACTACCAATGTTCCTGCAAAGGAAATTGAAATTAAATGACTTCATGAAAATAACCCACCTAGGAAATGCAGAACCAAGATGAAAATAAAGCCAATAAAGTTAACTAGTCAGAAATATTCTTATCCTATTGTACCACAGAAACTTTTTCTCATGAGTATATAAAAAGATAATTTACGTTTTAAAATTGTATTCATTTCTAGACATAAGCAATTTTGTACATTTGTTTACGTTGTCCTGTTAGTTGCTTCATAGCTTGCAACATTGAAATTCCTTTGCTGCCTTTCTGTTGGCTCACATTTCTTCACTGGCTACAGATTTCCAGTTCATATTGCTCTTTCCCACCACTTAATAGATCTGGGTTTACTGCCTTATATTATAAATTATCTCTGGGGATCATATATATCTTCTCACTGGCTCTTAACTCCTACTAAAGGGCACAGACCTCATCTTGTACTTCCATGTGTTTTCAGAACCTAGGATGTTACCATACACATTTAGACAAAGTCTAAGTATTTGTAATTGAATGATCATTATGTATAGCTCTATATACTGTCGAATATGGTGGTGTCCACTGATTTTTTTCACGTCACCTCAATTATAAATTCATATTACAAAGAGACTATGCTACACTATTTGCACTTTCTTGGGGTTTGACATTGTTGTATACATTAAGATGCTTAACAAAATCTATGTGATGCAAGAAGAAGAAATTGTATGTCTTGCAAATAACTAACCTAGGTTGTGCCACTAACTAAAGCTATGGGCAAGAAATGTATCATCTCTGGCTTTCAGTTTTCTGGCTGCAAAGAATATGAAGTTTTCAGCATGTTACAGAGTGTAAGAAATTGTCATTATTAGACATTTTTTCCAGGGGATGACACATTCTCGGATTCTGAGAGAAAGGGGAGAAGAGGAGGACACATTTTAAATATCTATGTGCACTTCGAAAGCAGCTAAACAAATCAGTAAACCTATTTGCACAGCCGGGATGCATTAACATTGCAATGCTATGCCTCAAGCTCCCGATGCTACATTCCCAGGGAAACTCGGTTGCCGGCCGGGTTTGGGGGCGGGGCAGGCGAGAGGCGCTCCGCCATCTTTGTGCGGGGCTGCCCTTCGCCCACGTGGTGCGGGTTGCAATGCCATCTTTGTGCGGGGCGGTGCTTCCGCCGGCGCCGCAGCCGGGACTCCGCAGTGGGTCCGCTGGCGATGGAGCGGTGGGCGCGCTCGCAGCTTAGGCTGTGGCTGCTGTTGCTACTCCTGCCCCCTGTACCCGGCCGCCAAAAGGAGTCAGGTGGGCTCTGGGCAGGCCAGCTATGCTGCTTGTGCTCGGATCTCGCGGGGTCGGAGACCCTCTGCCGCCCCCCTTGCTCTCCCTCGCAGCCCGCGCCGAGCGCTTGCTTTGGCCCCTGTAGTACAGAGCCTGTCCGAGGGTTCGAGGGTTCAGGGAGCTAAGAGCGTGTTTTGGGTGGCTGGCGCGGTTTGTCTTGCCCAGGACCCTGGAGAGTAACCCATCCTCCGGAATTGATAGTGATACCGGGAAGGATCTAAACAACCCCGCAAGGGTTATCGCCCGCACTTGACTACCCAGCACCTTCCTAAAACACTGTGGGATAATTCGTGTGTGTGTGTGTGTGAGAGAGAGAGAGAGAACACTGGGGGATAATTCGTGTGTGTGTGTGTGTGTGTGTGTGTAAGAAAGAGAGAGAGGTGATGGGGGAAGGGGTGGTGATGGTGATGGCGGTTCCTAGGCTGCCAGAAGAAATGAAAAGGTTAATGTCTGTGCTTTTAATCAGTTTTTTTTATGAGACTAAGTTTCATTATTAAAAGGTTAGGCAGTGTCACCAGTTTATCCATAGTTTCTACGTGTCAGGTGTTACGCTTGAAATTGTACTTTTTTTTGGGACACCTGATGGCTCAAGTAGAGGATCTTGACCTGAGCTGCAGACTTACAAAATGAATCTTTCATTTTGTAGGTTCATTTCCCTAAGTGAGATGGAAAGGGGTTGTCTGTTGTTTCTGTCTGCCTGCTGCTAGCAAAAAGGAATGCTCAGGGGTATCTTGCTAACTTGATTTACTTCACTTTTCGAAGGTTCAAAATGGAAAGTGTTTATTGACCAAATTAACAGATCTTTGGAGAATTATGAGCCATGTTCAAGTCAGAACTGCAGCTGTTACCATGGGTGAGTTCTTCCTCCTCCACTCCCCTTTTTTTGTGTCTTTGAGAGTTTAGTTCTTGTCACAAGGAAGTCCCCCTAGGATTCCAGAGACTGCGGGGAGACTGCGCGATTGCAATGAGCAGAAAGGGCTCCTAAGGTGGTTTTCCTGGGAGTAAAAATGCCCAGAGATAAGAGAGCACCCGCTCAGCACAGCTCTCACCAATGGACTGAAAGCTTGAGTTCAAGGTCTATGGCTTAGCCACTCCTGTATCCCTAGTCCTGTCCCTCAGTAAATACTGTTGAAGGAATAGACATTTATAATCGAATCTGATAAACTTTTTCTTATTTTTAAAATATGCAAGTTAGGTCTGGAACATGGTGTGATAGAAAGGTTACTTCAAAAGCAGCCTTGGGTTGCAGGCCCAGATTTCCCACTGATTAGGCTTGTAGCATGCCACTTCTCTGGACATCAGGTTCCTTATCAGCTAAGTAACAGTATCCTTTAGCTCCACATTATGTTATTCTGTAACTTCTCAAAAAAATTCAACTGACACTTGTGTTATTTATTAAAAACTGATCCCTTTAAAAGGGGTACAAAAATGGTGTAATTTCTGGTGACTGTTGTCAGGCTGCTAGAGTATGCCAGGTGAGTACAGACCAGAACAAGGGAGTCAGTCAGCATCAAACTGTAAGGTATCAACTGTCCTTTCTGTGGGAATCTGAGAGGGGAGGTCAGTGGGACCACTGTGACAAAGACATTAGTGATAAAAGAATATGAAGCATGTCAGGGTTGGGCAATCTCAATGGAGGGAGAAAAGAGAGAATTGACTTGCTCTGTCTTAGATAACTTTCTTGTTGATGTTTTAGATTATGATGCTTCTGGGGCTGAAGTTGCTCATACCTATCCTCTCTTCTTTCCCTCAGGTGTCTGTGTTCTCTAGTGCTAACCTAAGCCCACAGATGGGAAGTGGGTGGAATGGTATCACTCTCTTGGCCTGCTTTCCCTGACAATTCCCATTCTTTCCCAGTGTCATAGAAGAGGATCTGACACCTTTCCGAGGTGGTATCTCCAGGAAGATGATGGCAGAGGTTGTCAGAAGGAAGCTAGGGACCCATTATCAGATCATTAAGAACAGATTATATCGAGAAAATGATTGCATGTTCCCCTCAAGGTAAGAGTTTTACATAGACATAACTTCTGATACTACTACATGTGGTTTTGTTTGTACTATTCTTATAGAGGAGATAATTAAAAGCAGTGACAGAAAAAACTCTATTTCAGGGGAACTACAAAACAATGGCAAACTCTCCTTGCCTGGGGATTTTTACCCCCAACATCTGTCCTCTTTTTTTCTTATATCAAAGTATTTGTTTTCTCCCCATGTGTGAAGTTCTGCCCCTTTTCATTCTTCCCTGTGTGGAATAATTCAGAACAGGCTGATGAAATCTAGTGGGAGTGGGCTAAGCTGGAGTGGGAGGGGCAACATTGATTGAGTCTCTTGTGAGTCAAGTATTGTTCTAGATACCAAGTATTTGAGGAGAGGTAGTAGAAGGTCCAAGGGAGTAACTGAAACTACAGATCAGGCAGGCCAGAATAGCCAGGATTCGGAGAGTGACCATTCAATGTGCTGAGGGCAAGCAGGGAAAATCATGGGCTGAACCTGGAAGTTAGTTTTATGCAACATTATATACAAATAATGATAAACCTCCTTTTTCAGAGTCTTAAAGTAAAACAGAGGACATGATATTCCCTTACCTAAGATATTATTTCTAAACAAGCTCTATTCTGTCAGAAAATCATGCATATTTGAATACAAAAGTTTAAATTATTTGCTCTTAATGTAATTTAATTATAAATAAATACATTTTCATTGTCAAAAGTATGTAAAAAGAACAGCAAAATAAGAAAATAAAGATCGCTTAATATCTCACTACTCCTAGGTAATCAAAGTTACATTGTGTTTACCAAGTGCTAGAGACAAATAAGTACTAATGGGGAAAATCACTGAGGTGATTTTAAATGGGCATTTGTCTCAATTTGGGGGGGGGGGGCAATACTAGTGATTTTAAATACAAATTATGAATTTAGAGGAATTCATAATTATAATTTTAATTTTATAATTAAATTAAAATTTATAATTTTTATAAATTTGAAATTTACAATTTTTACTAGTGAGAAATATAAATGAACATAGACACTCTATGATACTTAATAGATGAATGATTTCTAAATGAAATTAAAGGCTTTAGATTTTTCTGAAAAGCATGTAACTTTTATTCCAGACCTCAGAAGCTTTTTAGTCAGATTCATGAGCTCTTAGAAATGTTCTTAAGGGAACACAGGGTCTTCATTGACAATAAAATGGACTACATTTCTAATGGCAGTGAACTCTATTTTGAGTATATATACAATTAATGAAAACAGAATCATAGCCAATAGAAATAGCATGAGATATTCAGAACCAGGCTTTCATGAAATGCATACAGTTGTGTATTGTGTCAGACTCCCATGTAGCTACAATTTGTGTCTTAATTCTTTTTTTTCTAAGGCAGCCACTTTCAAAAACTGTATGACATTTAGAAAAGTTGGTTCTGAACAAAATTAAATATAAATTCAATATTTCAAAGATGAACTAAGAGATTTTGCTCAGGGACCAGAGGACCATTTAAGTAATACTGGAGATACATCATTTCAAAGATAATAGCTTTCGTGAAGTATAGTTAAAAGACACTGCACGGCCCTCCCTGGTGGCGCAGCGGGTTAAAGCACTGCACAAAGAAGCTTAAACCACTTCTGCATGAGTTCGATTCCCGCCTGCCCTGGAGGTGACCACATGGCGCGGCAGACCTCTCCTGACCCGCCCGCTGCTCCCCTCAGCAGTGTACTTTGTCGATCTGCCTGTTCTGTTCCCCACTCTGTCTTTGGTGAATCCTCTCACCCTCCGCATCTCTGACCTGTAACCCAGTTCTGTACGAATAAATAAATAAATCTTAAAAAAAAAAAAAAAAGACACTGCACATATTTAAAGAGTACAATGTGATGAGTTTTGATACATGTATACATCAAGATAATGAGTATGTTCGTCATTCCAAAAGTTTCCTTGTGCCTGTTTGTAATCCCTCTCACCCAGCCCTTCCCACCACACTTTTCTCCCACACCTATCCCCAGGCATCTACTGACCTGCATTTTCTCATAGATTATTTCCTAGAGTTTTGTGTCAATGGAATCATACAGAATATGAGAGAGTGCTATTTTAAAAGCCAAATGTGAAAGAAAATAAGTGTTTTGATTGCCATATGTAAATGTCCTGTAACTATGTATTTTTAACTTTTTAAGTAGCAAAAAGCAGTAGAAATGTATGGCAGAGTATTTGGATGATGTGGAAATATATAGAGTGAAAAAGAAGTTTCTCTACTATTTTATTTTTTTATAGATCTATTTATGCATACAAGAACTGGGATACATGCCAGAGGTGTGGGAGGTGAGAGAATTCACCAGATAGAGTTGGAAAACAAAACAGGAAGATCGACTGAAATACACTGCTGAGGGGAGCAATGGGCAGGACAGGAGAGGTCTGCCATCTATGTGGGTCACCTCCCCTGCTGGGAATCAAACTTGTACTGCAGTAGCTTCAGATAGCTTCATAGCACTGTGCTTGTACCTACTGTGCCACCAGGGAAGGCCCTATTTTATTTTTTTAAAGAGTTATTTATTTATGCATATAAGAAATGGGATACAGGCCAGAGGTATAGGGGATAAGAGGATTCACCAGAGACAGAGAGGGGAGCAGAAGAGGCAGATCGACTGAAATTCACAGCTGAGGGGAGCAGCTGGGTGAGACAGGAGAGGTCTGCTGCGCCATGTGGGTCACCTCATGGTGACGATCACCTGGCTGGAGATCGAACTTGTACTGTAGTAGCTGTGGATAACTTTCATAGTGGTGTGCTTTAATCCCTATAGCCACCAGAAAGACCCCTTCTCTATTATTTCTGACTCCCATACCTCTGGTCCTAGAGAGGCACCTCTCAAGAAACAACCACAATTACATGTTTCTTGTGTATACCTCTAGAAGTAGACTATGCATGTACAACTATCTGGACTCATCAACAAATTGGAACATGTACCTTCTGTTCTAACTTATTTTCTTTTTAGTATAATAGTAGATTTTGAAATTATTCAAATAAAAGTACATAGAGAACACCTGACCCTTGCATAGCTGATTAGTGATCTATTATTTGAATTATAATGTAATTATATTCAAGTCCTGTATCAAAAGACACTTAAATTATTCCTCACCACACCTCTTTGATTTCACCTAATGCAAACTGTGCTGCAGTGAACATTCTTATCTGTACTCCTTTAAGCGCTTATAAATATATCTGCAGGCCGAATTCCTGGAAGTCCCATGAATGGGCCAATTAATGTGTTTTTAAAATCTTGATAAATAGAAACAATTGTCCTCCCAGGAGGTTGTGCCTGCTTACACCTACACTGCCGCTGTACCACATGTTTAGAATAGTCCTCACACCCTCACTAACATTGTATTATCAGACTCTTTGATCTCTGCCAATCTGAGCAGTGAAAACTGATTATCTTGTTTCACCAGTTTACCTTACTACTAATATAGCCCAGCATCTTTTTTAATGTTATGAAACATTGATATTCAGTGTAGGTTATTTGCCTACATACAGATCATTATTTTAAAATTGTCATTTCATGCTGCTAGAACATTTTGGCAAACCATGGAATGCTACTCTTGGCAGAGTGCTTGTCAGGACCTCAAAGGATGGCTGTGGGGGATGGGGGGGAGTGGGGGGTGCAGCAGAGTTGTCTGCATATCTTCTCTTTCTTCAGGAAATCCCCTGAGGGTTGCTAGCAAATCTAGTCAGAAAGCTAGCATGATCTTTTTTTTTTGACTGTGTACATAACACTCTTTTACTGATTTGTGAAACTGATTTCGATAGCATTCTGTATTCAGGTAGAAGGTAATATGATATTTCTTACCTTTCCTCATAAACTGAGAATTATTATGGAAATAAAAATAATGTCTTTGTGAGACACTGGTGAACTTGCGGTATCTCTGTTTGGCAGGTGTAGTGGTGTAGAACACTTTATTTTGGAAGTCATTGGGCGCCTCCCTGACATGGAGATGGTGATCAATGTTCGAGATTATCCTCAGGTTCCTAAATGGATGGAACCTGCCATTCCAGTCTTCTCCTTCAGCAAGGTAAGTACAGGAAAAGCCAGATAGGGTATTGAAGCGTGGTCTTCTAGAATATGAACATGAAATGATTGTCCTGTGACGTCTGGCATGGGATGGTGAGAATGAGGCCTTAGACCAAGGAATGGGTCTGTGCCCCTACTGACTTCATACTGGTTGAGCAGTAAGATTGAAGAGATGAGGTTGAGGTCTTGTAAATAATGTGTAAGATAGCTTAAGTGTCTGTAGGACTAGGGGTGGAGGGTAGAGTGGCCTGCAGAATATATTTGACATTAGAGGTGGAGTTCAGCAGTCCTACAGATTGGGAGAGAGTGGCTCATGTAAGTTGATGAGCTTGGAGTAGGGGATTCCTTCATTGAAAGAACACTTGTTAAGTACCTACAATGCATATATCAACCATAGTATTGGGTATCCACTGTCACATCTGTTACTGTGTCCCAGGGGCCCAACATGGTTAACGGTGAGAGTGAAGATGTCAGGTAAGTCCTTGTAGTTTGCATACAAAAGGTGATCTGACTACATAGGTCGTGTAAAATATGATCCCTGGGTCAAGTTGAGGAATAGGAGTGTTAGGACTCACTAGTGGACTTGGGATCCTGGGAAAGTTAATATTTTGTCAGTGCTTCAGTTCTCACAGATGATGTGTTGGCAGATTGGTTCCCTCGAAACCATTTAGGGGGCTTGGGTAGTCGGAAGAGAGTAGATAGAAGATTCAAGGTGGGTGAGTGAGTTTAGGAAAACCCCGTGGACTTTGGGAAAGGGAATACCATCTCTTGACTTGGTTTCTCCAAAGCAGAGAGGTTTTCATCCTTGCTTTTTCTTTATCACAGTTTACTTTCATTTCTAGAATGGTTTATTTCCTGTATTGCACGTGGGCTGAGGCCACATTTGTTTTGCACTTCCATGGTTTTACCTCATTTCTCAAAAGTTCTTGGTGCTGTTGTGTTTCATGAAACCCTCCCAGAAGAACAGATAGAGGTTCCAAAGTAAGTCAGTAAGGACTTTGTATTATTTACCTGTTGTTTGTATTGATGATAAAGTATGACAGTGGCTAGTCTCTCCTTTGTTTTTAGATCGAGACTCCTGGGAGAGATTTAGTCTTTCAATTTCATAGATAATCATGCAACTTCTGTTGGCAGCTCTTTTGTCTGAGGTGCTTGATGAATTGCATACCATTTCTTAAATATTTGGGAAAAGGCAAACAGCATATTGTGTGTGTAATTCCATTAGAAGAAACAGTATTACTTCAATTAAAAAAGAAGAGACAGTACAATTAGAGGTTTATCAATAGCCTGAGTTTTGGCAGAAATAACATTAAAAAAAGGAACAAGTGGTTTTCAAACTTTTTTTTTCAAAGCTGTGGGATACTTCTCTTTACCTTCATTCTGTCCATTGTCACTTCTGACCTTGATCAATGCTTAACCGTGAATTTACTGGCCCACCATTGTGAGCTCAACAGCCCCCAGTGTTAGTTAATACTAGTGCTTACTGAATGTTTAATGTTGAAAGATTATTACAGATAGATAACTTATTATTTACTCATTTGCAAAGATAAGGAGACAGAGGCATTGAAAAAATAACTTACCTAGAATTGGAAAGAGGTAAAGCCAGCATTCAGACTCAGATGACCTACTTAAGAACCCAATCTCTTTACCTTTGCATTGTATTTCCTGATTCTTGCTCTTTAAAAATCCAGGAAATAGGGCCCTCCCTGGTGGCTCAATGGGTTAGGACACAGCCCTGCAAGCTAGCAGCAACGGCTTCAGTGTGTGTTCCATCCCCAACCTGTGAGATGATCCACATGGCATGGCAGACCTCTCCTATCTTGCCCACTGCTCCCATCAGCAGTAGACTTTGATCTGCCTGTTCTGCCCCCACTCTATTTCTGGTGAATCCTCTCACTGCACCTGCCTCTCTGGCCTGTACCCCGTTTCTGTATGCATAGATAAATAAATCTTTTTTAAAAAATCCAGGATAGAACTAGGGAGACAGTGCACACTTCAGGTCTAATACAGTTCAAAGATGAGAGAGTTACGTGATCACTCAGATTAGACATATTATTTCCCTAAACTAAAGCCCTACCTTAGCGGGATAAGTTGATCTTCAAAGTGATTTCAAATTCTGGGATTCAAAGTCATGTCACTTTGTTTTTTAATTTGTTGAGTCCAGATGTTGAAAACCAGGGAAAATAAATCTTTGGCAATGTAATACTAGGGATACTATAGCATAGATATTGTTTGTTTCTTCCTACTCTGACCTGGCACTGATTCAGAACTTGTTCTGTTACTGTTGAAGACATCAGAGTACCATGATATCATGTACCCTGCTTGGACCTTTTGGGAAGGGGGACCTGCTGTTTGGCCAATTTATCCTACTGGTCTTGGACGGTGGGACCTCTTCAGAGAAGATCTGGTAAGGTAAGTCCTTTAGAGAGATTTTATTTATACTTCTTTGTGGGTTTTCTCAAAATAGAGTATAAACAATTACTTACTTAAAAATGAATGACTTTTAAGTTAAAAATAAAAAACAAAATAGCTATAGTTTAAGCATTTTCTATGTGTAAAAATGTTACATATCTATAGAAAAGGAGCTAAAGGGCTTACTCGGGAAATATCAGCATTGCCTCTGTAGGAATCTTTTTTTAATTCTGACTACACAACTTATATATGCTTTTAAAATTTTATAAATATATTTAACCTAACTAACTTTCCCCTGTTGGTATATCCTAGATATCTGCCCATGTCAGTACACATAAAAAGACCTCATTTTTTTTTAAAGATTTATTTATTCATACAGAACTGGGGTACAGGCCAGAGATGCAGAGGGTGAGAGGATTCACCATAGATAGAACAGGGAGCAGAACAGGCAGATCGAGGAAGTACACTGCTGAGGGGAGCAGCGGGCGGGTCAGGGGAGGTCTGCCGTGCCATGTGGTCACCTCCGGGGCAGGCAGGGATCGGGGCAGGCAGGGATCGGGGCAGGCAGGGATCGAACTCATGCGGAAGTGGTTTTAGCCTCTTACTGCAGTGCTTTAACCCGCTGTGCCACCAGGAGGGCCCAAAAAGACCTCATTTTTAATGGTTGCATGGTATTCTGCTGAATGGGTAATAGTTTACTTCATTATTTCTTTTGATGGACATTGAGTCTGCATGGAATGCATGCATTTATTGTTTCCTGGAATAATTGGAAATATGTTGCATGTCTTATCACCTTTTACCTCTTAATACTTTAGTGGTAAACCACAATTATCAAAGTCAGGAAACAATATTGGTACAACACTTAATTGTCCCAATAGTATCTTAAATAATGCTTTACCTCCAGTTCAGGGACCAGCCCAGGATCATGTATTGCATTTACTTGTCGTGTGACTTTAGCCTCCTTTCATCTGGAGCTGCTCCTCAGTCTGTCTTTTCTCTTTCATGACATTGACATTTTGAAGAATAAAGGCCACTTTTTGTGGAGTGTTCTTCCATTTGGTTTTATTTTTCTCATGATTAGAATCTATTTATGCATTGTGAGCCAGATACTTACATCAGTGATTTTGTGTCCGTTTGCACCTTACTAATGATGTAATTTTGCTGACTTAGTCATGGTGTTACCTATTTCCCCTAGTGCATGTTATTATTTTAAACTACCAAACCATTTTTAGGGAGGTAGAATATGTTTTAAAACCCAGCCTCATACAAACAGTTTTTCCTTTTGGTACTACCACCCTTTATTCTCCAATAAAAAATTTTTTTATTCATTTATTTATTTATATATATATATATTTTTTTACATCATTCTTAATTTTGTACATTTTTCATCTCAGTTGTAATCCCCATGAGCTTCCCACCACCAATTCATCTGTGTGCCATCGCCACAGTCCAGTTTACTCTCCCCACCCCAGTTCTGATCCCATTTCCCTTTCCACACAATAGAATTCATTTTATTAATGATTAAAGAACTGCAAATTTATTTTTGGAATCCTCCATTCAGAATCTTTAAGCATTTGATTTTATTTCTTACCTTAAAACTGTAATAATTTGCTTGTTTATTCACATTTATTTCTGCTGTCATTTCCTATTTTTATGTGAGTTTATCTCCTCTGACTTAATTCTCACTCTGAAGAAGAATGCATTGTCCTTTCGGATTTAAAGATTCTACTCTTCTGTTGAGGAGGTGTGAGCAGGGGCTTATGAAAGAGAGCTGAGGCAGAACCAGGCCTTCGTGGCCACTGTTGGTGCTTGCGTGAATAAAAATCCTAATGTGGGGAAGGGAAGTCAGGAGATTGAAGGAGAGGGAAATCAAGTCTGTTTACATTACATACATCCCACAGATCCAGGAAATTTATAGTAAAAACTTGAGTATTAAAAAAACTGAGGGCTCTCCCTGGTGGCGCAGCGGGTTAAAGCGCAGCACTAAGAAGCTGAAGCCACTTCCGCATGAGTTCGATCCCCGCCTGCCCCCTGAGGTGACCACATGGTGTGGCAGACCTCTCCTGACCTGCCCGCTGCTCCCCTCGGCAGTGTACTTTGTCAATCTGCCTGTTCTGCTCCCTACTCTGTCTCTGGTGAAGCCTCTCGCCGCCCCTGAGCCTCTGGCCTGTACCCCAGTTCTGTACGCACAAATAAATAAAATCTTTAAAAAAAAAAAACTGATATTTTTTTGTTGGATAATTTCACAATATATATAAAAATTTCAAATGTTTAACTTGGCCATTTCACTTGTAGAATTTATCCTGAAACACTAACTTGATTATTCTGTAAATAGAGTTGTGCAAGGATATTCACTATAGTGTTGGTTCCTGAGGCGAAAAGTTGGAAACCACCCGAGTTTCATCAGTCACGAATGAAATAATATATGACCAGGCTATTATATGGAATACTGTATGTGAATGGAAAGTTGGGATAGACTAGTATTTAAACACAGGGACTGTGTGTTCAAACCTTACTAGCTGTATGACTCTGGGCAATTTGCTTAACTTCTCAAGCTCCTCAAATGTAAAGCAGGAATAATAAAAACCCACGTACAATTGTGAAGATGAGTTAGTATGTGTATAAAGTACTTAGAACAGCATCTGGAGTATAGTAGGTGCTATATCAGTGTCCTGGCTATTCTTTGTAATATACACTGTAGTAAAAATTTTACCTCATTGTAGGTATGGTATGTTCTCTGTTGTATAAAGTTAAGTTTTTAAATCTTGGTCCTAGTGACCCTCAGGACGGAATCATTCTTTGCTGTAGAGGGCTATCCTGTGCATTGTAGGATACTTGGTAGCCTCTCTGACGTTTACCCACTAAATGCAAGCCATACTTCCCCAAGAGTGACATCAAAAATGTCTGTAGCCATGGTCAAATGTCCCTTGGGGCAGAGGCAAATCACCTCCAGTTGGGAATTGATAAGGAGTGAGGTGATTGAAAGCCATTTCTTCACTGAAACATTAAAGTCTTAAAAGTGGTTTTCGGTGGGTGGAGAAATCCCTGATGATTTTTTTTTTTAAGCCTTTATGCTTTTCTGTTAGAATTTTTTAATATACATATATCATTTTTCCATTAAAAATGCCAGTGCTACACTGCTTTTGATGAGAAGGAATATAGGGCAGAGTGGGAATTACTCTGGGAATAGTTTTGGACTGGGTAACGAGGTACTCTCTGATCCTGTGAGAAAGGGCTAGGAAAATAAAACATGCTCTCAGCTGAGAGAAGATGAATAATGTGGCAATGTATATTATTTGTGAAGTTTATATCCTAAGTTTCTCCATTATAGTAAGTAGTCAGCCAATCCTTCATTAACTTCAGCTTGCCCCTGCTCCCCCTTTTACAGAGAAAGACTGCACAACTTCTGTGCAGGGTTCCTAAACTCAGGACATTCAGAGTGATGCACCTGTGAGCCAGCAGTTAAGCCACAAAAGGTGGTCATGGTAATGTGTACTCAGGCCTGAGTTTCAGACTTTGTCTTTAAAGAGCACTTAAAACAGTTTCAAGAATGCCAGGTTGCTTTGTGAAATAAGACTAAATCTGACAATATCTCCTATGTATCTAAAACATGAAGTCAGGAAGTGACTTGTTTTCTTGCCTAAATTTTATTTCTGGTGGTTGCTGTAATTTGCTTTGTATGCTAATTTTAATCAGTAGTGCTGCACATAAAGTAGAGAAGAAATCCTCATTGTGCTGAGTCACATGCCCCTAAACGTGTTGTTTTGGAGTTAGGAATGTTTCTCTGAATGCTTTTAACTTATAAATGAAGGTATAGATTTGTGGATAGTCCAGATAACACTTCTAGAGGAATGAAGCAGTAAAAAAAGAGAATATAATATTATTTAGGACTTTTTCTCTTGAGTAGCCTGGCTTAGACTTACTTAAAATGGTTAAAACAATTCCCTGTGTAGTTAAGGAGAAAACAAAAACTAATCAGCATCTATTTTTAGGGCAGCAGCACAGTGGCCATGGAAGAAGAAAAATTCTACAGCTTATTTCCGAGGATCAAGGTGACTATATTTTCTGATACTTTACAAAGTATACTTTCAATTATTGTGTAAAATAGAAGCAGTTTTGAGGTTGGGAAGAACTTTAGCTCAAAGAGAAAACTTAGATAACAAAGAAAATAAACAGAATCACAGAATTTTTAGACTAGACAAGAACTCAAGTTGTTTGTTGAAATCACTCTTCTTTTAATTGAAATTCAAAAAAGGAAAGTTTCATCCATCTAAACTTATTTAGAGTGCCACAGGGGTGATGGACAGGGAGTATATAAGGTTGAACAGGACAGATGAGTTGTCCTCTTGCCTAAAAACCTATATTTTTTCCTAGAAGTAGCTCATGATCTTGCCCACAGGCACTCTAATAGTTGATACAGAAGAGAAACCATCACTAGATCTCCTGACCGCCTCTTTCTTAAGACTATATGGCTGCCAAATAATGGTAGAGATCACAGACAGAGTTAGGTGAAATGGAGAGGGAAGCAGGGGCGAGAGAGATGAGGAGAAGGGAAGAGATTGAGAAAGGACTTGACTGTTATCTGATGCATAAACACATAGTGAATGCAGAAGAGACTGTGAAGAGAGAAGAGTTTTTGTAGTATTCTTGGTGAGACCGTGTCTGAGATCACACCCTGTTTATCTGGGCAGTGGCCTTCAGGATGCAGACTCACCAAATAGTCACTTCAACTGCTCACTGTCAATTTCTCTGATTCCCACATCTTGAGATCATAGATTCTTAACTTTGGATCCATGTGTGAGCATCAAGGATTCTAGAACTTCCTTGAAATTATATACTTACATTTTTCTGGAAAGAGGGCTCCACAATTCTCATCAGATTCTCAGCAGGGGATCTATGGTATCCCATCCCCCCCACACATTGTAAAGACTATCTGCTACTTACACCATAACTAGGATTTTCTCTACATATAGTCTTCAGGTTACTAAGCCTTTGTTTTTATTTTTTTTTTTATTATTTTTTTCAAAGATTTATTCATTTATGCATACAGAACTGGGGTACAGGTCAGAGGTGTGGGGTGGTGAGAGGATTCACCAGAAACAGAGTGGGGAGCAAAACAGGCCCACTGATGAAGCACACTGCTGAGGGGAACAGTGGGCGGGTCAGGAGAGGTCTGCCGCGCCACCTCCGGGTGGTGATCGAATTCATGCTGAAGTGACTTTAGCTGCTTAGTGCTGTGCTTTAACCCACTGCGCCACCAGGGAGGGTCCTGTTTTTATTTTTAATCATCATATTGGACTTTATAGAGCATACACAACAAAATTCATTTTGCTCTTTTGATAAGTGGTGATTACCTAGTCAAACAGCTATGGTACCAGTGATTGTAGAATCTGTGCCCCACACTTAAAAGAGACATTTTCCGGCCCTCCCTGGTGGCGCAGCGGGTTAAAGCGCAGCACTGAGAATCTAGAGCCGCTTCCGCATGAGTTCGATTCCCGCCTGCCCCGGAGGTGACCACATGGTGTGGCAGACCTCTCCTGACCCACCCGCTGCTCCCCTCAGCAGTGTACTTCGTCGATCTGCCTGTTCTGCTCCCCGCTCTGTCTCTGGTGAATTCTCTCACTACCGCTGAATCTCTGGCCTGTACCCCAGTTCTGTATGCATAAATAAATAAATCTTAAAAAAAAAAACAAAAACTAGATGTAAACAAGAATAGGAAGTCACTCCCATCCCTGAAGGGTAAAGGAGGGCACATCACAGGACCACTTAGATGCTGCAATATTTAACATCCGTCACTACTGTTATAATGGGGAGTTGTCCGACTGTACAAAGAGCAATTTGCATTGGGTCTGAGTCCTGCTCACCTCTCAGAGATTGGGGATAGTGTTGTGGGGTAGGACACATAGCTTTATGTCATGTGTTTCTTTTATAGGACAAGTCCAGAACGAGATCCTCTCATTCTTCTATCTCGGAAAAGTCCTAAACTTGTTGATGCAGAATACACCAAAAACCAGGCCTGGAAATCTATGAAAGTAATCACTAGTCTTCTGAATAGACCTACAACAGTGAACATTCTCAAAGAGTATTGCCATCTGGGTAGAATTGCAGATTAGATTTCCTCTGGGGTGGGGATGGGGGCGATGAATGTTGAGAAGGTTCTGTGAGCTAAAATTAGCATATATATGTAAATTATATATTTCAAATGCACATTGCTTTTCCTGTCCCTCTTGTGAGGAGTAATACTATCATAGTACTTTGAAGCTTTAAACCACAGATAATAAGCATTTTAAATCAAGGGCCACATGATAAATATTTTAGGCTTTACAGATAGCTTGGTCTCTGTTGTTACTTTCAGCAGGAAAGTAGCCACAGAATGTGTGTAAGTAGATTCTAATAAATCTATTTATGGTACTGCAGCTTGAATTTCATGTAATGTTCACAGGTCATAAAATAGTCTTTGAATTATTTCAGTTGTTTGAAAGGTAAAAAAATATCCTTAGTTTGTGGGTTGTATAACACCAACTGGAAAGCTTAAAAAAAATGGAACAAATAAATGAGAATCTCTAGGACCAGATTGTTATTTAAAATTCCCCAAGTGACTTTAAGGGGAAACCATTAATGATTGGCTGTTTCAGTTTAGAGTCCATCTCTATCCTCTTAAGTTTATGATTTCTTGCCTTAGGAAATTTCCATATATCACATAATTATGATGATACTTGAAAATGTCTTAAACTTTTGGGGATAAAAGCTAAGTCTACCTGAGATGCCTGTGTTTATTATTTGATAGTTGAAATCAAAGACAAGCCAATGAAGTTTAAGGCGTTTTATTAAAAGGTAAGAACACGAAAAAATGTACCCATTAAGCAAATCATCTACTGTGGAAAGCTGCAAAGTGCACAAGACTCACTAAGGTGGCTGACCACAAACTGAAATACCCTCAGGGGCCACAGAAGAGTACGTGAGCACTTTAGTCATTGCTGCAAGGGCACAGGAGCCCAGCTCTTCCTTTTTCTTTTTTCAAGAAAAGCTAGAAAAATGGATTTTTAAAATAAAAAATAGCCTTTGTAGAAATAGCCTTGTAGAATGTAGAAATTTTGTCAACGGCTTGAGGAGTTGTTTTTAATTACTTTTGTGGCCATCAAAGTCTGTTTGTGGGCTACACCTCAAAGTTCACCAGCCACCACTTGTGACTGCCTGGGTACAATCTACATAAAGGGAAATGCGCAACGACCAGGACAGGACCTGGTCCAGATGGGGATCACTTGACCTCAGGAGGGCTTACAGATTCAGGTTAAACTCTGACTCTTCTGCGTAGAGCCATAAGGCCCTGAGCAGGTCTCCCAACTTCTTGACTCCTTGGCCTCTTCATCTATAAAATGGATAATAATGTCTCCTGAGTGTATTCATTTAGAGGCTTTCATGAGGTCATGTTAATGTATTGTTGACCTGTATTTGCAGCACAGTGGTCTTCACTGAATGCTGCTGTTCCTATTATTACTACTAACTTCCTTTTCACTTAAAGGATACCTTGGGAAAGCCAGCTGCTAAGGATGTCCATCTTGTGGACCACTGCAAATACAAGTAAGACTTCCAGGACTTGTGTCTGTCTTGGTTTCAGTTTGGGTGAAAACTGTAATACTAAGGCTCATGTTCATGAGTCCCATTAACATGCCTATCAACTTACATGCCTATTGGTTACTGAGGACCTAATGCATCCAAGGCTCTGACATGAGTTCTGTAGAGGCAATGAGATATGGCTCCTGCTTCCGTAGAGTTTGTGTGCTAGTGAATAATAGGATGGGGTTCCATCTCTCCACCACCACAGATCAATAACTAAAGTTAGACTAAGTTTGTATCAGGTTAATAAAACAGTTTAAAGTTCAACAAGAATAAAACATATATAACTAAAATATTGTAATTAAATGCCAAGACTAAGAATTTGATGAACAGTAAAACCAAGTCAAGAGGAGATGTATGGGGGTACTCAGAGGTGCAGTATAGTCAATATTCAGGACTCAGAGGGGTGAATGCTGACTATATTGCACCTTGGGAACTGTAGTGTAAGAGTAACTTTGGTTGGAGACAGGGGTGCATGTATGGAAAAGAAAATGTTCTTTTCTCAGATAGCTCTTTTCTGGGGGAGAGAGAGAGAGGGACTCTTTTTTTTTTTTTTTTTTTTTTTTTAAATAAAAAAGCTACATTAGGTATGCTTGTCCAGACTTCAAGAGAAGGAACAGGGAACGAGGGATGCCTTGGATAAGATGAGGCACCCTGTGGTAAAAACAATCTTTTGCCCCCCCCCATAAGTTCGATTCCCGCCTACCGCAGAGGAGACCACATGGCGCGGCAGACCTCTCCTGACCCGCCCGCTGCTCCCCTCAGCAGTGTACTTTATGCCTGTTCTGCTCCCCACTCTGTCTCTGGTGAAGCCTCTCGCCACCCCTGAGCCTCTGGCCTGTACCCCAGTTCTGTATGCACAAATAAATAAATCTTTAAAAACAAACAAACAAAAAAACAAGCTTTTGGGGGTCCATTAGTTCTTAAAAAGTCTTAGGAAAACATTAGATGCCATTCAGCTCCTGGCCCTGTCTGCTGTGCCTGGACAACATATCTCATGTTTCTCCTCACCCTAAGGTTCCCAGGAACAAACAGTAGCCTTTAGAGAATCAAGATGTTCAATGAAACCCCACAATGACCTATTAATTGAAAACTAAAAATAGAAGAGAAGGAGAGAAGGGAGAGGGTCATAAAAGGAAAGAAGGAAAGAGAAAATAGGAAAAAATGATCCTTTTTATGGCAGTAGCACATCATATCAAGTACATTTTTCTTTTTCCCAGGTATCTCTTTAATTTTCGAGGCGTAGCTGCAAGTTTCCGGTTCAAACACCTCTTCCTGTGTGGTTCGCTTGTTTTCCACGTTGGTGATGAGTGGCTGGAATTCTTCTATCCGCAGCTGAAGCCGTGGGTTCACTATATCCCAGTCAAAACAGACCTCTCCAATGTCCAGTAAGCAGCTCTACCCCAAGGAGAGTTTCTAGAACTCCCACCCTCAACCCCTAAGCCTTGCCCACCTAAGGCATTACTGCTGATGACTTTTTCCATTTAAAGATTTTTCTTTTCCTTATTTGGTTCACATAAATATGTGTTATTATCCACTTAGACTGTAAGTGAGGTTGACTTTGAAAAATGCTATATTGCTGATTCAGAATGTAATATTAAGATGGTATACAGTGAAAAAGAGCACATTCTGAAAGACTGAAGATAGGAATATTCAATCTTCTTATATTGTTAAAGGAATGAGAATTGACCCCAGGATAGAGGAAGTAAATTTCTTTTCACAATGGGAGGCTCTAGAGAGAGGTTTGGAGAGGGACCATGAAGGCTAATCCCGTGCTCTCTTCTGGAAGTCAGAGCAAGAAGTCAGGGCAGGACACAAGCAGTTGTTTCTTACTGGTGATTTTTGATATGTATCTTTGAACAGTTCCCTATTTTCTCAAACACGCCCCAAACATAAAACAGGCTGTATTTAGCCTGTGTGGGGCATTTTGTGGTTACTAGGTTCCTGTGAGGACCGTGATATCTTTCCTTCAAAAAAAAAAAGAAAAGAAAAAGAAATAATTCACCATCCACTTACATAAACTTAACCATAGACTTCAATCGATGGTCTTTCTGACTTGGTACTAGTGAGTGTGGTCTGTAATCAGAGTCTAATAATTCTTTTTGTTGTAGGGAGCTGCTGCAGTTTGTAAAAGCAAATGATGATGTAGCTCAAAAAATTGCTGAAAGGTAAATTCTATTCATTTTTCCTTTTCCACTTTGTCATCCCCATTTAGTCCTAGTTAAATTTATGTGAATATTGTCACTATGGTGATAATGGGGTTTCAGCCTCATTATACTAGATTTACTCAGAGCTCATGCTGTCCTGAGGCAAAAGCACTCATCAGCATATGGCCCAAGTCCATTCTTTATATGAATAGACTGAAATCCTTGAAGTAGTTAAAACAAGTACATTTTTTGAACATTGGCTATAAGAAAAAATTTTTAAAATGTGAAGTTCTACTACTAGTATGAGTGTTAATTTAATGGCTATAGGATTGGCCTGAGCATCACACGAGTTAATTCATACTTGACTTTGAACAGTTCTTGATACAGGTAAACATTCAGGTGTAAGCTGTAAGTATTGTTTAATATTGTGTTTTACATGTTTTTGTTAATCTGTCTCCAGGGGAAGCCAGTTTATTATGAACCACTTGCAGATGGATGACATCACCTGTTACTGGGAGAATCTGTTGACGGAATACTCTAAATTCTTGTCCTATAACGTAACAAGAAGGAAAGGCTATGATCAGATTATTCCCAAAATCTTGAAAACTGAACTCTAATAGTCATCACTGGACCACAGTCCTTTCTATGGCAGCAGATTGGGTATCCTGTGATGAGAAGCTTACCATGAGTGTTGCACCTATACCCTGAATACTCTTATCAAGCCACTTACTTGGTTTTCCTTATCATGCTGTATCCAGAATGACTGTCAAGAAAAATTCAAAATGTGTATAATGCAGATAAGAAGCAGATCAATACTTGGGCTGAATAAGGACTAGAAATGACAAGAAGTAAGCTTTAAATCCAGTTCAACTGCTCATTTTCTTAGACCAATCACAGCTTGTGCCTCAGATTATCCACATATGTAAGTCCATCACTGTGAAACTGACTGATTTAGTGGGATGATGACCTTTACCCATTATTTGGAGCAGAAAAATCATTTGGACCAACTACAACTTATCACAATTCTGCAGTTCTTCTAGGCTTGATCTCCATCATTATATTTTAATTAGGGTTTATGAAAAATACTTGGGGATCATTTCCTGAAAGAGTTAAGGAAGCAACAGTCATGCCATGCAATGATGTAGGAGTTTTCTTGTGTAAAAGCATTAACTTTGGTACTCAGGAGGTTTCTATAATCTATATAGCAAGGGGCCAGTTGCATGAGTAATTACTGCAATTGGATCTCAAGTTCCCTTTTGGTGCCTTCACACCCTTCTTTGTATAGTTTCTTAAAAAAAAAGAAAAGAAAAGAAAAGACAAAAACCTTTTCAGAAACTTAGGACGTAGTTCCATTTCTTTAAAGGAACTACTGTTTGTAAAACAGCAACTCTCTTATTTTTTGCATACCCTTAGTATTTTTCCTTCTTAAATTGATGTCCATGTCCTACAGGGACCTTCATAATGCCAAATATCATTAAGTTGGGAGTTTAGAGTATTCAACTTAGCACTTCTATAGTAGAAATTTATGTCAGTGCAAATCCATGTTAGAGTACCTCCTTTTCTATTATTAGAAAAGACTTTTGGATAGTAGTTTAATTTCTCAGGGTACTCTCCCTACATCGTTCCTAATAAAGATGAAGAAAACATTTTTTTATTAAAGTCAACATAGTCCAATAACTCAGTGTCATCCCTGTCCTTTAGGCCTGACTTCTCCACAGATAAATCAACTCTTTTCCTTTGCCTCTTAAGAACTCTTTGGTATTAAGTGGTTTCAAAATTAGTAAATGAGACTGACAGTTATTAAAAATGAGGATTTTATTCTTTTTGTAAAAAATGTATCTGGCCTTTTTAATACCCTTCCACAAAATTTTTAAATCTAAGGAACTTGATAATGAGTGGAAAATCCCTGGAAAGATCATTGCATGGAATAAGGCAGATGTTTAAAGTTAGATTTTTTTGTTGTGAGCTAAAAAATTATGGGGACAATGTCCTTAGGTGCTATAAGTCTGACATTAAGCAGTCTAGGTTTCTGAGTTGTACTGTGGTTTGCATTGTAGCCATGAGGCCCTAATATTTAGGATCATTCTTTTCATATTTTAATTTTCCTCAGCAAAGTAGAACAAAATTTTCCACCCTTTGGATTAGGAGCTGAAGCTATATTTTCTGGGAGTGTTTCAAATTCTAGCATATGCATTACCTTTCTGAATTCTTTTTTTTATTCCTCTAGACAGGGACTATCATAATACTTTTACTCATATCTGTGTCATATGATATCATGTTGCATTCATTGTATTTGCTTGACTTTCTGTCCTGTTGGCTTTTGATGGGAGGGAATCATGTTTTACTTGTCTTATGTGTCCATTATCCAGTGTAGTGCCTCACAGAGTAGATATTAAAAAATTGTTGGAAGGAAGGAAATGGTTGCCTTACTTAGATCCTAGTTATAGATTGCCCAGCCATTAGTCCCAAGAAGGACTGGAAAAGCCTAATAGACTTGAATCAGTATAAATTCTCACCTGCTTTTTGAAGAGTCAGTAAGGCATCTTTGTATTTAAATATAGCAAATGTTACTCAGATTTTATACTTGTTTGTTTGCCTCCATGCAGGTAGTATAAGGATGGTGTATAGCAACATGTAAAATGTATGTCTTTGAAAATACTTTTTATTCCCATAATTTTTGAAGATTATTGTTAATGCCTTGCTGGGTGGGTCCCAATCTTATTCTTTCCCCGATTGAGGACTAAAACCCACACTTCTCTTCACAGATAAAGAATAATGAATAATGTAGTTTATTTGAATGAAGTAGATATTCGAATCACACAAATATTGTTTTCCTTTATTTGAGGAGTATCAATGTCCCACCTTATTCTGCTCTGTTAGGTTAGTTTCTCCTAGCTGTCAAGAATAAAAACTGCCTCTAGCAAGTTCCAGTAAACAATTTATTAAAAGGATGTGAGCACATCTTGAAGAATCTAAACAAATTTTGTAGCAGTTGGTAGAGTAGAGTTTTGGTCTGTTCCAGAGTCCTGCAGTGTGCAGTTCCAGAGACTGCCAGGCTCTCTCTCAGCCCAAGATTCCCAAGAGAAGACATTTCATGGGATTCTATGGATCAGCTCTAATGAGGACAGTTTCCTGCTCTTCACCCTATGCTGACTACAGACAAGAGCAAAAACAGAAAAGACAGATACCAAAAAACCCTTCTTCCTGGGCATCTGAAGATAATTTCATTTAAAGAATCCTACTGTATCCAGATAAAGTGTCGTGGCTGAGGTAGCAGGGCACAATGATAAATTACTCTGTTAATATTTATCAAATGCTTCTTGAGCATTTACAGTGTATGAAAAGTAGAAGATAGGAAAATGTTTACAGCAGACTCCCTGAAAGGGATCCTGCAGTTGAGAAGATAAAATAAGAGATAACATGAGAAGTACAGGTGGAAGGTGATTAAGGAGACATTAGGTGTTAATCAGAAGGTCAATTCATAAAGACAGTGCAGATTTGGAGTTTAGAAAAAGGAGAACTTTTCATCTGGGCAGATGAGAAACTTCATGAAGGTAAAACTCAAACTTTGAGAAATGAGTAAACGAAGTGATCCTTGGAATTCTCAAAATACATTCTCTCTACCTAAATAAAAATTGTATCTTAAATATCAGATAAGTAACATAATACAATATATTAATATATAAAGTATGCAGCAGAGGCCATACCCAGTCAACCTGGCAGGAAAGGAAACCATCTGACCCCTGGGGAAAATTTGATTGTAGAGGAAGAAATTATTGGGTTCTATGAGCACAAGGGGTGAGTGTAGGAGAATAGTAGTTCCAGGCCCAATGTGGTTACTGCATGGACATCCTTCCAGATGACTGTACTCTGATGTTACATTAGAAGGTGGAGAGCACTGTATGTGAAACAATGATTCAAGTAAATCTCAGAGCACCTTTTAGCTTAGTGTCACTCTGATGCCTTCCCAAAGAGCAGGCTGTTATGTAGAAGAGTATTTCTCTAATAGTAAAAGTCCAGTGAGCTCGGAGAAGCAGGTGTATAGGAAGGTGACAGGTAGATAAATGGAAGAGCTGAAAGGGAAGAGCAGCCAACAATATGAAGTGGCCAAGGGTCAGAAATTTTCTCAGGTAATAAGAATGTCAAAGAGAAACTTAGAAATGAGGCTCCAATCACCCAGAGGAGAAAATAACTATGTAGTCTGTTTGCCTGTTCATATAACTTCATTTGTATGAATAGGACAGTGAATGGGAATGAGATTTGTATAGAAATAATTTTGTTAGTGACTACCCTGCACCCCTATCCTCTACTTCTCTCTCCAGAATGGTTCTGGGGCTGTTGTATTTACTTTTTCAAAATGTTGAGTAGACAAATTATACATCATTTTCTTGGCCTTTCAGTCCTTGAGGTTAAGCAGCATTTGGAGCCAAGTCAGGAGTTGGGATCTGAATTTAACAGTCATATATACCTCACTAGGTCCTGGAGATACAAATATTTGTGGTCTCTGACCTCAAGGTTAATTTGATGTTATACATAATAAGCAAATAGAAATTGTGAGCAATGTACAATGTAGTGCTGTGATGGGAGTGTTTGCTGGCACTGTTTCCCTGGTCCTATCACTGATTTAGCTTGTTACTCTGACAGGTCACTTCTCCAGGCCTTACCTATAACGAGAAGTCCAGCCATCAAGTTCCAGAACTCTTCACTGTGTTCTGCTAAACAGTGCAGCAATCTCGAATTACATTTAGAAAAGAATAAAAGAAGGATAGGGATTGACATAGAAAAGGGACTATGATTGCTGACAAAGATTAAACACATCTGTTTGAGAACACTTCAAATGTGGACATTTTAATAAAAACTATGACAGAGAAGGCTAGGTGACAGGAAATCATTGCTGCACCATCAGAGTCCTGGTAAGTTTCCAGAAATTGAGAACCAGTGGGTAAAACCCACCTTGTTAAGAACTGAATAGATCTGATTCTTTTGCAGTGCTCTGGAAAGCTCACAGTAACTGGCCCCAAGACCAAGCTTCCCTGGCTATGTCCTTTACAAAACCAAGAAATGAACAGCATAAGAATGATGCCACACAGCCCTGCTCACATTCAGTGGGGGTACAGGACTGGTTGAGCTTGTACTTGTGCAAATCGCCCTCCCCTTTCCATACTCCACTTATACTGGAGTTTATACTTCTACAATTGCACTTATAACTGTACTACCTTCATCTCTGTGGAATACCTGGCTTTTCAGTAAACTAAACTACCGCATCCACTGAGCACATCTGCCCTGCCACCGCCAGCCCAAAGCCCGGTTTGTGGGGTTCAGATAGCCCAAGGGCAGCTAGCCTGCGGCGGGTCTGGAGAAAACAGCCCCAGCAACTCATTTCCGGGGGCCGGGCCTGGGCCGCTCAAGTACTGCCAGTCTCCAACCGGAAGTTTGCGATTTCGGCTTTCTCGTCGGCCCGCCCCCTGACGTTTATACCGGCGGGCGGGACTTCCTGTCTCGTGTGTGGGGACCGGGGGGTCCTGCCAAGTGAGGCGGGCTACTGAAGGCGAGTGTGTCAGTTGCTGTGCCCGCGGGCTCAGTGCTCGGATGCAAGCCGCCTCTTTTTTGCCGTTATCCTCATTCTTCTCCCGCCGCGACTACAGGGCCTTGAGCACCCAAGTGTGTATCTGTCCGCAGGTTCGGGGAGGGCCATGGAGGTGCGGCCGCCCGCGCCACGGAGCTTTCCCAGCAGGGCGCTAGGTCTTTTCCCTCGCGTCTTTGCCGCGCAAGCTGTGGCCGCCGATTCGGAGCCCCTGGCGGAGAAGAAGCTACCTTCCTACGTCCCCGAACGGCACCTCCCGGAATCCGGATGGGAACGCCTCCGGCAGCTGTTTGTCAAAGAGTAAAAAGTGCCTAGGGTCTGTGGGGAAGGGGGGTGAAGAAGGTGTCCTGCAACCTGAGTCGTTCTAGTGCGAGGGACCCCGGGAAGGTGTGGTCTGTTTTCAGTTGGCTTTTAGATCTCTAATGTTTATACCCCAAACTTGGATCTTGACATTGCCATCTAGTAGTTCTGGAGATTGACTAGCCGGTTTTCAGTTGGGATGGGTGAGACTCGTTGAAAGAACTCTTCCGGATACTTAGGTGATATAAGCTAAAAGGTTACTTTACAGATAACTTATTTTACCGCTTAGAAGAGTTGGACCGAGGTAGTGTCAGAAGTGAACCTGAAACCCACATTTGCAGGAGTGCGCTCACTCCATTTTTCTTTTTGTATTTCACTTGATACCCGTCCAACTTTGGGGTTTAATGGCCAGCACTTTCCCACCTCTCCAAAAATAGGGAGGCTGGAGAAATGGCAGAAGGCTTTAATGTTTTTGTCCAGCCAAGTAAGACAGATTTTTTAAAAATTGTAATGACTATTGGCACATTATTTTATAAAAGAAAATAATTTGATAGATTCAATAGGATATTCCAGAATAAAGGATAACCTTTTGATGATCTTTGAAGAAAAACTCAGACTCATTTATTTCATCTTTTATTCATTTATCAATTACTAGGGAAAGTTGCTCTTTCAAGTAAAGAACTTTATCCTATTGTGTTAAGTGATTAAATTAACATCAGCTGGTTAAATTATGATGCTGAGATGGTTGGGGCAAGGGAGTAGAATTGCATGTAGTTATTTAGATTTTGTCATTTTAAGGAAAATGAGAAACCTCATTGAAAAAAACTGTGGAGAGTACATAATTAGAAGAGGGTTATTGGGTTCACCTTTATCAGTCACAGAACCTTGGGACTTAACAAAATTTGTTAAGTAATGTTCATACTAGCCACCATGGCATGGATGTGGAAACAGGTTGAAAGAGCATGTGATTTGGTGACAGAACCAGAATCACAAACCCATTCTTGTTTACCTACAGTATAGGTCCTTCCTATTTGTGTCCCCAGTTTCTTCCTTATCCCTTAGCTATTTGGGGCTATCCACATAACTTCTTAAAACAATTACCATATCAAATAGAAACATAATCACCTACTTCATGGGCTTTTTCAGAGGTTGAAGAGACAAAATACATAAAACATATAGGTTTCTGGTGTACAGTCATATAAATTAATGTCTTTGCATTACATTATTTTTCACCCCTAAAAGTCTAGAGTTTAAATACAATTGACCCCTTCCTGACATACTGAATCTTAAATTCTTTCACATTTTCTCTTTTCTGAGCTCTACCATAAGTCAGTTTTTATGGGAATGTTTTTGTTTTGGTTTTGGTCTTGGTCTTATTTACTAGAAAAGATAAAATACAAAGTTCAAATTATAACAGTTTTTCTTCACACATAAGAATCAGTTTCCTCAGAGATTTTTTTAGATTCCTTTTGTACATGCAAAAACTATAAAGACTCACTGATTTTAATATCAGAAATGTTGGTATTGGTAATTAGATAAATATGTTCAGTTTCTAAAGAAAACAAGTTAGTTATGTAAATAATTAACATTTAACAGTTTATTTTCCTAAGAGGGCAATTATTTATAGTTACTGAATGATTACAAACTTAGCTCTTCCTTATAGCAGTTTCTATAAAATATCTTGGAAGTTCTACTAAGGGGTCTAGTTTTTTGTGCTTTTGAGAGTAACACATTGAATGAAATAGTAATTGTTCTGCTTATTTTGGACTGATCTATGCTGCCCTTTGCAGAGATTACTTGTCTGATGTTTTTTTTATGATGGGCCCATCTCAGTATTAACTTAGTTTCATCAGGTATTCAGAAAGAGGGTTTTGGTTTCTTTTATTACTATCTAGAATTTCATTCTTGCATGCATTGTCCTAAAATGTTGTAAGTTTGTGTAATAAAAAAAAATAGCTTAAAATTTAAAAAGAGAAAATAATGGTTTCTACTTCCAACTCCCAAAAGCAGGAAGCTGTTTTCAGAATATGGGTAGAATTGTGACAATCACCAGATAAAATTAATTTTAAAACCGCCTTTCTATTGGAGTATAATAAGCCTCAGGAAAAAAGCACCTAAGTATATGCTTATCAGCGAATTTTCACAAATTTAGAAGCTATGTATCCAGCAAGAAACCAGCAACCCAGAAGCTCCCCCGTGTGTCTTTTCCTGTCACTGCATTCCCAAGAGTAACTACTTCCCTAATTTCTAACAGTATGGATTCATTTGGTCTGAAAATTGAGCTACTCATAACTACATTATTTAATTCATCAGAGGATTTAATATGCTAACAATGAAAAATTGTGTGGTGTTAGCATTTGGGATAAATAATCATCCTGTCCTTTGGAGAGAAGTATCCAATTTTGTCTTTTTGATGTCCTAGTGAACAGCAGAGAACATCAGAAGAACTTCAGAATATTTACAGGGCAGCAGTTTCAGCAGGCATCATTGGCTGGGCATATGGGGGAATACCAGCTTTTATTCATGCTAAACAGCGCTACGTTGAGCAGAGCCAAGCACAAGTTTATCATAACCAGCTTGATGCTGTGGTAGGTACTATGTTTTTATAGTATAGAGGGCACACCAAGTTAGCATTTCACTTTGTACTTGGTTATTCAGTTAGGTGGTAGTTTGGGAGAGTTTTGGATGTCAGGGTAAGGGTAAAACAACAATGTCTATACTTAATCATGGGAAGTGCTAATGTTAAATACATATACATGGCTTGTCATACTTTTTCCTCTCTTCTGAAGGGATCACCAGAATGGCTCAGTTTCTGAAATGTATTTTTAAACTCCTAATGAGTTGTCAAGACTCAGCTGTAGTACATTTACTCTATTCATAAAGCCTTCATGGAGTATATTAGCTCACATTAAAGTAGTAACTAATGTACAAACTTTACAGTTCATAAGGTACCAGCTCATATCTGTTCTGTCCTTCAATTCTGTTGTATTAGTGAGGAAGTTATACCTTGGAGAGAGTTAGTGTTTTTGCTTTGTTTTTAAAAATTGTTAAGCTTAAAGAAAAGATACAGAAATAGAAGAATTCCTATATGCTTTGTACCCGGCCTCTTTAAATGTTAACATTTTATCACCTTGGTTTTGTCATTCACTGTGAAATTACTATTTTTTCCCCTTTGTAATTAATACATAAATAATGGATACTTGCTAGCTACTTGTAAATCTAATTTCATCAAATTTTTACCTTCTAGTTTTAGTATTCAGTGTTGTCTGAAACTACTGTGGTAGTTGCCAAATAACCATTTTCAAATTCCAACATTCCTCTTACATTTATTGATTAGTATCCTGCCAAAGGGAGAACTTTTCCTTCCCATCTATTTATTTGTTTATAATTTAAGTCTTTGTGGATTTATGAATTCTTACTTTATTCTATATGATTATAGTCTATTATTGTTATTTATTTTGATGCTTACATTGGCTAGGATTTGGACATTTGAGCTCCCTTCAGGCTAGGTCCTAAATAGCTTTGATAAGACCTTACCATTCTTTGATGTTTTGGCATTTTGGCTCATTTTTTACTTTTCTAGTATCAGCGCTGGAATTAACTTTCACCAAGGAGCTATAGTTTCTTTTAGTGAAAGATGGAATTTAAATATCAATATCTGTTGTTAAGGTTTCCTCATTGCTACTAGAATACCATGGCTACTAGACCCCAGGCAGACAGATGTAGGCAATAAACATCATACTCACATCTGCATCTAATTTTATATTTACCTATTAGTTAAAAATGATGAACCCATACATATCCCTGTCAGAGAGGTTTTGACTTACCCAATATGACCCAGTTAGTACCCACTTAGGGTTTCTCTCAGGTTCTTTAAAAATCTAGATTTTACTATCAAAATATTGTACTAGACTTGTTCTGTGGTCACCTAGCAAAAATGGGCTGTGGTGAGTGGTGACAGACAACCTCCCACCCAATTTAATTGCATTCCTTATTAGCTGAGTGATCTTGGTTATAAGCTTCCTCTGTATACTTCAGTTGAAACCAAAACACCACTGAAACTATTGTAAAGATTAAGTAAGATAGGTCAACGCTACTTTCACTTGAATGGCCTGTAAGTGCTCATTTTTTTTCTCCCTCTGCTCCTTTCCTGTGCATCTATATCACTTAACTCCTTACCCTTCATTTTTCACTCAGTTTTTTATGTTTTTCTTTTCCCCAAGATTTCTTGAACATTAAAAGCATGTTGAGTACTGATCTGTTGTGTTTGACACATAGATTCAGTTGATGCCTAATTGACATTTGGCAATTCTTAATTCCTTTTCTCGATCCTAATAGGATAGAATATACATGGAACTTTAAGTGTCAATACTTAAATAATGGTATTTCTATAGATTTTCTGTTGTTTCTGTCGAGATACTCCTGCCTATTCAGTAGCTGACATCCCTCTGCTACAGTTGTAGAATAAAGAGAAGATCAAGGTGTCTTGCATACTCACAGCCTTTTTCCTCATTCTAGCAATCTGCACATCAGGCTGCCACACGCGGCTTCATCCGGTATGGCTGGCGCTGGAGTTGGAGAACTGCAGTGTTTGTTACCATATTCAAGTAAGTTCTTTCTGGATTATGAAAAAGTGTTTGGTGTTTTTTTTGTTTGTTTGTTTGTTTTGGAACACATCTTTTGAACAAGTAGAATTATAAGAACAGAACACCCACAGAAGTGCAAAACTCTTCTGTACCTTTCTCTTTCTAAATGGATATTTACTTATGAAATTTGGTTATTTTGTAATTGTTCTTCAGCAAGAGAGGGTCCACCTAGAAAAACTGTAGGTGCATTAACAGTCTGGATGAGCCTAGATTAGGGCCAGGTATTGACATAGCCTCTTCTAAATAAATGTTTGTAAGTTGTAATCCAGAAAATAAATGGGATATGCCTTAAATTTTGTGGGTTTTCTTTCTTCCCAGCTCTGTGAACACTGGTCTAAATGTGTACCGAAATAAAAATACCCTAAGCCATTTTGTCATTGCAGGAGGTAAGACATTTTTGTTCTTACTTATGTTTTTCAATCTTTTCAGATATGGTTTAGGACATAGCAAACAAAAGATATCAAAATCATTTTTTTTAAAGAATTAAATAAAAAAGGGGGGAAAGATTTAAAGTATGATGACAAATGTTTCATCAAATGTAGAAAATCAATAAAGACAGATATCTTGAAAAGGAATCAAGTAAAAAGTATGGAGTTATTATAAATTGTTAGAAATTTAAAAATTACTGGAGAGGAGGGGCTTAATACAGACTTGAGGTAGCATGAGAGTCAGTGAACTTGAAGATAAACAAATATAGATTGTGACTTGTGGAAGTCAGAATTTTTACAAAAGAGAAATTAATAGAGTCTCAGATTTATGGAACACGAGCCAAAATGCCAACATATATGTATTAAGAATACTAGGTGGAAAGACGAAGTATTTTAAGAAATAAGGGCCATATACTTCCCAAATTTTATGGAAAACATACAAGAAACTCAACAAACTCCAAGAAGAATCTCCAAGAGATTGACATCAAGACACATAACAGCTACAGTGTTGAAAGATCAAAGAGAAAAAACTTGAAAGCAGCAAGAAAAACCAGCTCCAACAATTGGGTTAACTCATTAGGAGGAAATCAGAAACCAGTAGAATGGCATTAAAAGTGCTGAAAAGGATAACCTGTCAATTAAGAATCTATATCTGTCAAATCATCTTTCAAATTTAAAGGTAAAAATAAAAAACTGACAAATAAGCAAAATTCATCACTGTATATGACATAGCACAAAAGAGAGGAAAGTAGTCGAGGTATATTGGAACAAGGAAATGATAACATATAGTAACTAAGCCATATTCCACAGAATTACTAGAAATGGTATATAAATACATTGGTTAATATAAAAGATATTGTAAATACATTGCTTTGCCTTTCTTTGCCTGTTTTTTCCCCTTAATTTCTTTAAAATGCATATGGTTGTGTAAAATAATAGCAACAAACTTGTATTTTAACATATAATCACATATGCCACCATATAGCAATATTCCTAACTTCCTATTATTACCTAGTGACATTGTAGGTATCAGAAAGTCCTAGCATTTTATACTGGCAGCAGCTTCAAATATCTTGATGATATTTGCACAGTGACAAAATCACTTAATGATGCATTTCTCAGAACATATTCCCATTGGTAAAAGATGCATAACTGTATGAGTATAACATAAATTACAATATTACAAAGATGGGAAAGATTATCATTGAATACCAGTGGGAAGGAAAGTGCACCAGTTTACTGGCCACCAGGGGTCATCTTAGGGCCTGCCTGAGCTATAGAATAGCAGCCATCCAAGGAAGGGTGAGGTGACATAGCTAAGTTGCAGCTGTGAAGGTTTTGTTGTTTACTTGGGGAAAGCTTTCCTTGAACAAGGAAGAAGTGAAAAAAATAGAAGTGGAGAAATTACAGAACTTTAAGGTGAGCAGAAAGAAATGGAAACAGAGTAAGTTAGATCCATAGAATAGATTGAAGAAGTAGTTTATAAAAGGAATGTTTCTTCAAACTTCCTGAAGGATGAGAAACTAGCTGACTGAACATTTGGGACCTGGGAAACCTCGTTTTGTGGTTGTATATTAATGTTTGATTCAAAAAACTTACTTAGGGGTTTGTGTCTTTTGGGTTTGTTTTTTTTTTTTTAGATTTATTTATTTATTCGTACAGAACTGGGGTACAGGCCAGAGATGCGGAGGGTGAGAGGATTCACCAGAGACAGAATGGGGAGCAGAACAGGCAGATCGACAAAGTACACTGCTGAGGGGAGCAGCAGGCAGGTCAGGAGAGGTCTGCCGCACCATGTGGTCACCTCCAGGACAGGTGGGAATCGAACTCATGAGGAAGTGGCTTTAGCTTCTCAGTGCTGTGCTTTAATTTTTGGGTTTTTTTAAAAGATTTATTTATTTGGGCCCTCCCTGGTGGTGCAGCGGGTTAAAGCACAGCACAAAGAAGCTTAAGCCACTTCTGCATGAGTTCGATCCCCACCTGCCCCAGAGAAGATTCACATGGCAAGTCAGACCTCTCCTGACCCACCCGCTGCTCCCCTCAGCAGTGTACTTCGTCGATCTGCCTGTTCTGTGCCCCACTCTGTCTCTGGTGAATCCTCTCACCCTCCGCATCTCTGGCCTGTACCCAAGTTCTGTACGAATAAATAAATAAATCTTTGGAAAAAAAAAAGATTTATTTATTCATACAGAACTGGGTAAGCCAGAGGTACAGTGGTGGTAAGAGGCTTCACCAGAGTCAGATTGGGGAGCAGAACAGGAAGATTGACAGAAGTACACTGCTGAGGGGAGCAATGGGTGGGTCAGGAGAGATTTGCCACACCACGTGGATCACCTCCTGCGTGGGGGATCAAACTTGCACTGAAGTGGCTGAGGCCAGCCCACAATGCTGCGTCCTAACCTGTTGTGCCACCAAGGAGGGCCTTTTTTTTTTCTTATAGGAGGAAAATTTAAAGATGAAAATTCTGGTGTTTAAAGATGATTTAATTTTGCCTTTTTTGTTTCTTTTTAAATAGCTGTCACAGGAAGTCTTTTTAGAATAAACTTAGGCCTGCGTGGCCTGGTTGCTGGTGGCATAATTGGAGCCTTGCTAGGGTAAGTATCAGCATGGTTTGGTTCTAAGTTAACATAAATTTTATTAGGATGTCCTCATGTCATCAGCATGTCATCCCTGTTGTGGCATGTGACCATGATTGTCTTTATTCATTTGCCTGTTGATGGACATTTCCACTTAGCAAAAGTGATTTTTAATAAGATTACTTAAGTTGCAGCCAGAGGGAACTTAAGGTTGTCAAAAATGTCTTCCCTGGCCCACCCTGGTGGTGCAGTGTGTTAGGACTCAGCACTGCCAGCCAGCCGCAGCTGCTTAACTGAAAGTTCAATCTCAGGCCAGGAGGTGATTCAGATGGTGAGTCAGACCTCTCCTGACCCACCTGCTGCTCCCCTCAGCTGTGTCCTTCGTTGATCTTCCTGTTCTGCTCCCCACTGTGTCTCTGTTGAAGCCTCTCCCCACCCCTGCACCTCTGGCCTATACCCCAGTTCTGTATGCATAAATAATACATCTTTTTAAAATGTCTTCCCCTTGAGAAAACAAGAATCAACGCCTCTTCATTATCACATTTGTCATCAGTTTCTTAGATGGGTAACTATTGGCAGGAGGGTGAGACATTTATCCCAGAATCTTAGATTTTAGGATATTTTGCAGCTTTTTCCTAAAAGCCGGTTAGAATCCTCCCCCCAACTAAAAATTACCTGCATAGTTCCTTCCTCTTGGGGAGTCTGGTACCATTCCAGGTATTAATATTGTTTCTGAGAAACAATATAGAGGTACTTACTAAAGCTTGTCACATGCGCGTGTATATATCTGATTATTTACCATTCATGATAAAAAAACAGCCAATTTACAGATCTGTTTTTATGTCAGTTAATTTTAAGAAGTTGCAGTGATTGTTTGTCTCTGTTGTGCAAATCAAGAAGGAAATTGCCTTAATACTGTTTTCTTTATTCGACAGGATCTTTAATTGTCCCATTATTGGTCTGATGATTGCCTTTTTCCTAAATTTTCCCTCTGCTTCCCCCTCAGCACTCCTGTAGGAGGCCTGTTAATGGTGCTTCAGAAGTACTATGGTGAGACTCTTCAAGAAAAAAAACAGAAAGATCTGATAGCACTTCATGAGCAGAAACGGCAAGAATGGTAAGGAGCATGTTAACTCTAGAATATCTGACTTCCCAGCTAGAGGCTTTGGATGGTGCTGTTTTTTTTTTTTTAACTTACATACTCTAAACTGCCATTCAGTTCAGAAAAGAATCTATTTTTACTGAGTCTGAGTCCTTCAACTTGTATCCTACATGGTCTTTTAATTTTTGTTTTTTTTTTTGTTATCTAAGAAAAACACTTATTTTTAATCTGAGGAGGATCTTTACTTAAATACTTAAATACATTAAATACTTAAATACATTAATATATAAAATACTATAAATCTTCATTTGGTTGCATAGTTTTTCTTTTCCTGCGTTCTTACGTCACAGGAAATTAAATAAATTTCACAGCAATGAGTAAGCTTTATTTGATTTTTTATAAAAGTGTACACATACATCTATGAACAATGCAGAATATGTTAGTCTCTACCTTTCAAAGATTCTACTACTTGTCTTAGACATCAAAGAATTAAGTAGATATAATAGCTGTTTGTAGACTGGACGCCACTGAAGAGGATGAAAACGTGTACCTGTTCTAGATAGTAATCCCCCGGATATAGTAATCAGACGGATAGCAGACTTTGTGTGGAATTTTTTTGAAGAATAAAACAACAAGCTGCGATTCAGTGCTTCTCACAGTTAAGCTTTCTGGGTAGTTCCCACAATGACATTTGTTGCTGCTGCTGTAGTAGTTGAACAGCTAAACAGTAATTTTTTCCATGTTTCTGTTTGAAGCTTCTGTTGTATACTTCTCACAGTAAAGTACAAATACTTCTCACAGTTAAGCTTCCTGGGTGGTTCCCACAATGATATTTGTTGCTGCTGCTTTAGTAGTTGAACAGCTAAACAGTAATTTTTTCCATGTTTCTGCTTGAAACTTCTATTGTATTACACACACATGCATATATGGAAATTTTTTTGGTATCTGTAGATTCAAGGACTTAGGAACTAATGACTCGTAATTAGTTCTTTTATCTTAGATATTCTCCATCAAGTCTTAGTTTTCTCAACTGTACCAAGGACAGAATCAAATCACAATGCTTTAATATGTTTGTTTCATGCCCTGCTCTTCTGGGTAAGAGGTAAGGTGGAATATCCAGCTATGTACAGTTTAGAAAAAAGCCCTTCAAAATTAGGAATGCCAGCATGCAATTTGAAATTACTGGAGAACTGAAAGAATGAAAGTGCTGGCGTATTTCTAGTTCTTCAGGTGTCACAAGAGACTGTTGAGACTCTTTGTCCCTGATCACAGATTATTGGGGGGCAGAACAGGCAGGGTCTCAAGGTGGGAATGGCGTCAGCGAGCGGAGATTCCTAGAAAAGGGGGGAAAAGGGGAAAAAAGGGAGTGGGTGCAAGGAAGACGCGGGAATAGGAGTTGGGTGCAAGTCTTCCTACTTTGCCTTTAGCAGAGGTTTATTTTATACATTTCAAGCAGGCAGAGGGATGATGTTAGCATATGAAATGAGCTGAGATCACAATCACCTTTTTTCTAAGAATAGTCTGGATTCGTTTTGACCTTTAGTTGAGATTATAACATTTTTAAAATCAATCTATCAAGGTTAAAACAGGTACATAGATTTACAAAGTTTAAGACTAATATTACTGTATTTACCACAGTGAAGATTAACCAAAATAAAGTCCCTTAAACATTATCTATTACTTAATGGCTTTCATTCTCACAGAGACGTCGTAGGGGGTAAAATAAAGTGAGGGCAAGGAGAGGAAATATCTTGTAAATCAAATTAAGGTAAGGTTCTTTGAAAAACTTGTTAGAAAGTTTTTAAGTGAGTTTTCTTGAAGTCTAGATGGTAGAAAACCTGATTAGCTCTGAATAGGTGACTTGGGTGAATTTCCATATCTAAAGACTTCCTACAGATGGTAGGAAGTTTGAGTGGTTCTTTAGAAACTGAATAGATGGTAGGAAGTTTGAGTGGTTCTTTAGAAACTGTGAGATAGAGTAATAGATTTGGGTTTTCCTTTTTGTCTGGCAGTGAGAGAGACTTTGCAGTAACAGCCATTTGTTTTTATTAGTCAGCCAGTTGTTTAATGACTTTTTACTTCTAGAGGAATTTCTCACCCTGGTGCAGTACTTGCTTGTCAGGGCCAGGTAGCACCTTATGAGGCTGAGGCAATCCAATTGTAAACTGAAAGTTGCTCAGAATATTTTGATATTACAATTATACAAAAAAGGGAGGTCATAACATAAATTACCATGGAAAGACTGATTTTTCAGAGCATTTCTGTCTCCATCCGGAATATGTCAGTTGATAGAGGTTGCATAGCTTGTGTCAAGAGACCTTATCGTTTTTTTTTTAAACAAAGGAAGCTTTGAGAAAGGAGTTGGAAAGAAAAGTATTTGCCATTTTAATCTGACACAGAAATTGTAGAAGAATTAACATTTGAAAAGATATACTCAAATAATAATTGTAGTCCAATTAAAGGAAAAAAAACTGGAAGAGTTGATCGTTAACTTTATTTGGAGATAGAAAACCTTAAGAATGGGCAAGAACAATAATATATAGAATATGCCAAAGAATACTTTGACAGAAGGAATTAGTAAAAAAAAATGTACAGGTCATTAATACATATATATAGGTTTTATATATATATATATATATATATTATATATATATATTACATGTGTATAAATGTGATATTTCTGGAGAGTCATTATTAACGGTTAAGAGCTTTCTGTATGACTGCTTCTTTGCTTGAAAATAGTTACAGGAAAATCAAACAATCTCAAAAATTGCCTTATTGAGCACAATGTATAGAAAACTGGCTAGAGAGAGAGAAGACAATGTGGACAAATCTGGTTGTGAAGTGTTGAGAATAAAAGACTTAGGTGATCCTGATTATCACTTACTTCCTGTAAGTAAGTGATAATCAGGTAAGTAAATAAGTAAAACTTGGTTTAGAAGAATTTACCTGTTGTTTGGAAATTGATGTTTAACTTTTTTTTTTAAGATTTTTATTCATTCATGCAGAACTGGGGTATAGGCCAGAGGCTCAGGGATGGTGAGAGGATTCACCAGAGGCAGAGTAGGGAGCAGAAAAGGCAGATTGATAAAAGTACTGCTGTGGGGTGTAGCAGGCAGGTCAGGAGAGGTCTGCCTCCCCATGTGGGTCACCTCCAGGGCGGGGATCGAGCTCACACTGAAAGCAGCTGCGGCTCACTTCAGTGCTGCGTTTTAACCCACTGCACTACCAGGGAGGGCCCATTAACTTTTAATATACACACATACACATCTGTAGTGGCCTGTTTCACTTTTTCATACCTACATTACCACTATTTCAGCCTTTTTCTAGTTGCTACAATGTATACCAACAGAAAGTGGCAGGAAACTCTACTGCCACTCCCCCTGCCACTGAGGACAATGGGACAGCCAGATTTTGAGGTGTATTCCTTAGCAACGTGTGCTTTAGCTCCATTATTGTAAGAATTCTGGAATATCTTCTGGAGCATAGCTGCTATTATAGTAGAATCATAGTCATAAGTTGCAGGAAGAGTAAGACAAATATCTTTTTTATAACTATTTATGAATTAAAGAAATGGAAATATCATTCCCTTTTCATTCTTCAAATACAGGGAAGCCAGACTACAATTTACAGAAATACTTCCTGAAAAAATTGAAAGTGACTTACAGAAAGATCAATCCAAGGATGATGTTAAGAAAATTGAAGCCCTGCTAAATCTTCCTAGGAACACTTCATCAACAGATAAACAAGACAAGAACTGAAAATGTTCTGGACATTTGAAACTTTTGTCAGAGTTGAAGGGGCATTTGTGGCCCTATCATGGATGTCAGTAGTCAGCTGACAAATGTACGTGCTGGTGTTTGAGGTGGTATTGATTTGCTCTTATTTTTTGTTTTAAACCAAGATTTGGGCTGTTGTACTTTCACTTTCCTTCTCCATTGACACATTTGACATTATATCTATATTGATCCATCAATATATATTGTTCCCCTTGGATTTTAAAACAGTAAATGTAAAGCCCCAAATGGTTAAAGTTGAATTTTACAAGTTGTATATTTATTCTTGTAACCTTTAAAAGAGTACTCTAGGAAAAACTAGGAGGAGAAGCAGGTACAGGAAATAGTCTATGAAGCCCCATGGGCCCTGAGTCCTGGAAACACTGTGGGTCTAATGTGTTACAATGTTTAGTTTTGTTTTAATAAAAATCAAAGGTGACCTCTGTGTCATTTGCAATAAAATAAAAATTTAAGAAACAGGACGTAATCTTTAGAGACATCCAGATTTTGTTTCCTTCTTAGTATTGCTGAGGAAGTCTGTCATGATGCGCTGTAAAATTACTTAACCTAGAGGCACAATCTCTAGTCTCCAAGGAGCTTGCTGCCTTATAAGGAAGTCTTCCCACAGATTGTAACTTTTACTGGATGAGGAGGTTGAGGGTGAAGGCAGGAAATTACAAAGTACACTGAAGGGAAAAAACTTCTATGGCTTAGTTTTGGTTTTAGAACTACTATGAAAACACTGCTGTTCCATAGAAGCAAGATATATGAAACAGCGTAATGGTCTGGCTGAAAAACATGGGCTCTGGAGACAGACCACTGGCTGCTAAACCTACCCGTGAGGCTTTGCAGCCATGTGAGGCATAGCAACACCATTTTAAGTCTCAGTTTTCTTATCTGCAAATGAAATAGAATCTGCCTCAGAATGGCTAGTAAATGAAATGGTGCATGTGAAGAGTAGTACAATCGCCCAGGTACTGTATAATAGTGCCCATTATATAATGGTAAAATCAGTAGTCTTAAGAATATGAGAGCCTCTGTCTGCCCCAGAATATTTTCACCATAATTTGTTATTATCACATACCATAAAGATGTTATTTTAAAATTCCATTCACCAGTTGTGCCAAGTTAGCTGTTAGGCAATCTGTTTTTCATACCCACATATTGATTTATTCATACCCACATATTGATTAAATCCTTCAACTAGATTGTTGCATTCAAAAATAATTTTATTCATATCATGAAATATCAGAATAAAACAACTCTTGAAACAATAGTAACACATTTATCAAATGTAACAAGCAATAATATAATTTATTTCAAACAAATAAGCTGTACTAAATTTGCCCTGTGTTATGGTTGACTACTTATTGGGTCTCCTTTGATTATATCTAGTGGATCTTAATGCAGCAATTTTTTATCTTTCATGTTATTTTTTCTCTTGGCTCTAAGTTCTTATCCATCTACTTTTATTTTTTCAGTGATTTTTGTTCTGAGAACCACCATTTAGACATCTTTTGACTATGAAGCTTAATCTTTCATAACTCCCCAAACTAAGTGTTTTAAATTCAGCCCCACTTGAAGAACTTGGTTAGCTCTTGCTATCCAACCCCATATAATCAGATGAGAATGTTGCCCATCTTAAGCCAGGTCCATTCCAGGGTATAATGAATTATGGGAGGCAATATCAGAGAAAGGAGAATGAATGGTAAGTTAACATAGGAATAATAATTGACCCCCGCCTTCCTTCAACTTCCTGCTGATGTCAGCAGGATCCAGAAATACCACGGAGGGAAAGCCATCTCAGTGACCTAAAAGTCCTATAAAATTTTGTTTTCATTACCTCAATTTTTTTTTTCTAAACACAGCTTACTGTTTAATAAAAAATTATTTTTAATGAGAACTTTCTCAGTTTATAAGGTTAAACTAGCATAAAACCAGTTAAGGAAACTGTCAGTCCAATATGAACCAATAGAACATAAGTCTTTGAGCCCAACTATCTCTCTTACACCAGTGTTCCCAGCTCCCAGATAGATGCCCACTTATTGAGAAAAGTGACTCCACTGCATCAGAAGATCCTGGTGGAGGTTGTCAGCCACCTTCCAAAAATAGATCCCCAATCTTGACTGCTAGCAGATGGGAGAGCAGCAGAGATGGGAGGGGGAAAAAACCCTTCGGAAATTTGGCCAAGAAAATGTCCCCTTTCTTCACACTCGTGTCTCTCATACTGAGAGTGAATGGGCACTTTGGTTGTTGAAAGAGGAACTTCTGGAAGGTGGGTGGGGGGATTTTCTGACCAACTTGACTAATCCCAGATCCAATCTGAGTTTTTCTTCAAGATACTTTCAATTTCTTTCCAACTCTCAGTATAATCTTCCTCAGACCCTCCAAGGCTGTGAGCATCAGCTGCAGAAACTCTCCAGGTGTCGGGTCCGGCTGTTACATCAGAGCCCTGGGTGTCCAGGAGATATTTCCCCTAGCCACAGATAGAAGCTGGCAGGCCACTGCCAACCCCACTGTTGCTAAAGTGCAGTTCTATCCAGGAGCCCTGCGGGGGACCATGTCTGGGCCTGGCACCAAAGTAGGCCACGGAGTCGGCCATGGAATCTGCCTTTCTGGCCTGATTGGCAGCAACGTGGGATGGAGCAGGAGCATGGATGCGGGGCCACAGCATCAGCCCAGAGCCCTAAGGAAAAAACATTTTAAAATTTTATAGTTTTTATGTGAAGGTATTCCCAACTTAAACTAACATTAGATAATAATCTTGTTAGCTAAGGAATATAAAGAAAGAATTAAGGACTAGGCTGACAAATTTTTTACGTAGAAAACCAAATACTAAGCACCAGCTGTCACCAATGAGCAAACAGCTCAATACTGTCTTCTGTGTGGAGGACAAGCAGGGTATACCAGACATGGTTGCTATTCTTAATAAGCAATTTATAAGTGTAAGATAGGGTACGTGAAAATAAGCCACAGAGTGGAATCTGATGTGCTGGTTTTGTCTGATCTACATCAACCTCTGGAAGATCAGATTTCTCTCCTGTAGAAAGGAGATAGGTCTTACTCCTAGAGACTTTTATAAGACTAACAAGAAGTAATGCTCTTGTAAAACATAAGCTGTTATATAAGTCTCAGGTGTTATTACCCTTTTCCCCCAAAGACTGACTGAGTTATGTACATGAGAACTGGGGTACAGGCCACGGGGTAAGAGTATTTAGTAGAGACAGAGTGGGAAGCAGAACAGGCAGATTATTGAAATAACACTGTTGAGGTGAACAGTGGGCAGGTCAGAGATGGTCTGCTGTGCCATGTGGGTCACCTCCTCAGCTGGAGATGGAACTTGTGCTGCAGTGGCTATAGATGGCGTCATAATGCTGTGATTTAACCAGTTGTGCCCCCAGGGAGGGCTCCCCATTGCCCTTTATTGTAAAGGCAACTCTGAAGACTCATTTCTGATACTGGCTTCACAAAACAAAACTGAACAGTTTATGGAGTCTATAGCCTCCTGAATATGGTATCAGTCTCTTGGATTCCAATATTCCAGTGGTTCACTTATCTGAAAAAGACCTAGGAATTTTAGGATAAGAAGAATTGATATATGTTCACAGTATAGCTCACAAAAGTTTATGCTCCCTTATAGGAAAAAAAAAAATCCAGAAAATAATTAAACCATTGTATGTGGACTTCTTGGACTTTAGCTATCTAAAGTCTTGGACTCCATTTGTTGATGTCAAGTGTGTTCACACGGAGCTATGAAGAACAATGGAAAGAACTGAGGATGTTTAAACTGAAGATAGCAGCTAGAATGTGAAAAGTTTTAAAGCTTTACCTATGGATACTGGGGTCTTTTCTGAGTTTTTAAGTGGAAAAATAACACAGAAAAATGTTCATTATGAAATCTGGCTCAATGATGAGGTCAGTGGAATGACAGAAGCATAGAAAACAACAAGGGTATTACTGAGTTAGAACAGAATGAGCCCTTGGTGACTTCCATCTGTGTCCATCAGATTGATCAGAAAAAGGAAGGAGCAGAATAAGGACTTAGCCCAGAATAGTACTTCAAGATGAACATAACTGTTTCACAGATAATGAAACTAAGCTGACAGACAGAAGGGGAATATTTAAAGTGTCAGAGTGGCACAACGAAGAGGTGAGAATAACCAAAATATATGTGGGGAGAAAGGACAGATGCTAATCATCTGTTTCAAGTAACCTGAGTGAGGTTTTCAAAAAGCTGTATGATACTAAAGTTGGTACCGAGAGGAAGAAAACCCAGCGGCTCATGGTGCACGCGCTCTCACATAATTTATATTTTTAAGGCAGAGAAAAGCTCAGGGAGGTGACCTTCAGATGTTCCGTCTGATTCCTCTATATATCTTCTGCAGGTGGGGGAGCTTGTTTCCATTCTCTCTCTATTTCTCTTTCTCTCTGTGTTCTGTAAGATCCTTGAAGACAAACACAAAACAATAAAAATTTAAAAAATGAATTTCCCTTAAATTGTGCCCAGAGGTTATGCTCAGCAAAATAAGTCATGAAGAAAAAGAAAAATATCGGATGCTCTCACTTAGAGGAGCAATATATAGGGGAACCAAATAAAGGGCCAGAGATAAAGAAATAAAAACCAAAGTTAATGGGCAACTACAAATTGGAGACATTCAGCAGGGGAGGGAGAGGGATTAAAATGGACAAGAAGAGTAGAGAGACTATGGTGAGAGTTCTCAGGCAACTTGGTGGTGGGAATTTTTTTTTTAATTCTTTTATTGATATGTAATTTATATATCTTAAAATCCACCATTTGAATGTGTACAGTTCAATTTTTAGTGTATTCACATGGTTGTAAAACTAGCACCACTATCTAATTCCAATTTCTGTCACCTCCCCAAAAGAACCTGTATGTATATATTTACTTATAATAATATAATAGTTTATTTTTACATCACTTTGTACCTTTTTCCATCTCAGTTGTAATCCCCAGGTAATGGGAATTTTATGGGGACAACACCTGAGAGGAGAAAGCAAACTATGCAAAAATGAATAATAATGTATAATAATAATGTAATATGTCTGCCCATATATCTCAGCAAACTTTCAGACTGGCTTACAGTTAGACCAGCAGTTTTTAAAGTAGAAACACACATACATGCACACCCAGGGACATTTGCAATGCTGGCAGATATTTCTGGTTTTAAAACTGGAGAAAGTGGTGCTGTTGGCATCTTGTGTATAGGGGTGAGAGATACTGCTCACCATCCTGTGCAGAACAGGACCCTAAAACAAAGAAATAACCTGACCTAAGATATCAGTAATACCCAGATGAAAAGCCCTGAATTAGAGTGGTAAGGCTAGTCAGTATGTATTTTAAAAACCTGAGTTCATCAGACCTCTGTCCTAGCTCTGGAGTGAGTTATTCATAGCAAAAAATTTCTAGTGGCTTTCCTGAGCTTTGACAATTTTTTATGCTGAAGGTTGGGAAAGTAAACAGGTGTTGGTGTTCCAATTTTCTTTGCTCAGTATTGTGATTCCTACTCAGTATAAGTTGATGCTCCTCCTGCATGGTGACTCTGGCCTTCTCTCTGGCCTAACAGCTCTTTGTCATTTTATTATAGAGATTGAGGATAACACATGAATAAGACCAAAATTTTTCATTCACAGGGGAAAATATCCTAGCTATCTCTTCTTTCTCAGCATTCCTGATCTTTTATCCAAAAATGTGTTCTGAAGAACTGAAAATCAGTAACTCATCTGTGACCCTCTTACTCACCTCCAAGGAAATGATTCTTCCCACCTGCTCTCCCCTAGCCCCCCCCCCCACAATTTTGTTATTCTGCTTTTCCTTCAATTCCAAATCGAAGATTAGATAATCATTTTACATCAGAAATGTTTTCAGGGCCCTCCCTTGTGGTGCAACTTGTTAAAAAGGCAGCACTGTGAAGCTATCTGCAGCCACTGCAGCAAGAGTTTGATCCCCAGCCAGGGAACTGACCCACATGGCTTAGCAGACCTTTCCTGCCCCGCCTGCTGCTCTCTCAGCAGTGTTTTTCAGTCCATCTGCCTGTTCTGCTCTCCATTCTGTCTGGTGAATCCTCTCACCCCCCACACCTCTGGTGGGTATGCCACTTCTTGTATGAATAAATAAAAAATCTTTTTTAAAGAAAGAAATAATTTCAAATTAGCAAGCTTCAGTGTCTCCAAAAAATTATAAAATCAGGTGAAAAACAGAAGCACTAAGTTAGAATGTGTCTCAAGGGCCGTGATTTCTCATCTTTGTAACTCCAGGGGCTAACAGAGTACCAAACACATAGTAGGTATGCAAGAAATGTCAGTCCAGTGAATGAACAGAAGTTGCTGGGACTAGTAAAGGAGACACTAATATTTCCAAAATGCTTTAAAAATGAGAAGAAAATGGCTAAACCTTGGGGAAATGCTGAACCACTCCAATAGAACTTGAGATCCTGATATTAGTATGAAGTACTTACTGTAAAGGACATACAGGATTATTAGAACAGGACACATGGTTAAGGCATAAACCCATTTCACGGAGGAACGAAGACGGTCTGACTCATCTGTGAAGGAAAAAAATACATCAACTCTAATTTGTTTCCAACTACCTAATATGCATCCGACCCTGCTTACATTGACACAACGGATAGAGAGTACTCTCACTTTCTTGCCTGGTCAGCTTTTCTGTATATAGCTGCTATCATTTTTCTCACTTACCTCTTCAATCAGATATATAATGCAGGCAACTAATACCTATGCAACAGATATTGAGATAAAAAGGAAAATCCGAACTTTTTTTTTACTGAGCTAAATTGTCATAGAAAGGTTCTAAAAGGATACTTTAAAAGCCATTTTGAGGACTCCCTGGGGGCACAGAGGGTTAAGTCTCAGCACTATGAGGCTATCTGCAACCACTGAAGCATAAATTCAATCCCTGGCCAAGGAGCTGACCCACATGGCACAGACCTCTCCTGATCCACCCACTGCTCCCTTACCTTATCCTCCATATCTCCACCCAGCCTCCACCTTAGTCCTCGACTTGACTTTACCCTCTAAGATCTCTCAATGAGAATGAAGGTCATTAAGTAGCATTTAAGGTTTAAAGGGACTTTATTTTAGCCCATCATCACTGTGATAAATATAATAATGTCAGCCTTAAAATTTATGAATTTATGTACCTATCTTAACTTTAATAGACCAATTTTAAGAATAACGTTATAAGATTATAATCTCAGCTGAAGGTCAATACATCCCAAACTGTTCTCAGAAAAAAAAAGATAATTCTTATCTCAGCCCAATTCATATGCTAATGTTATCTCACTGCTTGCTTGAAATGTATAAAATAAACTTCTGCTGACAGCAGAACAAGAAGACTTGCACTCCAATTTCATGTCTTCCTCACTCCCGCTCCCTTTTTCCCCCCTTTTAAGAACCTCCACTCTCCAATGCTGCTCCCACCTTAAGACCCTGCCTGTTCTGCCCCTCAGCAACCCGTAATCGGGGCTGGTCCCCGACAAATCATCTCACACTCCCTGCACCCCTGGCTTACACACCAGCTGTTGTATTCATAAATAAATAAATCTTTAAAATAAGTAAATAAAAGCATTTTATCTGTATCTCATTTTTATAGGTGCTATTACTATGTATTACTAATTTTACTTGACTAACAATTAGCTAATGTCTTATTCTAGAAAGACCTTATTTTTCCTTTGTCAGCTTTGGTATCCTCCCTTTCTCTTAGCACGTTCTTTTTTAAAAAAAGATTTATTTATTTATGCATACATACAAGAAATGGGGTACAAGTCAGAGGTACGGTGAGTGAAAGGACTCACCAGAGACAGAGTGGGGAGCAGAACAGGCAGTTGGACTGAAATACACTGCGGAGTGGAGCAGCTGGTGGTCCAGGAGAGGTCTACTGCGCCATATTGGTCACCTCCCTGGCTGGGGAACGAACTCTTGCCTCAGTGGCTGCAGATAGCTTCATAGTGCTGCGGTTTAACCTGTTGTGCCACCAGGGAGGGCCCAGCATGTTCTCTTCACACACACACAAACACACACACACACACACATACCCTTGTGGCTACAGGAGCCACTTGGCATTCGTTTTCAGATCAATATTTTTCACCATCTAGCCTAGAGCTCTCGGAAGAATAGAAGAGCACCAACAAAGAACTAGGGCTGGATGTGGCTTGGAGATAGGTGGGACCATTCTGGGGGAAAGCAAACTGCCAGCTGTAGTTCCCCATCCTACAGATGATATTGGGACCCGAGGGCGGATGTGGTGTAGAAAGCACGTGTGCGTCACTACTCTCCATCCCTCCTGACCTGGAGCAGCAGCTGCACATTTGAGGTACAGTTAACCACAACATGAAGAGAAGGAGAGGGCCACAAACCAAAAGGAATGGTAGTAGCTCATCTTCTGACTACTCTGGAACGCCTGACACATAAATACCTAATATGGATTTACTTGTTGCATTTCACTTTTCTGATTACTAAGTCTTGTAGGTAAATTTCAGACTTCTGTAACAGCACATTCTTCTGTTTCTGTTTGTTATGACTTGGTTTCCTGGTCTTTCTTCCCGCTGTGCTTTATGTATTGTTGCTGCAGCTCCTTCTGCCAGTGGTACCATTCTTCCAATGACCTTTGTCTTCCTGGGTGATCTTATTTACACCCCAGTTTTGAAATTCCACTGAATGTCTACATTCATATGTCATATTTCTGATCTCAGCTATTAGCTCCAGATTTATATTTCCAAAAGCTCACTAGATGGATGGATGCCAGAATCTCCACCTGATTAAAACTGAACCCACTATATTCTTTCCAAAGCATGCCTTCCACTTATCTGCTCCACTTATTATGTGGGGGATAGCAATGTCATTATTTACCCAGATAAGAGTGAAAGTTTGTCTTTGTGGTGACTACCCAGTAGATGCCAATGAACTTTCTATATTGTACCCAGGATATCTCTGGGATCGATTCCTTTCCCCCAAAGTCTCTTCAGCAGCTGCCTTAGTTCAGTTGCCTTTTCCCCCTCATCTCCTCCTTAGTACCCTCCTGTGGCCTCGTTACCTCTGGTTTCCTGGGCTGTAATAACTGTTACACGTTCAGCTACATTAATCACTGTAAAACGAATACGAGTGTACGTGCCACTTAAAGACTAGGGGAAATGTTTTTGCTTTTTCTTTAAAACACCAGATAAAATGGAGACATGGAATGATTATTAGAACTCACCTTCTGAAGACCAAATGAAACCCAAACAAACAAGGAAGCTCTTGCTGTTTTCCTGGAATAATAGCACAGGCTGATTCACAGGTTCTGACTTACTTCTGGCTTTCTCTCAGAAGTCACTTCCCACCCACCCTCAAATTTCTTTCAGCCTCTTGAGTGTTTTTGAGGGAAAGGAGGAGAAATCATTCTCAGAAAACCAATTCTGTTCTAATGCCTCTTAAGAACCTGGAAACACTTTAGAGGGCAGTGCTTAATAGTTATATGCAGAGGATGTGTGCACATTTAGCTCATCAAACACCCGAGGGGGGTTCCTATCCACACACATACGCTGAATGGTATATCAAGGACTAACAAACTTGGCAGCCCAGACTAAAGAATTATAGCCCTAATCTGCTTAATTGACAAATTTGAGTGTCTTTAGAATAGATAGCAAAACTATACTCTCATTACTGTGTAACATTTCTATGAACTCTACACCTAATTTATATTTGTCTATGCAGTCAGCCCTTGACTTCCCATAAAAACATTATTTTCTTGTGATTCTAAATGATATCTGTGTTTCAATTAATGAGATTTGAAGCATGTACATACTCTCTGACCATTAGCATCTAGCAAGATGCTTGGTGTGTGATAAATACTTAATAAAGAATGAATGAGTGGATGAGTGAGTAAACAAGCTTAATCATATCTCCATTAACCAGGTGACTATAGACCAGATAGGGAAAAGGGATAATATTTAGGAATAGACTGAAGAGGGGTACTGCTCATGCCTTGCCTGAAGGAAGGATTGGGAGAAGACATAATGGGAGAAATGATAAAGCTGGACAGACTAAATCATCTTTAAATTATAGCCCCAACCTTTTATTAAAAGGGCTGCATTCTGTTCCCTGTAAATTAGCAAATCGTAGTACACGGGCCAAATCTTACCTACCACTTATTTCCTTTCAAACTGTAACAGCAGAGTTGATTGCTTGAGTTGTTGCAAGAAGCCATATGATACAGAAAGATAAAAATATTTAGTAGCTGGCCCATTGATGGGAAATTTTGTCACCCCCACATCCTACAACATTATATGTACCCATACTCTTATATTAATTATATCCAAAGCAATAGATGATTGAAGGTGCTGCTGCAGATGTGTACTCTCCCTCACCTTAGTCACAATGTCTAAAATTGGTTAAATAATGATACAGTAATAAGGTGAAAAGTAGTGCTGAATATCTTTACTACATAATTTACACCCCATCCTCATAAATTTTTTAGAACACATAAAAGATGATTGAGAGAAATGAGTTTGGACTATTAGTAAAATGATGCCTGTTTATATTTGAACAGATTTTCCCAGGAAATTTTGTCTCATTACCTATTGAGGAAAATAAAGAACCCACCTCAAAGCGGAAAGATCTAGACTAAATCATTCACTAAAATCTAAAATATTTCTTCTACTAAACGGAGATTAGTATAAGAGTAAGACATAAACATATCAACACAACACTACTTAGTTGTGTAACACTGTAGGTCTGATTTTATGTGTTGTTTCTTACTCTGAAACCACAAAACATACTATTAGGAATGGGCCTGGGGAGTGAGAGAGCCCTGCGGTTCATCAGCCATACTCTTTGGATATGTATTGCAAGTATCTGAGTTCTCCTGTAGTTAACTGTCACAGGCTTAACATACATAGATTTATATAAACCCAGCTTTTCCACTTTGTATTTTTAGATGATTTCACTTCTTGGGGGTAAGAGAATTTCACTTGTATTCTGTCAAAAATGACCTGTTTTTATAGGCTTTGTCTTCAAGACTTGTCATTCACCTTTTTCACCATGCTGACTCTAAGTAAATCAGTCAAAAGACGATCATTTGACACTAAGGAACCATGCAGAGGTGCCCTGGGAAGGAAAGTGCCAAAGCCCTGAAGGCAAAATTTAGCCCTTTTCATAATAACAATGCTGTGGCAATGATTTCCCAAGATGACTACTTGATAGGTAGCACTTATTTATATGTTTAATATTTAGAAGGTTTACTAAGGAAAATAAAAACTAGTCAAGTAATACTGTACTTCTACACTTTCTACAGTGACTTTAACAAATCACAAACAGTTTATTATCTTTTTTTTTTTTTCCTAAGAACTGCTATCAGAGTCGAAGCAATTCTAAATGTATCTGGCTATGTTATTTTCCTTTTAGATTTTAAATAGTAGCTACTGCCCAGGTGTGGACACTTACTTTTTTGCCAGTTGAAGTTCTTTGACACTGTTAAGTTTCCGTACTTGACAAGACACACAAAGCTGTGGTTGGTCGTCACATTGAACTCCAGTTCACTGCGAATAGTGTAGAGCTCAGTGTCTGGATCTTGGGAAAGTGTCTTGTTTGTGGCTTTTAATTCTTCTCCATTTTCCAACCAGGAGAGGTGAGGCTCTGGAAAGCCTCCAGAGGTTGAGCAACTTATTCTTCTGATCATAGGAGATGGACTTCCAAGGTCGGTTATATTGGGAACAGAGAAGTCAGCTAAAGAAAGAATAGGATAGAAATCCGTATCATCACGTATTTGTACGATCACGCTCGTGTGTGTGTGTGTGTGTGTGTGTGTATCTTTAAGAACTTAACCTAGTTTTAATAAGAATGAGGCATAATTTGCAATTTCTCATAAGTCATGTATAGCTATGTATATCCAAAGACTAACTTTGGTTTGAATTGGTCATATTAATTCTTCATTTCTTTGATGGAAATAAGAGAGCACTTATTAAAGAAAGAAGTTGTTTTATGTAAACAAATACTACACATCTAAGATGTAAAGAGAAAAATAATAGACACCATTTATTGAGCTCTTAATATTTACTAGATCTAGACAACCCTAAGGAAGTAGGCTGTAAATTAGAAAAGGTCAAATATCAGTAATTGCATATGATTTAACCTAATACAGTTTCTATTTTAGAAATAATCAAATTGGGGTTTAGAGAAATCACAATAAAAGGAAGAACTGAGATTTGAATTCATGTTTTGCTGATATATGTTAGAGACTTCCTTTTCTTCTTGATATTTGAGTTATACAAAATGGCTCTTATTTATTTACTTATGTATATATGTATTTACAATATTTTAATGAACACCTGTAAACTCAATCTCCAACTTGAGAACCAGAACACTGACTATAAGTTATATAAATCTTCTTGGATGGTCTCACAGATCTTTACCTTACTTTACTTCCCATGCCAGAGGCATTTAAAAATGCTTTTTAAAAAAAGTAGTCTTCGGCCCTCTCTAGTGGCACAGCGGGTTAAAGCACTGCACTAAGAAGCTTAAGCCATTTGCACATGAGTTCATCTCCACCTGCCCCAGAGGTGACCACATGGTGCGGCAGACCTCTCCTGAACCGCCGGCTGCTCCCCTCAGCAGTGTACTTTGTCCATCTGCCTGTTCTGCTCCCCACTCTGTCTCCGGTGAATCCTCTCACCCTCCACATCTCTGGCCTGTACCCTAGTTCTGTATGAATAAATAAATAAATCTTTAAAAAAAAAAAAAAGTAGTCTTCAATCACTGTTCAAATGGTACACATTGAGCCTGTAATCTCAACCGCTATACACTAGTGATTCCCTTGTTATTCCAGTATACCTTAAAAGGACAAGGAGGCTTCCCTAACATTCCTCTAAGGTACTTAAGGAACTCTTTCATTTGTATATTTGACCCCCAAAAGAGACTAATGTATGTTCTAAGCAAAGCATATGAAATGACTATGAAGAACAGAGAAGTAAGCTCCCCACACCACCTTCTCACTTAGACTTGAAAAATTTATACTAGTCAGCATGAATGTGGGGAACCCATCTCTCCATATTACATTCCATATCATAAGTTTTCATTTTAGAATTCTGAGTTCCACAGAGAAATGGCATATGGTATAGTGGTCACCAAGAGCAGGTTTTAAAATCAGTTTTGCCTTGTAGCCCTGAGCCCATTATTTAACCACTTTCAGTCTTCATTTGCTCATCTCTAAGATGAGATAATAATACCTGCCTTCCAGGGTTGTAAGAATTAAGTGACTTCATGAAGCTAAGTCACATAGCACAGAGCCTTACACAAGGGAAATTAGTTAAAAGGCCCTGGTTTATGCGGGTCTTGAATTTGTCTTCTTTTAGAGGAGTTCCCTCATTTAAATTAAGTTGCCAGGTGAAATTTTCCTTGACTACCTGGCAGTATTGGGAGAGTATTTAATTGCCCCTGAAAGTAATTTAATTGCCAAGAAAAAGCTTGGAATTATTTGGAGGAGCAGCTGGTTTTCTTTTTTGAATTAACCCTGCCCCTAAATTAAGTATGACATCTTCCTGAGCCATTTTTAGTTGACATTATCATTTCCCACTCCTTTGATTTATCATATATGATCAACATATCACAGCGGTAGCTATCATCAAGAATATCCCTTTGTTTCGTAAAATAACATCAATATTTGATGTGTTTCAACTTGGAATAACAAATCCAAGTATCTCATATCCTAAAATATGATTCATTTTTCTTCTGTACTCTGTTTTTCTGAGATGTGGCTATGTTACAAGAAAACCACTAATTCCAGGGAGTATATTAAAAATCATCTTTTTGAGGTCTGATAGGCTTGGAATACCCTCAGGTTTATCTCCTAACTTTTCTATGTAAGGTGATCTGTTTATTAAAACAGTGCCTAAGCACATCTTCAAACAACTAGCAACAACAAATGTTGGCGAGGATGTAGAGAAAAAGGAACTCTCCTGCACTGCTGGTGGGAATGCAAACTAGTACAACCA